AATAAAAGAGGTATAGCGGCACCGCTTAATCAGCGGATTACAGCTGTCGAGCCTGATTTTCAGGTGTTCCACATATTCCTGGCAGAAACCCTCCATTGCATTTATTTCCTTACCTAATCAGGAATCCCATGACGGACCGCTGGAGGCTGTATCCCCATCGTATTCTTGTCTGCACCGTTTCAACAAAGATATGGTGTCACATGATGTGCTAACCCCTTTTGGGTTAGCTTATTTTTTAGTAATATTCAACTGAAATAAATGTTTATTGCAAGGCTTCAGTGTTTCTTAGGTAAGAAGTATTTATTTCATATTGTAAGGGTCTCACTGTAGGGAATCTCCAATCGTGAGGCAAACATTGAACTGTTGCTATGAAGGAGGAATCTATCTAAAGTGTGCGAGGCGTTATGTCCTGATGCTGCACAGCAAACGGGCCACAAGGCCACAAGGCATCCAGGTCTGCGGACCTCTGATCCATCACACATATATTATACCCGCCCTACCTCCATGTGGTGTGGCGGGGTGGTGGGGTTGACCTCCCCCAGGCATCAGCGACTCCCAATTCCCACTATAGCTTCCCCTGTTGTTCCAAGCCGCTCGCCGGCTCGCAGCAGGATGCAGGCGCTTGGACCAGCCGTTAACTACTACCCGTGATCCTCGCCGCCGCCATTCTCAACCAAGACCCCAAGAGTCAAGCTTGCTGCTTGAAGATGGGCCTCGCCAAGAGGCCTGACGGGCGTATGAATCTCTCTCTCTCTTGCTGCTTGAAGCTCAAAACAGCCAAGAGCACAGGGCTTTTGCTTGGTCGAGTTTTGTTCCCTGTTCGTGTCGATATCAGGTTTCATGCAACTAAGCCTTCCGCACGCCTCTCTACCTTGCCTGATGGAATGAATACCTAGCACTCCGTACTCCTCTCATATATCTTGGGGAAGATCAGCGTCTGCCCGTAAGTCGTGCTCCTTCAACCTTATCTCTAATTATATCCTTCTCAATTTCTCATCCTCCTTCTCTTCTTCTTCTTCTTCCTCCTCCGCATCATCTTGCCTTCCTTGCCTTGAACAGAGTGACCGCTTAGTACCTTACTTAGCACGTCTTATGTGCCGATCCTGAACCATGTTGCCGCCTAGCTAGATCCCACCTTACGTTATCCATCGTCGATTGTCCATCAGGCCCCAATTCTCCTCCGTGCTTGTTGGCCTTTCGCATTCGAGGTCCTGTTTAGCATCGCCATCGTTATCGCCATTATCATTACTATCTTCAATCATGTCTCTCGCAAACAAAGCCATGAACTTCGTAGATCTGATGGGTCGCGCCACCGCGCCCACCAATGCATCCACCAATTCCACCAACCGGGCTCCTCCTCAAGGAGGCATTCTGGACGGTGCCAATCCAGTCACGTACAGCCCCAAAGACCCCATCATCCTATTCATCGTCCAGGTATATCCGCCAGTTACACCCACCCTAGCCACCGCAGTCCGAAGCTCACCATTCGCAGGCCAGTATCATCGTCATCTTCTGCCGCCTGCTCGAATGGCCCCTCTCCAAAATCCGCCAGCCGCGTGTCATCGCCGAAGTCATCGGCGGTATCCTTCTCGGGCCCTCGGTCATGGGCCGGATCCCAGGCTTCACCGAGTCCATATTCCCCACCGTCGCCATGGATAACCTTAATCTGGTAGCCAACCTGGGGCTGGTCCTCTACCTGTTCTTTGTCGGTGTCGAGGTCGATTTGCGTTTCCTCGTGTCAAACTGGAAGGTTGCGCTGAGCGTCGGTCTGGTCGGTATGATTCTGCCGTTTGGGCTGGGCAGTGCTATTGCCTGGGGACTGTATCATGAGTTTGGCGACGAGCCAGGGTTAGTGCCCATCAGCTTCGGCGTGTTCATGCTGTTCGTCGGAGTGGCCATGGCCATCACCGCTTTCCCGGTCTTGTGCAGAATCCTCACTGAGTTGAAACTGCTGTCCACCACGGTCGGTGTCATCGTCCTGTCCGCGGGTGTGGGAAACGACGTCGTGGGCTGGATCCTCCTCGCGCTGTGCGTCGCCCTGGTCAACGCCGGGAGCGGGCTGACGGCCCTGTGGGTCCTCCTCATCTGCGTCGGTTACACCCTCTTCCTCGTGTTTGCGGTTCGCCCACCGTTTATCTGGGTCCTACGTCGGACCCGAAGCCTCCAAGACGGGCCCAGCCAGAGTGTTGTGGCGCTCACGCTGTTGATCGCCTTGGCCTCGGCCTTCTTCACCGGCGTGATCGGGGTGCACCCTATTTTCGGCGCGTTCATGGCCGGCTTGATTTGCCCGCACGAAGGTGGGTTTGCCATCAAGTTGACGGAGAAACTGGAAGATCTGATCGGCTCGATCTTCTTGCCGCTCTATTTTGCCTTGTCAGGCCTGAATACGAACTTGGGACTACTGAATACGGGCCTTACGTGGGGATATGTCATTGGCATTATTGTCATTGCGTTCACTACCAAATTCGCCGGCGCCTCGGTTGCGGCGCGGCTGAATGGGCTGGTATGGAGGGAGAGTTTCACCATCGGGGCACTGATGAGTTGTAAGGGTCTGGTGGAACTGATTGTGTTGGTGAGTATATCTATCCCAGTTGGGGTTCCAATCTAACATTCCCAGAACATCGGCCTGCAAGCCAAGATTCTCAGCACGCGCACGTTTACCATGTTCGTGGTCATGGCCCTGATCACCACGTTGGTGACGACGCCACTGACGTCCGCATTGTATCCGCCATGGTACCAACAGAAGCTGGAGAAGTGGAAGCGAGGTGAGATCGATTGGGACACGGGCAAGCCCTTGAACGACTCGACTTCAGGATCCGGCGAAGAACAGATGGCAGAAGAGAAGATGGAACTCACCCGAGTCCGAAAGATGCTCGTTTACCTACGTCTCGACAACATGCCCGCGCTTCTCATGTTCATGACCCTGATCGGTGGCAAGCCTCAAGACGCAGCACCGCGATCGCATCCGAGCGAGCGACAGCCGACGGACGAGGGTGAGGAGATCATCGCTCCAGTCGCGCCTGTTCAAGCCCACGGTATCCGCCTCATCGAACTCACCGAGCGTGACTCCTCGGTCATGAGAGTCACGGAAGTGGAAGAATTCAGTATCCACGATCCGGTGATCAACACGTTCCGCACTTTCGGGAAAATGCATAACCTCGCCGTGTCCGGCGAAACCAGCATTATTCCCTCCACATCCTTCGCCGAAGCGCTAGTTTCCCGTGCGTCCAGTATGTCATCGGACCTGGTGCTCCTGCCCTGGAGCGAAACCGGCAGCATGTCGGAGGCCCAGGATATCCGCGACGAGACCATCAGGAATAAGTTGGATGATACCAGCTACGTCCAATTCGTCACGGAGGCATTCGCGGACGCGACCTGCAACATGGCCGTGTTCGTCAACCGCAATTTCGGTGGCACGGTGAAGCGGCAGCGGCCGCAACTCTCCCGATCCAAGTCCGCCTTGAGCGTATCGAGCGGCAAAGATGCCACCCCTTCCGCACCCATCACGGACGCGTCCCACCACGTGTTCGTCCCCTTCTTCGGCGGTTCCGATGACCGCATCGCCGTCCGTCTCGTCCTCCAGCTCGCCGCGAACCCGGAAATCACGGCGACGATCGTGCACTTCGACGTGCCCGACAACTACTTCGACGATCCCCTGGGCGTGGGACCGGACCTGGGGTCGAAGGCGACGGACTCCCGGGTGATCACCTACATCCCCAGCAAGTCCGAGGACACGACGTTCTTCGCCGCCATCAAGAACACCCTGACGGACGACCTCGCGCCACGGGTGCGGTTCAAGACGGTGTCGACGCTGACGCCGCGCGCGACGGCAATCGAGACGATGCAGGAGGAGTTGGGTCAGAACGTGCGGAACGCCGGGGATCTGCTGGTGGTGGGCAGGAATGTCGGGATGAGTGCCGCGTTGGGCAGGGAGGGGTTGGACCCCAAGGAGAGCACGGGAGGGGTGCAGACGGATGCGAATCGATGTATTGGGGTGCTGGCTGAGGAGGTAGTCAGGAGTGGGTTGTTGGCGAGCGTATTGGTCGTTCAGGCCAGAGGGAGTGGCTTGGAGTTGTGATGAATGGCAACTGAGGGGCGACTACAACTCGCATACATGGGCGGAGATGGTGCGTTTCTCGGGATTCTATGTCTGGCGACGGCTTCTGATGAATCATTTCGGGTATGTGAATGCATGCGAGGCGCCTTTTCCTGTTCCTATTTAGGTAATCTATTGACAATATGGCCACACCCGGTTGTGGCCTTGGTCAGCATGAGCAAGAGGGCTGAGACTGTCTTATGGAGGCATCAGATGACGCCTACATGTGTCCGGAATCGCATGTGATACGACTTTCGTTCCAGCTTACTCAAAACGAGACCTTGGTTGTTTCGTTCCCACTAAACACCTCACTCCAAGCAACGGATGCACGAGAATCTGGTCTGCTCATTCAGTATGCACCATGCATACCTGCTCATTCGCTTCCAAGTCGCTTGTACCACGACGATCTAGACCCGCTCCGCCACCTTAATCAAAATCATTGGGGCTACCTCTTAAGGAGGCTCTTGCATCATGGCAAATCGGCTGATCGAGAAGCCGCGGGGTTGTATACCAGCTTCACTTGGAGCAACATGACGGTTCCTCTCATGATTGGGCTTTATCACCATGTCGATGCCAGGGTACAAACTCGGCGCTGCGACTGACTACGAGCTGGCCAGCTCAGCTGGTCCCGGACCCATGTAGCCCGAACCCTCGTCCTTTCAGGGAATCGGATGCTTTCCATCTGCTCACGAGACACAGCAAGAAAGACTACGTAGTAACCAGTACGGAGGTACTCCGTATACGTGTCATATTATTTGTCGGGTACAATAGAGGAAAGAGAAGAGGACAGTGGTGGCGCTGTCTTCAATGACTTCCGAAGAACTCGATGCCAGAAATAGATCCTTTCACTTCATTTGGTGTTGTGCTCACTTCCCTTTTAGTCACGATGAGTTCGAATCTTTGCTGTCACCATCTGGTACGTGGAACCTCCAACCTGTTTCACGAGATATTAGAGGCCCTTGAGATCGGGGGCATGCGACCCCGAGAGACGTCATCTCTCCGTTCCCTGTCCACCACCCGATTGGAGGTCCGTCCTGGAATATTTTCTGATACAAGCAATTGCTGAACGTCGAGGGATATCTTATATGTACAGTCCGAATTAATCCGCGCTCGGGTCGAAATGATCCATCCAGTATCGTTCCCGTTCTCCTGACGACGGCATACGTGCACCTCATCAGTCCGATGATCCCACAAAACTCTCCGCATCGACATCCCACGGGTCCATCCCGCCCCATACATCCCCGCCGATTTAACCGTTAGCCCGCAAGAGGTACAGCATGCGCGTACGGATCTTTATATCCGGACAATAATTCCGCTTCATCCCTTCATTTCTACCCTCTCGACCTTTTACCATTTCACTTCCAGCGACCATAACGGATGGCATTGCGCGTTCGCAATGTCTTACCTCGATCCATCCGTTCTGGGTCCGTCTGCGCTGCATGACGGGGCCGGTTGTGTCGCGGATAGAAATAGCCGAACCAAACGGTTGCGGAAGTCGCAAAGCCATGGATTGCTGTCGCCGTTGTTACGTTTGGCCAAAGATCCGGTCGGCACCTTGGGCGAGCTGCGGGAATCGTGGACGGAGCAGGGGAAAAGTGAGATTCAAGATATCGGGGAGCAGAGGCAAGTGTTGTATCTGCGTATGAAACATGTAAGCGTCCAGACCTGATGTGAGACCACAGGTGCCAATGACGTGACCAGGCCGGAACATACGACGACTGGAAAGCGGCGGCGACCGAACTCGACCATATCGAAGGCAACGATCAGTGGAAAGTACAGGACGACTCCCTCGAATACAATGTCAAACTCTTGGAAACGCGGCTGAAGGAGCTGGATGATGCGCGGCTCAACTGCGATATCAAGCGCATGCTGTTCCTGATCCGAACCTCGCTGACTCGAGATCTGGGCGGTATGGGAGATGCCCAACTATATCGACATTCACATATCGGAACCAAGGCGCTCATCGAGCGATATATCGAGTCCTCCAGGCGGACGATCGAGTCGCTCTTGGAGGTCTCTGCCAAACAAAAGACCGTCCAAGTTGATCCTCGGCAACTTCTCGAGCAATTGCTCGAGGCGCGCCAGGCATTTGGGAGAAGCGCTTTATTGTTGTCGGGAGGAGGGACTTTTGGGATGAGCCATATCGGCGTCGTCAAATGTCTATGGGAGCAGAAGCTCCTTCCACGGATCGTTTCCGGCTCCTCAGCTGGAAGCATCGTATGTGCCGTGCTGTGTACGAAGACCGATGCCGAAGTGCCCCAGGTCTTGAACGATTTCTGTTACGGCGATTTGAGCGTGTTCATCAACGAGGAGGAAGGTCTCCTGGAGGTGGCAGCGAGGTTTCTCAAACACGGGACCGTGTTTGATATCTCGAACCTTACCCGCGCCATGCGGAATCTCATTGGCGATATAACCTTCCAGGAGGCGTATAACCGGACCAGGAGGATATTGAACATCAACGTATCCAGTGCCAGCCTGTACGAACTTCCGCAGCTTCTAAACTACGTCACGGCTCCGAACGTTATTATCTGGTCGGCAGTGTAAGTGTTGGTCCCACTGTCCCAGACTGTGCTAATATTTGTAGCGCCGCATCTTGTTCCGTCCCACTCGTCTTCTCGGCAGCCTCTCTCCTAGCGAAGGACCCAAAGACCGGAGAGCATGTCCAATGGAACCCATCCCCGCAAAGATGGATTGATGGATCCGTAGACAGTGATCTTCCCATGACCCGTGTTGCCGAAATGTTCAATGTCAACCATTTCATCGTCTCTCAAGTCAATCCGCATGTTGTCCCTTTCCTCGACCGTGAGGCTATCGCGCCTTATCCACTCAACGGCAAAAATCCCTCCACCGGCTCTACATGGCTGCACAGCGTGGCAAACCTCGCAAAAGATGAAGCCATGCATCGCATGCACGTTCTCGCAGAAATTGGCGTCTTCCCAACCTACCTCACCAAACTCCGATCCGTCCTTGCGCAGCGCTATTCGGGCGACATCACCATCCTCCCCGAGATTTCATACGCACAGTTCCCCCGAGTGCTGCAGAACCCCACCACCGAATTTATGCTCGATGCAACTATTAGCGGTGAGCGGGCCACCTGGCCCAAACTCAGCATGATCCAAAACCATGTCGCGATTGAGATCGCCCTGGACGATGCAGTGCAGCAGCTTCGGGCCCGCGTCGTCTTCAGCCCGAGCCAGGTCGACCTCCGGATCAACAATCTTTCTCCGTCGATGCGTGGACGACAGTCAAAGGACCGCCCCCAGCCACGACATCGACCTACTAGCAGCCTCGACCCCCGCACGAGAAAAAGGCGCCACCCTCCCTTCCAGACCTACACCCCGGACTCCGACGAATCCTCCAACGACTCCTCCTACGAACCGCGGGTTAGGCCCACCAACACCACCTGGTCCAAAGCTCCACTAGACACCCTAGCCGTTCCTAGCACTGACGTCCTCTCCTCGTCCGTTGACGACGATCCAAACCCGTTCTCCCCCGCAACTCTCACATCGCCATCTTCATCTGATGGGCCGATGTCGCCCGAACCTTCACTAGTTCCAATGCAAACAATACCATGGCCGTCAACGCGCAAACTGTTTCCTCGTGCAAGTCAGTCAGCGATACCTTTAACGCACTCCTCCAAGACCGCATATATGGAAAATCTGAGCCAAAGAGAACCCAACCAAGCAACATCGCTCTTGATCATGACTCCACGGGTGGCAAGAGAGTCTAAGGTCGGTGAGTCGACGGGGGAGAGCGAACAAGAGAGGAGGTATAAGACGCTCTTCCACCCCGAGCCTGGGCCAAAGTTGCCGAAAACCTCGCCGATGGCCAGCAGAAATGGTGAGAAGGGTGTGTTGGAGTCGGACTTGGGGGTTGAGAGAGAAAGTGAGAACCGAAGCAAGTCCACGATCCGCCGAGGAAGTGCGCATTCAACTCGTTCCAACAGTGGAGGATTTCCCTTGGATATCTCAGGGACTAGAGGTATGGTACTCCGAAGGAAGCAAAGTCATATGCGAATACCAGGGGAATGAGCGACATGTTGGGAGCAAGGATATTGTTCCCTTTTGTTCAGAATCTTTCGCTGGAAAGGGGTTGCATGTGTTAGTACGAGCATTGATACCAGGCTTGGGAATTGGGATGGGCAATAACATTGGGATTGCATACGATGTGGGTTCATGACCCCATGGGGCTTTGGACGTTTAGACATGAAGTATGGGGATCACGACCGACATGAGGCTGTGCATTTGAATTGGAAGAGCCGTGACTCGTGAGAACCTCAGGCATGTGCATTGAACATCACATGAAATTCATGGGCAGAATAAGCATTCGCCCTCCAAGTTCAGGGTATCGATCAAGTGTATCAGATGTTCCGCTGAATTCTTAAACCCGAGGACCAAAATCCACCGCCCAGGAGTGAGAGAACTCCAGCAAAGTCATGGCTTGTGGCACTTTTATCGTTTCCAAATACATAATTCCAACATTCCCTATTCTGCAGAACTCAAAAGGACCGGATCCAAGTCGGGATTAGGGAATAATAGGGGATCGTCTGTACTGGCGTGCTGGGGGATATTTGGATCGGCAACATTCGTCGAGAACGAAATTCTCCTGTCCGGGCTCCGGCCATCTGGCAGTCCGTCCCTGGACAGATCTTCGAGATCTTCGCGATGGTGGCTCTGGGTTGGGGCGAGGCCTGGCATGTGGCACTAGGGCAGACAGAGCACCGCACTTATTACTTAGTTATGTTCCAAAGTACGGGGATGTTTCTCTTTTAGTGTCTAGACATTGACTCGACATTGCAGCTCTCGCTCTCCGCATCCCTAAGAGCAAGGGGCATCTATCAAACGGTTCATTTTTTACGGCTCAAGAGTTTCATGTTTACAGAAGCAGTCGGGAACCTGGCTTTTGCGCAGGGAATCCATCCAATGAGCAGATGAGCAGATAGGCAGATGATGATAGCAGATGACTGACGAGCAGATGATAGACGAGCATCGTCTTTTTGACTTTCGACCATTCCGATCCCCGCCTCGCAGGGAACAGGATGAAGTCGAATACGGTATGACGGTATCCATCAAGTCTTCCACGGACCACGGTTCCCCCCGCCGAGCTGCCAAAATTCTGCCAAATCCATCCGAGGTGAACGCAAGGGTGTAAGCCTCGATTTTACCACCCCCGAAGTCAAGCTTCTGACTTCTCCTCTTCAAGACATCAACCGTCACCATCAGCCGTAGTACATACATAGTAAGCGTCTGGGCAACAGCCGATATTCCCGCCAGGCTTCTCCGGAATCGTTTAGATCCGAATAGCCTGGAGAGATGCCCGTCTACCATGCATTTTCCCCAGTACTAAGTAAATAGAGCCTGTCGTGACCTAATCCCAGCGACAGGCCCGCACGCGGATAGATGAGCTCTCTCCAGAACTGCAAGAACAGGCACGTCGGGGTGGATATCTGAGATCCGGACGATCACCATGGGGTATGGTTTTCGCCCATTTTAATGTAATAACCAGCTCTCTTTCCTGTCTACTTAGATTGGGGTCGCCTTTCCTTTTTGTCCCGTACCGAGTCTGTTGCGTTCATATCCTAACCTTGGTCCTACCTGTTGGGTGCAAGGCTAGATCTCATTGACGAACCCTCACCTCCAAAGTCTCTGCATTCCTCTGTCAATCCCGTCTCATAAAACAATTCAGGTGGCAAATGTCCTCGAGTTGGTCATCTCTCAACCCTCTACCTGGGTTCCTAGGCGCAAAGCGCGAACACGAATCTTAGACTTTGTCCTGTTCAGAACATAATGCGCGACATACCGCTCGAAGTCCTATTAACATGGCCGACTCCGAACTACGATGATCCTGTTACTCGAGGCTCGGCGCTCATAATAGTCAATTCGATATTCATTAGTCTGGTAGCTCTGGCCGTCGGACTGAGGCTCTATGCACGGTTGGCCATTAGTCGGTCGTTCGGAGCTGATGATGTCTTCATTATACTGGCTTTGGTACGAACATTAGGAATCAAAGGGGATTGAAGTTGCTGAAATGTCTCTAGATACCTACGGCTGGGCTCGCCGCAGCTGTAATGCTTGCAAACAACAAGTATGGCTGGAATCGCCATGTCTGGGATGTACCGCTTGATCTATTCGCAAGTATGCGAACCCGTCCTGTACCCGGATTTACTGATACTGATTACGATTTTCACAGGCTCTCTCAAAGTTGCTATCGCTGCCAAAGCATTATATACTGTTGCTACGACGTTTACTCGGATCTCACTTTTGAGCTTCTATTACCGGTTTGTCCGGGATACAGCAGCTCACCGTTTTCGAATGACCCTTCACGCCTCGCTCGGCTTTGTCGTTGTAATGGGCGTATCATTTGTTTGCCTTGCGGTTTTCCAGTGTAGGCAAGTCCGCCACTGTGATTCTGAGGTACCTGGGACCGTTGACTAACTGATCGTAGCCCAATATCTGCCTATTGGACGATGCCAGCACCAGAAGGCGCTGTCTGCATAGACGACGGCCGGGCCACGCTAGCCGTCGGTGTTGTCAATTGCTTCGCTGATTTGATTGTCACGGTCTTGCCGATTCCGCTTGTCATGAAACTCAAAATGCCCTTACGGCAGCGAATTGGCGTCGTTGTGCTGCTTAGCTTGGGATTCATTGTCATTATTGCAGGATCCCTCCGCAGTTACTACATTTGGGACAGCATAATGAACAGCTACGATGAAACCTGGGTTGGTTATCCTCTTTGGCTCGCCGCGGCAGTTGAAGTTGACCTTGGAGTGGTATGTACTATTTTTGCTTCTCCTTGTCGGAGGGTCTCATCTCTCTCGCTCCCCTCTCTAACATTAGCAGATTTGCGCTTGCGCCCCTGCTCTCCGCCCACTCATCGCCTCTGCCGTTCCCCAAACCATCACTTCGCTTTCCGATCGATTCACCGGGAAGTTTTCATCCAATTTGTCCTCAAAAGGCACCCCCTCTCCTTCGCGGGCTCTGAAGTCAGAGATCAACCATCCCAATGGCGGCGACAATACTTGGGTGAATATCACATCTCGCGGCTCAGACGTGGAACTCATCGAGCAATCCGACTCTCGCCTCCATCGATCCTCGGAGCGAGAGGTTGGCATCCATGAGGATCTTGAGGACCTGGAGCGGGGTACGGATGAAAGTAGCGGCGAGCGAACACATTCCGAGTCGCATGGGCGTCATAATTCAAAATCGATATGGACGACGACGCGGGTTGAGGTGACCTCCTATCGCAATGACGATGTCGTTCAAAACGAGAAGGGTCCTCCCTACTATCCTTAAAATCCCTCCCACCCGAGATGTCATTCATTTCACTTTCTGATCTCTCGGTTTTGTATGCCTTTTTGATAGGGCTGACTTCATTGCGCTCGTGGAGGAATGTCTCTTATGGGAATTATTGGGGAGGGCATTAGAATGTGCAACATCAATACTGAGAACGGGAGCGCATGGTGGAACATCGCAATTGACTTGAAATCAACTCGATTTAGCAGGACATCATGACTCGGCTACTAATATACCACTCGGAAGGTTCAAATGCGTGCAAGTCAAAGGCAATTGGCCACAATTATGGACGGACAGGTTCACACTTGAATAGTGTACATGGCGACGTCGTTACCTGGCGACTGGTGTTAGGGGCGGGAATTGGATTAGACTACAAGATTTAGGTGAACCAACCTCTGTATAGTTATGAGTTCGACTGCAGAAGCATTAATTACCTAAATCTGAAGGCTCACCCCACATCAATTTACTTCGGAATCTGGAGCCCAAGACAATCCGCTTCAGTGAAGTCGGGAATATCTATCTTAATGCTCACATCTGTACAAGAATATGCCTAAACATAAGTCATGCTAGTTGCAAAGTGAAAACCGTTGAATTGGTTAAGGAGAGAAAAGAGGAGCTATCAAGGGGCTTGAAGGCGTTTATATCTGCAAGCTTGCTACTTGTTCCCCCCTGTATTTCGGCCTTGGTCCTGTTTCCTTAACAACCTGCTGGCCCTGTCCAACAATGCTCATGTGCTCATCAAAAAGGAACTCAATAATAAGTCCATCCGGCCAAGTAAGCGGTTTCTCTCTTGTCGCGATGTCAGTTATCTCAACATATTGTTCGTTGTCCATTCACCTCTTCATTGATCGGCGGGCTCAACTTCAGTCATTATTACAGCACCAAAATACCTATGCTCGGCGGTGTAAACATGGGAAACGGCATGAGACATATCAGATGGAGGTCACTTGAAAGAACGATAAATGAGGGTCTGTTTGCTAATATCGAACCGATATGTATCATCTCTGCCGAACGATGTTTAATACCATACTTACTTCGTACTTTAGCATTCAAGAGCATCACCGAACCGTAACAGGAGAGGGAGAGAGAAACTCCACTCGACGTCCACCGACGGAAAAATCCAAAGCATCGAAGGACTGGTTCCAGGTTGGCGGCCCTTCCTCGTGTTAGCTACATTATCCTGCACGGATAACCACTATACTGACGAATTCTCAAAGTAGTCCGCTCTCTTTCTCTTACCCTCTCCCTAGCTGCCCGCTTCGACACTTTGTATTGCCTCACGTTCAGTGCTCCAGCGGACTGGTTCGACCCTTCATATTTCTTCTGGCACAGAGCATCACTTTCCTTGGACGCGCGTTTCTTCTTCGGTTCAGTTATCATAGGCGACACCTCGTCGTCGGCATCATTGGGACTCGTTGCAGGGCCAGGTTTAAAAGCAGTTTCGCCTGCGGCCTGCCTCTTGTTCTTCGAGGCCGCTCGTTTCTTTGCCCTGGTGACCTTGTCGACGGCCGCCTTTCTCCGTGTTTCCCTTGGCGTTGCCGTCAACGATGCGACAGTCTTACTCGCCGCTGAAAACACATAAGTCGAGTCTGATTGCGGAGGTGCCGGACTGCTACGAAGCCAATATTTTCTGGGAGTTGAGGACGACTTCCCGCTTTGCGTTGCACTCTTCTTTGTGCCGTACCGCCGGGGCACAATACAAATAGGAGGTGGGGGCTTCTTCTTCGTAGAGCGTTCCAAAATCCGCTTCTTGGAACCCTGAGGATACATATTCGATGATTTGAGTTTCTTAACTGCTGGACCATAGCCGCCGCCTCGCATATGGAACTTCTTGACTGGAGGAGGCATCATCCCGTTAAGGTCGGTCAAAGGGCCGCTCCCTAGGTCATTAGAACACACGCGAACCCTGAGATTGGCGTCGAATTTTTTCTTCGTCTCCAGCAACTCAGCTCGTCGGTTCAGTGTGAATTGCTCCCATTGAACTTTGCTGGCAGGACGGCGCCTTGACATGACGAGATCATATTCGGCTTGAGTGAGTTCGCCGTTCCGGATTGGCTCTTCTCGCATGGCCGCAAGCTCCTCCTCCGAGGGGACGGGTGAGAGCTCACCCGCTAGTCGGTCAGGATGGGGATAGAGGTCTCTCGGGCCCTCAACTTGCTTGCGATTCGCGGTTTCTTCCTGTCCGAACTGGGCAAGCGAAATAGTCACGTCTTCCTGTCGGCCCATGATCCACGAGGGGATGCACACGTTGAATTCTTCTTCATTCGAGGGTGCCAGGCGCGATTTGAGATCAAACGGCGCCATGCCGGGGTCTTCTCCTTCATTGAGTGGCCCGAAGAAAACGTCGGGCCGGTACATTAGCGGGTAGTTAGATATGTATGTGTGAGGGATAAGTTCGATATTGTGATGTTTCTCGCCCCATTCGTCGTACACCGGCGTTCCGGGCATTCGGCTCTTGTTAAGACCAGTGATTTCCGCCTCTCCCCCCTTCACACTGGTTGGCCGGATTGGCATTACCCTATCGACTGTCGCCTTTGGCTTGGTTGCCTTCGGCTGGGGTTTTTTTATTAGCGGAGACGCAGAAACAGAAGTGTTTGCCACAGGCGCGATACCTTCAAGCTCCTGTTCCATCTCTGCTCTCCACCTTGTCCGCTCCTCTGGATCATACTCGGTGCTGGCATTCAAATCTTCGATGACACTTAGAAGATTCGTGGCCACCGCCGTGCCAAGGCGGATTGCAAATTGGCCCCTCAGTTCCGGAAGTACTCCCAGAAAGTTGGCGGCAGCGCGCTGAAGGATCGCGACATCTCTCTCCTCGATTCGCAACATGTTGATATCTTGTTCCGCGATGGTTTCGGTCAGCTCGGATATCTTCCGTTTTTGGGCCTTTACTTCGTCACTCGGCTGCGTGCCAAATAAGCGCGGATTGAGGCCTAGAGTCTTGTATGCCTCTTGCACGTAGGCGGCTGGGTTGTCTTTTCCTCTGTTGTACTTCGACAGCGATTTCCAACCCGCGGGGAGCTCCCTCATTCGTGCTTCCTTGGATTGGTCACCAGCATTTTCCCGTCCGGCTAACCGAGTCTTTTTCGTCGGTGTGGGTTTAGTAGTGTCTTTGTCGGGGAATTTTTCCCTGATCACTTGCAGTCCACGAACTCCTGCATCGGTAATCCGGTTTCCTTCCGCGTCACCGGTGGGTCGTATGAAGCGACCAGACTGACAGTCCTGAAATATGCGGATTGTGTCTAGATCCACGCTTGGATCCTGACCAAACTCTTTCTCCCAGCGTTGGTGGAGCGTCCCAGGTATCAAAGCGTCGCAATTTTTGTCAAGCCATCCTTCTAATCCTTTCGCTTCATCCAAAGTTTGGAACACTTGATAGGCAGTAGCCTTTCGCTTGTCATCCATGGAAATTGTAACCTTCTTCTTCTCCCGGTCTTTCGTCGTTTCACTGGCTTTCCACGACCGACCACCTTTGGCACCATTGCCCGCCACCGTGGACTCCTTAGATGACGAACGAGTGAGCATCGTGACGCAAAAGATGCGAAAACTAAACGGAAGTGCAAGGCCAAATCAAGGCCCACGTTCGTTGAAACGGGTTTCCCTTCCCCTTTCTTAGGATTGATTTCGAGTTGGACCCTCGGAGTGAGAAGTACGATACGAAGGGAAAGCTGGGAGAAAAGGGGTTGAAAAATTTGTTATAGAATGAACTATCGAAGAGAAGAAAAAAATTAAAAGACCAACCAGTTCAGCAAACTTACATCTCAAGTATGCGGTAGAAAGCGCCGGATTAGGGATTGCCGCGCAAATATAAAGAAAGGATTTCCGGATGCATCGTGCTGCTTACGCTAAGCTAAAGTCAAACGTCTTTCATTCACTGTGTTGCATGTGCTTCCGTAGTACTGTCGCACTCGACAGGTAGATGCTTCGTAATATTGGGGTTTGGGGTGGGAACCAATGGAGTTCAGGCGAGGAATGCATTTCTGTAACATAACAAAGGTTTTGATGGCCGAAAACGATCCACACGAGACTATCATAACAACTAGCTGGGATTCGTCCTACAATCAGCATCAACAGCCGCACTCTCCAGAACGATCAACAAAGGGTGGATAACTTACAGCTCAGATTTTCCTTCCATTTCCCGCCGCCCTTTGCCGCTCCCAGCATTCTCCTCTCGGGTTACGAACCCCGTGTCAATAAAGCCTTCCAAATCCATCCATTCAGCCGCGAATGCTATGACTAACGTCGACCAATCTTCCACTGTGTCCGGGTCCAAGTGCGCCCCATCGTCCTCTATTCGGTGCCATACCGCTGGGAAAGGCGAAGGGATCATGTGCAGTACTTCAACGCCGCGGGCCATGAACGGAATATGGTCGTCTTCAACCATAAAGGCAAGTGATCCTTGATTGTCCTGCTTGTCGCCATGGATCAACCATCTTGGTTCGGTTACTCTTTCGGCGTCGGGAGACCGCTTAGAGATATGATTCGGTGAAGATTTAAACCGACCAGCGCTGCGCAGTCGATGTTCAAGACTGGCCATTGCCCGGTATGCCCAATGTGTAGTCGCAAAATACGAAGGGATTGTGGGATTTGCCCCTCCCAACAAATCTAGGAGCATGAATAATGTTATCGAGGACAGCAGCGTTTTGTAGGTGGATGGCGCTGGATGCATTGTCTTCTCCCATGTCTCTGAAAGGGATCTGTAAGACAGTCAGCCACATCGTGTTCACTGTATGCACAGCCAAAAAGCCTTCATACCTCGCTCCATATAGAGAGTCCGTATCAGTCCAGCTCGAAAATGCTTCTTCTCCATCCAAGAACAGGATCTGGATTCCCGTCTCTTCGTCGATACCGGCTGATCCATCCGCTTCCATCGCAGCCCATTTCTTCGTCAAGGCCTTGTCCAAGCTCCGCGCAGCGTGCAAGATCATCGCACATGGTGCAGCGCTATCCGTCGCTCCGATAAATCCTGTGGGTGTCAACTTGCTATCATAATGCGCCACCAATGCCAGTCTCCCCACATCCCCTTCCCTCGCCCACGGTGGATCTCGGGTCGCGATCAGGTTCCGGAAGGGAACTTGTTTGTCGCCAGTGGCCGGAGTTGTTGATGTCGAGTTTTGCCATTCAAGTTTCCAATCTGGCAGCTGTTCACGGAAGAAACCCGCGAGATGATGCATCACCCCTTCATGCGTCGGAGTCCCAGGGACTCGAACGGTAAGGATCGGTGCGAGGAGAGCGCCATTGTGGATATCGAAATCGCTGCCCGGTCCTGGGAGGCTGTTCAATGACTTGTCGGAAAGGGGAGTATAAGCCGTGCAGCCGATCCCAAGCAGCGCAAACAGCAAGCCGCGAAGCTTCATATGGGCTGAGGTATCAGAGATGGCCCTGAATAGCGGCAGGTCGGCGATCGGAAGTCGGAGAGCGAGGACCGACTCATTCGAGCAGCGAAGGGTTTTACTGCTCAAGGAGATTCATATATTCCCAATGGGCGACATTGACGCTGACAAGCATCAAAGTCCAGAGAAGTTCGGAGGTTATAACTGTCTCATATTAAACCATGTATCGATATGAAACATCATAAAATGCCACATGTTAGTTCAGAGCTTAAGATCACCGTCATCTAAACTTGCGCTTGGATGGTCCATTCCGTCCGCCGAGCGCCCGAGCCTTAGTGTAGATGTTGACTCCATATCTCCATCAAATCATAGTCCATACTCCCCATAAAATGTCGATGTGATTGATGTACTCGCAAGCATCATGAACCGAAGGACTCCATTGCTCTTGTGAATCGGTATAAATGTATTCAAATTGGTGCAATCGCTGGCGGCTCGCGTCTCATACAAGCTCCTTTCACTCGCCTACATTACTCGCGTTTGGATCCCGACAACGAGTAACTCTCCTGTCGTCACGATATGCCCAGTGTCTGAATAGAGGTCTCAAGTCGTCCAAGAAGGATGTCAAGCGTACGCCGGTCCCTAGAAGACGGGAGACAGCTGTTTCGAGGACACCGCCCGTGAAGGAGCCCAAAGGAGGTAATCGCCGCTCCGATATCCTAGCCCAATCCCCGTTGCTGATATATGCTTAGAGTATGGGCCGAGTATTATCGTTTATAATCAAGGCATATTCAAAATCGTGCTTATTGGGTGCATCAAAGTCGCCGCCTTAGCAAACTTTGTATACGGTTGCTTCTACAGCGCTCCACGATGCCTAGAACAGTCGGAGGATCGGTACGAGAAAGCCGTGGCAGGTATGTATATCGTTGACTTGGTCTGGTGCACTCGCCTGATACTTACCTAATATAGCAATGCTTCTTGGAATCTTTCCGTTCCTATTCCTCGCGAAGGCCAGTAGTCCTTGGGTCGCGCAAATTCGGCTTCAGTTACCGCTCGCGGCTCGACAAAACAAACGGGCGCTCGATCGGTTCTTGACCCGGATACCAGCAGACACGACCCTCGATATCGTCACCCTTCGGATTAGTGGACTGCGCAGAACCAATGCCGTACGCTTATCCGATTTGAGGATGACCAAACCTCAACGCTTGTCGATGGGCAACATGGAGATCATTCCGGCGGCTCGGCCGAAACCTCAAGGCATCGTTCAGACCGCGCTTCACTTGGCCCACGAACCGAGGAACCGTTTCCAGGTCGAGAATGAAACTTGGTTACGACAGCGCAGCGAACACCGTGAAGCGTGGACACACGTTCTCAAAACCATCACAGGCAACAGCACAGCGGCTCTCAGGACATCGGGATGAGTCCGCGTGGATGCTGAAAATAGATCAAACAAGTCGTATAATATTGTAACGAAGACGTCAATTGTGCTGGAACATAAAGCATTGTCCAAGAGGTTCATTACGCTTTGTTCGTTCTTTGTGTCGTGGGACCAAAATCGCCAACAATGTCTTTGTATGCGAGACTTCTCGTCACCATATAAGAGAGACTCATGGCTCGATCAGTTTGGAAAGGGGGTAAGAGCCGACCATTTCTCACTTCCGACACCATTGAACTAAGACGGTCAGTGCATCCAAACGTGCAATCATGTCGCCGATTCAAGTTTCCGAGTCGCTCTCTCAAGCTCTGACCGTTCTTCTTATGGAGGTAGTTAAGAGAAAGGAGGAACTCCAAGGTATGAAGCCGCGAAATGATCCCCTCAAGCAGACCCTCAGTACCACCCAGGAGGTGTGCGTCGAGCTTCTTGCGGACAGCACTCATCTCGGTAATGAGTATATCACTGCTCTACAGCAGATCAAGGATCTTGAATCCGCGTCTGGTTCTGACAGCCACCCCGACAGCGTTGATCACCTCTCGATTGAATCCGCCGAGTCGGCCATCTTTGAGCGACGGGAGTGGCTAGACCAGTACCACCTTTCCTCTCCGCAGACGTGTAGGCGCCCTCACCTTGCCGAAGAGCTGTTCTCCAACCGTGAGAGTCAGAAAGCCCTTATCGAGGTTGGAAAGGCCCTGAAAAGCAAGGACCTCGACGTGTGTGATCGGGTCGATGCGAAGATCCTTATCGCATGTATCCAGCGCTCTGCCAATGACCAAACCCGGGTCATCGCAACGCTCAACGAGGCCCACGATATCATTGACCGGCATCCGGAATTGTACTAGGAGTGGAAGCGGTTCAACTTCCACTTGGGGGTTGTACTGTTCGACGTTGGCAGCTATCAGGAGGCTATGGGCTACCTTGTGCCTGTGACCGAAGCGAAAGGATACGAGAAGGCAGTCGATATACAGATGCAACTTGTTGGAGTGGCTATTGCAGCGGAAAACGAATCGGCAGTGGGAGTAGAAACCGAAGGGTGAGCTGGTACTGACGAGAAGGCAGCAGCAGATCCTGTGCTGTGCACAGAAGCTGATGGAACGGGCTCTTAGATCCCATTCCATGTCTACCGGCTGGTCTCATTAGGCGGCTTTTTCAATAATCTCAACTTTCTCTACCGACATATGGCGTTCAAGGAATCAATAGATTTATAAATCGTAGCATTCAATTGACCTACCCGAATGTGACGTGATACCTACGGTTGTAATATGTATGTCTTACCAGTCCGAACCAGTGAGCTTGTGAGCCGGTTTAGCGCAGGAGAATCCCTCCCCTATTACTTTGCTACCCAAACAACAACCTAAACCCTAGGTTGCTTTTGACCAGCCGCCAACAAATCACTATTACAAACTTTAACTAAATCCCTCTTATTACTAGTACGGAATAGACCATGGGTCTTCCTAAACCAAGCCTGACATTCACATTACCTTCGCTTCATGACGATACTCCTCTCGACTGCCGCATATACCAGCCCAAAGCGACGTTGAACGGCGCTTTCTCCAATGTTGCCGCGATCCTAGCACATCCGTACGCACCGCTGGGAGGATGTTTCGACGATCCGGTGCTTGATGCCGTTGGCTCCGAATTGTTGGAGAATGGCTGGGCCGTAGCAACGTTCAATTTCAGGTAACCCAGATCAAGTTCCTTGGGTCCGCTCAAAGTTCCATGTATACAGCATCTAAACAGCCCTCCCCACGGGATATATATAGCGCCTTCAACGGGCGTGAAAACAAATTTGTTGCGATACTTTTTAACCGAAGTTCAGTTCTGTTTGCATAGTAGACACCACTCTTCGCGCGGTTAGTACGACGTGCTAATACTTCTGCTCTAGGGGCGCTTTAGGCTCTCATGGGAGGACTAGTTGGACCGGAAAGCCAGAAGTGGCCGATTATATCACGATAGCGGGATTTGTGATCTTCTATCTACAGCATCTGCAAGTACGGCAGCGTGGTATCCAAAGCCCGGAGGAGGGAGTAGGCCTTCCTCCTCAGGTGGGCAATCCAGAATCAAGCGATCCTAACACGATACATCTGATTCTGGGAGGATACTCATATGGCTCACTCATTGTCACGCACCTGCCTACTGTATCAGAGATCATTGCCCGGTTCTCGTCGCCAGTTGAGGGCTCGGCGGCGGCGGAGGTTCGTCTCCGAGCGCGACGACTAGCTGAAGAAGATGCGGCACTATACAGCGCTTCTCTTCCAGCTACGAATGTGGATTCATCCCCTTGTTCTCCATCCAAATCCAGATTGCTATCAATTGGTGGGGATGAAACCGATGCTGAGCATCGGAGGTCTCTCCGCGAGTTACGCAGAAGCATTGATGGCAGACCCAGCCATAGGAGTCTCGATCTTCCGGAGAGGATCCGGTCCATCCGTCATAAGGATAAAGGAAACCAGACCGGGCCATCCACGCTTGCGTCCGATGGCTCTGATCTTCAAGCAGGCCACATGCCCAACGTTGTCGAGTCATATCTCCTTATATCTCCCCTGCTTCCACCGACATCATTCTTCACCGCGGTATCGCTCCGAGACCCGAATCTAGAAAAGTTTTCACGGCATCCTACACTGGCGGTGTTTGGTGATTCCGACGTGTTTACTTCGATCCGGAAGTTAAGAGAATGGGCCGCCGGGAGGAGCCAGCCGGATGGTTCACGATTTCAAGGTGCGGCTGTGAACAAAGGGGGCCATTTCTGGATCGATCCGGCACATGTCAGAGAACTAAAGGAAGCGGTCATCCGGTGGGCTGCTTCAATCAAACAATAGGCCATTCAGCATTCTGAATGCATCTAGTGGAACTGGGAGGTTTCAATCAAGTGAACAAGAGCTTCTTGGTGGATTACGTGGGTTGAAGGCAATCCGGACAGGATACATATCATCGTGAGGTTTCTGTAGAGCATGCCATAGTCTCATGTGGACGAGGTGATCTCTTGCCCGTAAATGCCGATGAAGGAACTTCCAACCTCTCATCCGAGGGGTTTCATTGCCAAGGTTGAGGATATGTTGAAAACTGGCTTGGAAATAACGTGGATCATCAATGAGGGGAATCGTGTCACAGGAAAAATTACCTTAGCTATATCTGCCCTTCTACTAGCCTCCTAGTAGGGGCGTCCCTTTTTGGGGATTTAGCTTAGTTGGTTACATTTGACAAATCGGAGGGGTCGCGACTGGAGTGGAGAGTGGATGGAACACGTGAAAGGTTTCCGCTGAACCAGAAGCAATCCGATCAGTGAGGTATTTGTACATCATCACACAAATTGCTTGGACGATTGAAATCAACCGAGCAATTGGAAGAGCATTAACAATCGGATTGTTTATCTCCTTCGATTTGAATCACAAACATCATGCAGACAACAGGAGCTGAGACAGCTCCAGACCAAGCTCAGAATCTTCCCGAGTTTCAAGTCCACGAGCCAGAGACCGTGTGCCGCGCCAACGGGATTCCACCCATCACTGACCCGAGCATTCTACACAACATACGGTACCTGGGCCAATTCATCAATCGGTATATCCGAATCTCGATCACAGACGCCCGTGTATTTGTCGGCCAGTTGCGCTGCCTCGACCGGGTATGATCCCCCATGGCGCGAATATGTTAATTAGATGAAATACTGACTCCCTTAGGATCTGAATATTATATTGGCTCTGACGTATGAATTCCGTCCACCAACCGTGTCGGATCTGGAGCGAGCCGCAACCCAGGCACGGGAGGCCGGGTTGCAAACCCAGCGGGTCGAGACGCCAAAACGATATGTTGGTTTGGTTGTCATCCCCGGCAAGCACATCACGAAGATCGAGTACGAGGAGTCGTGATGCGCCACCGGGGAAATCCCAAGATCCGAAGCTCGCAGGCCGTATTTTTATTATCGATATATGTATACATGGAACGCCCCAATCAAATCTGGCGGACCTCCTTCCCAACCATGTCGGGTCGCTCCGCTTCCCATTCGTCGCGGAGCACCGCGAACAGCGAATCCCCGAGGATCATGATGAGCGCGAGACTCCAGACTAGTGTTATGGCGTAAAAGAAGTTCGCGTTGCCTGACCCGGCATATATCCAGAGATGATAGAAGGCAGGCCCGAAGAAGGTTGCATAGAGCAACACGGTGGAGGAGAGAAACGCGTACCGCATCACTAGAGGCATGTATTAGCGACGCATTGAGCAGATGTGACGGCTTTTCTTACATGGGAACACATGGCTGTAAAGGCTCAGGCAGCCAACAAAAACCGCGGTTTCGGACACGCTCGGGTATGGCAGGAAGATGGCAAATATCCCCAACAACGCAACGATCGCGAACAGAGGCTGTTCCCGTAGACGGAGGGTCAAACCGCCGACATAGGAGGCCATGTGCAACCAGAAAACCGCCAAGAAGAATTCCCGGAACGAGTCAAACATCTCGGTGAAGAAATACCACCACAGGCCGACGTTGGGAGTCAGGTCCGGCAGAAGGAGGTGGAAACCATATGTGGAACCGATGAATTCCCACGACCCGGTCAGCATGTACGATATGCATAGTAAGCATCCGATGGCAGCCACCAAGCCTCCGGTATGTTGTATTGCGAACGTGACCGGGGACGGGACGGTCGGCTTCGCAGCTGCTTGGCGAACTTGTCGGTCGTAACAAAGGATGAGAAGCGGCGGAGCAAGGAGGATCGGGTAGAGCGAGGTATAAGAGGCAACGGCCAGTGAAAGCACGAGGTGGAAGGAATGCCCAGCGGTTGCTTTGAAGATGGCGAAAAGAATGGCGCAGTTGGTGAATGCGCTCGTTGACCGCGCCAGACAGGTAACGATGGTGAAGGGGTTCAAAAGGAAGCTATTCCGTCAGTATTTTTCGTTGAGAGAGGAGCAGACTGTCCCACCTCGCGCCAATCGCAGCACTACTCCAACTAAGATGCTTTCGCGGAGAGGTATATAGTCGCGATGTGACTGATTCGCCGGATTCGGCGGTCCTCACGAGTGCATAAGCACCCAACAGGTCCAGAGCTATGTAGACAATCGCGGTGGGTAGGGGATGGGTCGAGACGTTTGGAAGAAGGGCAAATATGGGTAGCAATAGAGGAGCCTTCCTGAAGTTAGAGTAGTCCGTATCAGAGGGTTCATATCGGGTACCTGGTGAAAGACTCCGCCATCGTATGGAGAAACATTGTGGGTATACAGAAAAAGGCCTTCTTGCACTGTAGGAATTGGTGGATGGTTAGGACTGCGAATCAAGCGGGATAGGGCATTTCTCACATCTCTTAAAGCTTGTAATGGGTGTGGACACTTCCACTCGGCCGGTCAATAGATCTGGGAGGGAGGGAAAGGCGATGAAGAGGAACAGGCGCACTGCGGCAGCAGCTGCAAAGAGCAGGACGGTCTGCTTGTCCACTCCCATGGTATGTGCTACCTCACCGACTGACAGCGAGTCATGATAGATATTTGGAACAGGTTTCCAAGGGGTTAATGGGACAGTATCCTTTCTGGATAGGATGTCCGGCGACTGATCAATTGTACATCGTTGTCGCTCTGTACAGATATACCGATGTACGGGCATACACAAATACCACACTGGTCCCTACAGTCCAATGGAGGTTGGTGCTTAATAAGCATTTACATCCCTGTAAACAAATCCCTGTCGATAGGTGGGGACGACAGGGGTGAGACCCTTGCTCGAAATTTCGAATTTTGCCGATGCTTCATCCAGTTCATCGTGATAAGTTCTCCATGCTGAGAACCTGAATGCGACATCTTTAACCACAATTCCACAACACTCTTCACGATGGGGCGCATTAAGAAAAAGGGTGAGAGGACGATCAACGATTTCCATTCCAGGAACTTGTAAGCTGATATCCATTGTCTAGGAACCGCTGGCCAGGCCAAAAACTTCATTACGAGGACACAGGCAGTCCGGAAACTTCAGATCTCGTTGCCAGACTTTCGCCGACTATGCATCTTCAAGGGTAAGCATTTCGTTGGATCTGTTCAATTCTACATCGCTGACGAAATCTCCAGGCATTTATCCCCGCGAGCCCCGGAACAAGAAGAAGGCGAACAAAAGCTCGACCCCGTCCACCACCTTCTACTACTCCAAAGACATCCAATATCTCCTCCATGAACCGCTGCTCCAGAAATTCAGGGACCACAAAGCGCTGGCGAAGAAGATCAACCGCGCCCTCGGAAAAGGACAGTTCAAGGGTGCGTCGCGACTGGAGAAAAACTTGACTCCGCGCATGCGGATAGATCATATCATTCGCGAGCGATATCCTACCTTTGTGGATGCTGTAAGGGATTTGGACGATGCGCTGTGCATGGTTTACCTGTTCGCAAACCTCCCGTCCACCGAGGAGGTGCCTCACAAGACCATTGCGCTGTGTCAGCGCCTTTGCAACGAGTTCGAGCATTACCTGATCGTGTCGCATTCGCTTCGAAAGTCGTTCTTATCGATCAAAGGCGTATACTACCAGGCAACGATACAGGGCCAGGACGTCTTATGGCTTGTTCCCTACAAATTCGTGCAGCGAGTAACCGGGGATGTGGACTTCAGGATTATGGCGACCTTTGTGGACTTCTACACGAATCTCCTGGGATTTGTTAACTTCCGATTATACACGACCCTCGGCTTGGTGTACCCGCCGAAATTCAATCAGCTGAGCGATGAGCAAGGCGGTGAACTCGGAGCTTTCACCTTGCAAGGCCATGGACTTGGACAAGAAGAGGATCAGGATGAGGAGATAACATCTGTGACGACCAACCCGAAGGCACAAGCAATCGCGGATGCACTGGCACAAGAGGAAGCTGGCGCCATTGAGGAGACTTCGCAAAACGAAGATAGCTCAATGGCTGTCAAAGATACTGAGGAGGCGCCCGTGGACGATGCACCAGCTGATCTCGCTGGTGCTATGATTCCGGGTTCGTCCGATTTCGATCAGGCTCTGCAACTTCAAGTCGACGACACCCCTTACGCCACCCTTTTCTCCGACATGTCCGTGTTCCTCTCTCGCGAGTCTCCACGACATGCACTGGAGTTCCTTCTTCGATCGTTCGGATGCAAGCGCATCGGCTGGGAAGAAAGTCTCGGCGACGGAGCGTTCAAGAGCGATGAAAACTGGAGTGGGTGGACGCATCAGGTTGTTGATCGGCCAGGTGCGCCGTCGACGGGAGGTTCGGCACCGCACGACGAGACCGAGGCAGGGGCACAGTCCGCGGCAGACTCCCAGCAACGTGTTCCGGACCGAGCTTATGTCCAACCGCAATGGGTATGGGATTGTGTCAACGCCGGACGTATCCTGCGGACGGATCTATACGCCCGGGGAGCTACACTTCCGCCTCACTTGAGTCCCTGGGTGAAAGCGAAGAAGGGTGAATACGACCCAACGCAGCCACTGGAGCCAGCAGATACAGTCGATGCTGCTGAACAGGAAGAGGGTGCAGCTCAACCTCTGGCCAACGGCGCTTCCAAGGAGGAGGAGGAGGAGGAGGAGGAAGAGGAAGAAAGCGATTTATCCGATGGCATGCAGGAGGACCTCTCGGAAGACGAAGATGAAAGTGCCGACGAGACCAAAGCAGACATTGACGAAACGCTGGGCGATCTCTCGGACGACGACGACGACGACAGTGCATCGGTGTCTTCAGCCGAGGTTGATCGCCAAAGCCATCAACTCGAGTTGGAGGCGGAGGCGGCGGGCGTCAAGCCGAGTGCGAAGAAATCCGCGAAGAACGCCAAACCTTCGGCACCAGCGAAGAGCGAGAAGGCGAAGCAAAAGGAGCGCGAGGCGCGAAAGGAGCAGGAGGAGGTCGAGCGGCTGAAGGGGATGATGAGCAAGCGGAAGCGGATGTTGTACGAAAAAATGCAGTACGGGAATAAGAAGCGGGAGGATGAGGCGGAGAAATTGAAGAGCAAGCGCCGGAAGTTGGAGGCGACGAAGCAGCGGGCGGGTGGCAAGTCATAGTTATAAAGCGCTACATGTACCACTCTGAACTTCACGGAAATGGGAGATAATGCTCTTTTATGCAACAGCCATGTAGTTCCTACAATTCCTTATGACCCGTGAAGTTGGTCCCATCATTGCATTATTAGACCAGGCCTCTATTTCACCTTCGGCTTGCTTGCCAGACTTTCTCGAAGAACTTATGTATCGGGGCTTCGTCGATCGGACAAACCAGTGCTACGTACTGATCTGGCCTCACAACGATAACTGCGCCGTGGCGAGGATCCACTCCCCATGCATCGTACGCCTGTCCATGGCCACTGTTATAGCTTTTATCGTCCACGTAGACGTGGTGGAACTGGCGAATTTTGTACGTTCCCCTCTCAGACGCATAACTCTCGGGAATATCGCTCTGTTCGATCGCGGTTCGGTCCCCGTGTAGCACGAGAACCGGCTCGATCATATTTGCACCGTCGATCTCCGGGCCAAACTGAGGGTTTTGATCTTTCCACAGGAACGCGGATCCGCTGTCCCCCTTCCTCACGTTTTGAACGCTGCCACCCAGGACGACAACTTTCCATTTTCCGTCCGCATCCAAAGCTGCGGCTGAAAGTTGAACTGCCCGAGAGTCGATGAATCTGACAACTTGGGCGCTGGGAAACCGCATCCCCACGGTGATCTTCGTGGCCAAATTCTGAGTGGTCCGACTTAACGACGTGATCATTGACTCGTCATAGGAAGTGGTGAGGCCGGCGGTATAGAGGCCTGACATGATGAAGAACTCGCGGAACGTCTCCGCCGCGGTGGCGATCTTGTTACCGCCGGTCTGGATCGAAAAGAGCTTGGTGAGTTTCCGATCAAAGGCGATCAGGTCGGCTGCAGTCTTCTCGCGCTCGAGATTGTAGGTTCGGAGTAGGTCCGGGCTAGATAACCCTTTGAGCACGTAACCAAGCTTCCAGCCAATGTTGTATCCATCCTGGAGACTCATATTCATGCCCTGCCCAGCTTTCGGCGAGTGCGTGTGAAAGGCATCACCCATCAAGAAGATCCGATTGTCTTTCGAGATCTGGTCCGCGAGACGCTGCCCGATCGCATATGCGGACCACCAATATGTCTCGACAATCTCCAGACTGTATTGCGAGAAGATTTGGCGGGCGCTCTCCTGCAGGTCTTTCAACTGGACTGTCTTCGGATCCGTCCCGTGCGGCAGTTCGATGTAGAATCTTGACATAGTTCCACCTTCGCGGGGAATGATGAGTAGATTGCCAGCTTGAGACCGAAGGGTCGTCTTTTTTCGGATATCTGGAAAGTCGGTTTGGGCAAAGCAGTCCATCACGCCCCAGACGGCATCACTCGTATCTCCCACCATAGTGAAGCCTAGGCTTCGTCTCACGATACTATGTGCGCCATCGGCTCCCTTCTAAAGTTAGCGCATGGCTTTGGAATGAGGGTAATGCCGCTCACCAACACATATTTTGCCCGATACATGCGCTGTTTCCCCTCCTTCTCCGTTTCCACAACCACTGGATACGGTTCGTCTCCCGAGCCCCCGAGCACAGCATTAACCTTCACACCGTACTGGACATCCTTCCCGCCGAGCCGTTTCATGGACTCGATGAGGATCATGTTAAACCGTGCCTGGTTCAAAATGACATGATGTCTCCAGGAGATGCCTTCCTCCACGTCCGGAGCCCGTCCACGCCGCTCAATCTTCGTCTCATCTCCGTCCCCCGGTGCCCAGAAGCAGACCTCGTTGACCCAGTATGCATCTTTCACAAGCTCTTCTGCCAGGCCAAAACTCTCAAACACCTCGACCGTTCGGCATTGGACGCCATCCGCATGACCGAACTCTAAGGGCCCATCACGTTTTTCGACGATGACGAAGTCAATCCCCAGGCGAGTCAGCCACTGCGCAGCGCAGAGTCCAGCCGGGCCAGAGCCGACGATGATCACATCAACTTCCTCTGCCTTGTCCATGATAAATGGAACCTGTATGGAGAGACGTTGGGGTGCGCAAATGTCAAACAAAATTAGTCGCTTTCTCTTACTTCGAGTATCACTTAGAGATGGATCGTTGTTCTCGTTTCCCAAACCATCAATGAAGGTGGCAGCATTGCGCTTTTAGATAATGCTGGACCTCTTGTCAATTGTCTTCCATTAGTGCTCAACCTTTTCAAATTTCCATCTTCGTCAGCTCTGATTGGCGTTCTACGCTGATTCACGGCATTTGCGGGCGGCATCTTTGAGGCGGGAGCCGGAAAGCATCCCCGGCAAGGTATCCTGTGTTGTTGGAGAGATGGAGTCGGCGGTAATTCGTAGTTATGCGACCGGTTCCATTCAAACCCACGAATGACCCCGCGTCGCCACGGGATCGTTCCGGTTGTGGGTCCGAATGCCTGCGTACGGGTAGCCGGTAGACGGATGAAGAAACGAGGCCGGTAATGTATCGGCCGAGATATCAGAATGCAGATGACTGCTACGTATAACCCGTTTTACGATTCTCTTGTGGGGAATGAGACTGGTTACTGGTTAGGTTTCATCAGGTTAAAATAAGCAAACTATGAACTCATGTGCATATAAACCACAATTAGGAAGATTCGCTGGCGGGAATCAGTTCAACAATCACGGATCCATTGCACCAAGGACGGGCTAGTCTAGACTTTCTCCATTGTCCTAATGTATAATGAGCCTTTTCGAGCCCGTGCCCCATCCTTTCAAAGTTTCAAGGCATCCCAATTATCCCATCCCGTTGAAGCGCCGACGAGCGCGTTTCCCTAACCAGTCCGCAAATTACTCATATCTGGGGTCATCGTCGGGACTTCCCGCCCCTCCCCAGCCACCCGGTGTCTCCGCTGCAAATACTCCTGGCGTGGGCGCTCCATACGCTCCGGGAGTGGGCGCCGCGTAAGCCCCGGGCGTCGGCGCACCGACCGCAGGTGTCTGTCCATACCTCGGAGTCGGATGGTCGGCCGGGGCAGCAGGCGTGGGCGCGTTGAAATGATCGGCAGGCGTCGCGGCGCTGTACCGGTCACTGGGAGTCGGCGCGCCATATCGGTCGTTATAGTGGTCGCCGGGAGTTGGAGCGGATATAGCAGGAGTGTAGCCAATACCATCACCGGGGGTCGGGGCGCTATCACCAGGGGTCGGAGCGGTGACGCCGGGGGTGGAAGCATGATGAGGAGCTGGGGTACGGGAGCCGGAATTGTAGGCTGGGGTGCGAGAGCCATCGTTCCAGGTATTGCTGGAGGAGAAGCCGTGGGCGCCGTGGGGTGTACGGGAAGAGGCACCCCACTAGGGAAGGGTTAGCGATATTCCTAATAGGGTTATGGGAGGAACTTACACTTCCGCCGCTGCCACCGCTGCCACCATACGCCGTCCTGCCGCCATCATCCCGGGCGTAAGCCGTCCTGCCCCCATCCTCCCGAGCATAGGCCGTCCTTCCACCATCATCACGGGAATAAGCCGGTGTTCGCGAAGAAGAGTTCCACGGGGACGGTGTCATTCCGCCATCATGCCTCTTCCATGCTGGTATATCTCCAGCGCTCCTCATACCCCAAGCAGGTGTTTGGCCACCGCCAGCACCCGCGGGAGTTCGGCTTCCCGACCAAGCTCCGTCTGGCACACGAGACGGAGTGTTGCCATACCTGATAGGGGTCCTGCCGAACCCGCCAGCACCTGCTCGTGGCAGTGCCTTGCCGCTCTCAGAGTCTCGAATCAAGAGCATGTCTTTGCTAACGGAGACGGTTTTGCTCTTGGTGTGTAGTTCAACCCGGGCCATCGTATCGGTTGCGTCCTTGACGATGCCGAGTAGGCCTTTGTGAGGGCCTTTTCGAATGGAGACCGTCTGACCGATCATCCGATCGCGACCCATGGTCCTCGGCGGCGGCATCATTGGCGCGCCATTTGGGCTTCCGTTTCGTTGAAGGGCAGGGTTCATCTTCGACAGGTCAGGACCGGCATTAACCCGCCCTCCCTTGGCGGCAACCGTGGTGACGTTCAGGCTGCGAACGACAAACACACCTGCATTTTCGGCCTGCGTTCGATTCTGGCAGAAGAGGTTGTTCCGATGGATGTGCAGGACCGATCCCTGCTTTTGCTCGCCGCTATACTCCTTCACGGTATCGTCGGTTCGGATTTCGGACCCTTCTCGGTCGGTAGCGACAGCATTCCGACGTCGATCAATCTTGTTCGAGATGCTTGAAGGCAGCAGCGTGCGAACGGAACCATTTTGGTCGAGGACACGGATCGATTCACGATCGGCTTTGATAACGCAGGCGACCGTGGTGGCACTGGATCTAGTTAGCTTGACTGCAAACTACGTGAATCAGATAGAAGCAGATACGTACTCAAGCTGCACCAAGTCATACAGATCGTACTTGGACGACACGGTTGAGACGCCGGAATCTGCTGCTTTGCGAAGATCCTTGCTGAAGACTGTAATCTCCTGACTGTTCGAGTCCGTGAGCAGCGTCACCCGGTCCTTGATGATTCGAACAACCATTCCTGCTTCATCGTGGTATTTGCTTCCACCGATGACCTTGACATGATCGCCCTCAACAAATTTCTTCCGTAGGTCCTTGACCGGCGCATCGATTCTCATGCCAGGTTTTCCGCCTTCCATAATGTCCAGACTGACGATGTCCCCGTGCACGGTTGCGACCTTGCCCACGAGACCGGATTGCTCGCCTTGATAGATTTCCACGATATCACCCGAAGCGTAGCTCGATGCATCCTGCGTGGCTTTCAAGGTGGCTGCAATGGCTTGGAGATCGAGGTTTTCGGTACCGTCCTCGGCTCCCGCGGCGAACTTGGTGACTTCCTCCAACGTGGGATTGACGTTTTCGGTCTGGATATGCTGCAGTTTGAAGTCCTTGAGCAAAAATCCGTCGATGTACGTGTCGTTCATGTAGGAGATGGCATTCCGTTGCAGACCCTTGGCAGCTCCCAAGTATTTCGCGTTTTTCTTGCGAGCTTCGTGTTCGCTGAACAGGCGTTGAGGCGGCCTGGATGCTGCGGTCGGACCTTTCTTGACACCGAATCGCTTGCGCTTCGCGTCGCCTGCCGGGGCGTTGGGATCCTCGGTGATACCATAGTTGAGGCGAGGAATGAGACGGAGTTGCACTTCCAGCCCATTCGTCTCGACCTCTTCCACCTGGGCTAAATCGCCAGCGTAGAGGCCTCGTTTGATTCGCACGTACATTCCAGGCTCCAAGGACTTTGACTTCTGCACTCGAAGCAGACCGGGCATCTCGTTGATCGGGATTAGCATGCATTTCGATCGCGGGTAGCAGTCTTGGAGACCGTCGGTTGCCAAGAATACATCGTCTTGCCGTCTCGCTTCGATGTAGATGTGGCCCGCCATCAGGTCCCCACGCGAAAAGGCCGAGATCAGAGGAATCGGTTCCCGGGTATTGAGTCGGCTGTCCCATCGCCTCATGACCGATAGGACCACCTCTTTCTCTTTGCCTTCTCTGCACCGGACGGCCCATATCGACGGATCGTCCACGGTCGGGAGTAAAAGACGTTGCGGAACGACGACATCATCCATCGCCATGCGACTCTGCTTTCCGTATTTCTGTCGCCATTCCTCGGCTTGTTTTTCCGCGTCCAAGCTCGCCATGAGATCGCGTTGTCGGTCCAATTGTCGGTGGTGGCGGTCATCGTCGACGCCTCCTAAGTTGAGCTCGAGGTTATCATCCGGATGAGGTTCGTCTCCAATATCGTCTTCCTCGATCTCATCTTCGTCTTCCTCATCGTCGACTTCCGCCTCTTCGTCGATGAATTGTAGGCGTGGATCTCGCCTCCTTCGTTTCCTAGGTCGGCCCTATGAATAGTCAATACCGGGCACGCGCATGAATCCCATGTCACTTACTGCTACGACATCATCCTCCTCATCACCATCCTCGTCATCGTCTTCTTCATCGTCGTCTCCTTCGGCCGCGTCTCCGCCACGGTCTTCATCGTCCTCATCTACATCCTTGGTGTCGCGCTCCTCGCGTTCCTCGTCTTCGTCATCCGCCTCCCGTACTACTGGAGAGGCGGATTTACTAAATCTGGATGGCCTGGGTGCCGCAACATCCTCGTCGTCGTCATCCACTTTTGATGGTTCCCGTGCTGACCTCGACTGGTCATCCGACCCGTTTCCGGCATCCTCATTGTCCGACTCAACTGGGGGAGCAGGATTGAAGTCGTCATCATCGGATTCGGTGCCGGAGCCAAAGTCCTGGTTATAGAGCGCGGACATGACTAATGGTTCGAGGGATGAGCGAGTGAGATATGATCAAAGGACAAGTGATAAAGAGATTAAAGTATCAGGCAGCGCAGGAAGAGGCCATGTGAAGAAAACGTAAGAAAGAAAGAAGGGAGAAGCAGTGAGCAGAGAGGAGCGAGTGCGACGATAGGTGTGAAGGACAAGTTCCCGTTCATGTCTTGAACTGCTGTGAAAGTTGTTGCTTGGAGGCTTGCAGTTGCATTCCTCAGGCCACAAGGCTCCAATACATCCATGTCTATAAATTGGTTGCATGTGAGCACTGAGCAGTGACTCAGTGAGACAGCGAGACAGATCAATGACTAATCATGTTCCATCAGTTAGAACTCAGAACTCAGACCCAGAACAGTCGCTGCTGGTCACGTGCACGGCGGTCACTCCACCCTCTGACCATTTCCCGCTCATCGCTCGCTCTCTCACTTCATGCTTTATTGCACCATTGATATGTAAATCTTTTGCCAGCTTGATTCCTACATAAGGTACTGATTAATATGATCATCTATAGTCTACCATTGGCCAGCGTTCCATCGTCCGCTACTTCAACCACCGCCCTTCCCCAGACCTTGTGACCCTCGACATCTGCGAGCGCTTGCGGTATACTCTCTATACCACGATAGCTACCGTCGAACACAACTGGGCGAACCTTTCCAGAATCAACCATGTCCATGAACTCCTTCCATATTTCCCGTGTCTCGTGTGGGAGCCGCCTCGACTGCTCGCCAAATCTCTGCAATTGCCGTTTGTCAGCCAAGTCCTGACCGGACACCGCATCATCGCGACTCTCAAGCCATTCTTAAACCAAGAGAAGATAAACTTACGTATCCAATTACTGATGCAGCGTTCAGCAGTAATCGGTTCATTTGGATCTTCTCCATGACACCCTGGAGCCCCGCGAATCCAACCAGAACGATCCTCCCGGCATATTTTAGACACTTGAGACTTTTCCCCACCACGCCGACCGCATCGTACACCGCCTCGACGCCTTCGCCGTTGGTCATCTCGAGCACCTGTTTTTCCCAGTTGTCGTCCGCATAACACACCGTCCGGACCTGATCTCCTTCGCCCAAGCTTCGGACCACGTCCGCTTTCCGCTCATCCTTTCCCACCAGCGCAATGACCTTCGCCCCCAGCGCCAGTGCAATTTGTACTGCACAGATCCCAAGGCCACCCGTTGCGCCCGCCACTAGCATTGTCTCTCCACCCTTCAGCTTCGCGATCTTGACCACTGCACCATAGCTCACCGCGCCGCTGGCACCGACCGCACACGCATCTCGATTCCGCCAACCCGCTGGCGTCTTCCGAACTCCGTCCGCCTTGGTCGCGTCGATGGAGATATACTCCGCGAACGTCCCTCCTCCCCCGCCGAAGACTCGGTCTCCGGTCCTGAGGCCGGAGGAAGACGGCGCCGAGACGATGACTCCAGCGAATTCAGTGCCGAGGATGAAGGGCGGTTTCATATGCCGGCGGTTGTTTTGATGCTTGCCTTGAGAATAGAGGACATCGACATGGGTGATGGGACAATGGGTTGTTCGGATAATGATCTTATCGTCTGACGGCGCTGGATGGGGAAGTGTGGAGGTGCGTATATCCGTGGGACGCTTCAACACTGTTAGCACCTCTGCATGGGATCGAGTATCAATAGCAACCGGAGCTTCTGGAAAGTCCAACTGCGTGGATGCTGTACTGACCGGGATGAATTCGGTGATGTGTATCGCCTGCATGATTGCGCTGGTTGACTTTTGCTAGTCTTGAATATTGGTGATTGACTGGCTCAAGGAAAGTTGGCTGACAGCAAACTATGATTTCCGAAGTTGACAATTAGAAATACTCCTGATTTCTCGAAGTCATGCGGTCTGCGGGAAACGACCGACAATTCCTCCTCCAGCAAGCGTCAGCCAGGTACGGAATGATCTGGATGGCGGGGCGAAAGCCGAGGTCAAGGATCTACGTTATACATGTTCAAGCAGGAGTAGGCGATTTGCCAATTCTATTCTGGAAGTCAAACGTCCGGAGCTTAATTGTACCCTGTTGCATTGACGGCTGCAACCTTAAGGGTTCATTGCTGTCGGATGGGGGTTCTATTATTATTTTCAGGTGGGGGGGTTCCAGGATTTATGTTTCTCTTGTCCATGCGATCAACGATAATTACTGTAGACAGTACGTAGAGCAGAATACCAGTACGATTTAAAAACCATCGAAATTTCTGGCCAAGTACGAAGCGCACCAAATGAGGTTCTGTTCCTGAGAAAGCGGCGAGGCGGGCTTATATTTGGTCTGTACCGGATTTGGAGCATTCCAATCCGAATAACTTTGACCATCGACACGTACATTTTGATCCACTCCATCTTGACCAACTGAACCTACACAACCCCATAGTCTTACCAAGTGCAATCCTCACAAAACACCACACATACCACCCCGATCATGGGCTGGCTCTGGGGCTCGAAAGCGGACGACTCCGCCGTTTCCATCGATAAAGAGCTTCAAGAAGTCCTCCGACAGGAGGCTCCGAAACCCACTCTCCCAGTTCCATCCTCCAAACCACGGCCGCAACAACCCCCAGAAGCGCCCCAGAATGACGAGAATACATCACGCGTTAATACAAAATCTCTCTTCCCCGACGGCCGCTACGACCACCTGTGGAAGACATACCGGCCCATCGATGAAGTCGAACATGGCCAACGCACGCATAACGAGGTACTACGGGACCTGGTCGACGACATGAAAGATCGCAAACGCCAGGTCGCCGACGCGGCGAAGGAGAACTGCATCTTCGAGGTGCTGGCGACCAACGACTGCTGGGCCAACGGCGGGCTCCAATCGCGCATCACCATGTGCAGCGACGAGACGAACCGGCAGGCCCGGTGCATCGAGCTGCAAAAGAAGTTTCTGTACGCGTTGGGGTTCTATTCGTACTATGACCGGCCGCGAGACGAGATGGATCGACTCCAGATACACGCCGATCGACTCTATCGGCAGATGATGGAGCATGAGAAGATCATCGAAGATGCGAGGGCCCAGAACGAACCCCTCCCCGAGTTGCCGCCGGTCATGTCGCGGGAGAACGTCACCAGCGTGTTCAAAGAGGTGGCCAAGAGCAGTAAAGATCCGAATCGGACAGCCGAAGGCGTGCCGTCCATCGAGTGGATCTTCGAGAATTCGCCCAAGATGGTGCGGGAGGAATACGAACGGTCGATTCAAGATAAGTCACCGGAAGAGGTCGCCCTGATGCAGAGGGAGCTGGAGGGGAAGGAGTTCTACAAGCGGCATAGCAGAGGGGATGTGAGCGACATCTACCGCTATGAGCGAGAGGCACGCGCGGAGAGGAAGGAGAAAGGAAAAACCTACTTTGGAGACTTTATCCTCAATTGGGGAGGGTTCAATTCGGCGGAAGGGAAACCTGGAACTCGAGAGTCGTCAGACTCGGCAGGAAAGCAATGAACCTGTGTATATCCCATGTATGATACGAAGTTGCTGGCTCTTGTAAGATACTGTGGATGCCATATCATGCAATCCATACTCGAAACCAAACCCCGACTCAACTGATCCATCCACGATGTTTAGCGCATGTATATTCTCTAATAAGTCTTATCTATGTGGAATATATGTCTCTAATGGGGTTCTCCCGGGTCTAACTCTTTCCCATATTCGGCAAACCCGTAATGAAATCCGCAATCTCCTCGCCGTTCTTCATGGGCAGATCATGTCCCGCATCTAGGACTTCGGTCTGCAAAAGCTCCTCGCCAAAGATCTCGAGAGCGTCGGGGCCCACCTCATCCGCCTTGACGATCGAATCCGTGTGCCCCAGCACGAGTAGTACCCTTTTCTCTCGCCCGTCCGCTTCGAACGCATGGCGAACCTTCCTCCACGTCTCGTGCTGCTTGGTGATCGGGCCGTGTTGGATGGCGCTGATAAAAACCGAGAGGAACCCCTCGTGATGTTTGATCTGCCAGTCGGTTGCTTTGGCGGCATTGATCGATGGTCTCGAGGGCACCAGATTTGGACCGTGCGAGACACTCTCCACGCCAATAACGGGCTCTTTCCGGCTCTGCGGATTGCCAGGTGTACTTGGAATCTCTGCGGTGCCAATATCATCTTCGTCTGGGTTCGACTCGTTCGTGGGTCTGACCAGCGGAGGTTTCTCGGGCGCCGGTTTCAATCTCCGCCCAACTGCCCAGCGCACAAAGGAATTGGGGATCAGGCCGCCATTGTTGTATAAGATGTGGCTGGTCCAGCTAATGTGATGCTCGCGCATGATGCCCCCGGGTGCAAGAAGGACGAGATTTGAGACTAGATGGGGGAAGTAGGAGATAAACGTCGCTGCAACGCCGCCTCCAAACGAATAGCCGACAATGGTAAAGCCGCCCGAGCTCGCTCCCGTCCATGGCACGGAAGAGGAAGCCAGGACGTACAGAATCTGGGTGATATAGAGGGACGCATCGTGCGGATGGTTTTTCGGGTTCGGAGCCCCAGAGAAGCCCCGACCGAAGAGATCGAAGACCATGACCCGGCAACCGCTTTCGACTAACCGGCTCGCGATTTGAACCATGCTAATACACGGCGTGCTGATGCCGTGCACGAGGAGAACTTTCTTGCCATCTGTCGGACCCCATTCGTACACGCGGATACTGCCGAGTGGGGTGTTCACATTGCGGGCACCAGGATAGGCATCGGGGGGGTATGGCAGCGTCCTGATGGCGTCGTCGGAAAGAGAGGGAAGGACGGTGGTCAAGGGAGACTGATATGGGGTGTCTGATAATGTCCTCCTCCTATAGTTTGACGCCAGGAGACCAACCGCAACACCTGCTGCAACAGGTACCCATGACTTTGACCAAGGAGATCTGGTAATGAAGTGAGTGACACCAGACAACTGCATTGCTGATATGGTTGGAGACGAGATTAACGAAACCCAGTGGAATACTTCATGAATACTACGAATTGTTGCATACGGTAGGGCATATAAACACCTCTTAGAGAGAGATCGGACAACAATGCAGCGAAAGCAGTCAGATTACCAGTGCCGTATGTCAGATGGAAGAAGTTGCTTGGTTTGGTGAATGGTGGGATCAATGTGGGCTCCCGAAGTCGGCTTCAAAGCCCCCGATCCGCCGAGAACGATGCATGACATAAAAGTCGGAATCTGATATCTCACATCTGCATACAGTCAACCACCGCTATAACGATTACCGCTACAGCGATATTCTCGTTATAGCGATAAGATTCCCTGCACGGATTCTCAATCAATGCTGCCAAGAAAATTCGTTTTAGCGATATCCGCGTTATAACGATTGGATTCGCCTGTACGGATTCAATTGTTATAGCGAAGGTTGACTGTACCATACTCCTCAGTCTTCACTGGACTGAACAGTTCATTTTCTCAATCATTGAAGGATACAGATCCCTTCGTGGAATGGTTGATCTAGAAGGCAGGAAGAAAAAGGTGGTAGTAATAATAGTGGCTGATACGTACAGTTGTACACGTTGGTGTTACAACAGGGCATTGCGGGCGGCCGTCTTACGGAGTACGGAGCTGGCGCCTGGCACTGTATTTACAGGAACGAACCAAGCCTTGAGAAGTTGAGAGCCAGGCGATGAAACATGGTGTTTATTTTAGCACACGTCAAGAATCAGGATATTAGTGCCTACTGCCTAGGGGTGGTGAATAGTGGTGCCCTGGCGGTTGCAACTGGCGCTGATACCGTACCCAGCGACAAGAATCTACAGGGTAACGAATCCAGTGCGGCACAGCTGAATGGATGATGCTGTTGTTAGTGTCTTTCTCTGCTGTAGGGCGCTGTGCAATGGAATGTACCATAGGGAGTACGGAGTAGTAGTATCTTGAGTTGCTGACGAGACACGCCTCTCACTCTACGATTCACTGCACACGTGACTGCCCCAACGGGCCAACAGTACGTAGCTAGTACTGCGTAAGAAATTCCGTTGGCAAACAGCAAACACCAAGAAACAACTCAATCCTCCCGAAGCGCTCAAGACTCCGCCAAGGGTTTGCGTTGACACAGAGCGTTGGAGTGTGACACGAGTGGCCTGTGGAGGGAGCGGCGTAGCGGACAAGCCTCAACGCTCTGCTTACATTGGATCTCAGCTACTGTCCTTAGTCGAGCGATGATCGCCTGTGGGTCGTCGAAAGGGGATTGATACTTGTACGCCGCGCGGAAGATTGGGCGTACGGAGTCCCTAGACGTGTAAGACGCATATCCCTTCTCACCAGTTTCCACTGCGCTACGGACTCCAATTCTCCAAAGGATGCTCCGACGGCTGAGGCTGTGAATCTCAAGGCCTATCACCATTTTATTTTCTCCCATCCTTCATTTTTTTTTCCTTCTCACTTTCATTCATCACCCACGGCCCTGAGACGGGTGTGTATTGCGATTCCCGCAGAGGGACCCTGAAAGTGAACCTCCATCAAGATGGGTTCGAAGCTGAATCCCAAAGGACTTGGTTTCCGAATAACACTCTCGTATGTCCTCTCAATCCTCATGACTTGGTTTGGCGCCATCCACTGACCAGTACCAAAGGTACATCCTAGATTATATCATCATAATGTTCGTCCTCACCGATGCGCTGCGCACGCGATACATTCCTGTATTCGACATCGCCAACTAATCGTCCGCCTACAGCGCCTTCATCATCCTCTTCTACCGACTCGACGCTGTCGAGCCCTTCCATCAGCACTTCTCCCTCCAGAACTACACCCTGCAGTATCCATACGCCGTCCACGAACGAATACCCGTCACGTTCTTAATTATTATAGCAGTCCTCGCCCCAGCCGTGATCATCGCCATTTACACCCTCCTTATCGATGGGATCTTTTCACATCGGGAAAGTCGTAGCGGCGGAAAGAGGACGAGACCATACACGTTCAAACAGAGGTTGTGGGAGTTGAACTGTGGGATCCTCGGTCTCGGCCTGTCGGTGTCGGCCGCTTTTACCATCACCGGTGAGTCGGAGTCCGGCCCTATGGCGCGTCACGGCTGACAGAATCTCCAGGGGCGCTCAAAAATGCGATTGGGAAGCCCCGTCCCGACCTCATCGACCGCTGCCAACCCCCGCCTGGCAGCGTGGATCCGCCCATGTACGGGCTTTCGACCCACTCCATTTGCACCCAGACCGACAACGACATCCTGAAGGACGGCTTTCGCAGTTTCCCCTCGGGCCACAGCAGCAGTGCTTTCGCCGGTCTGTTCTACCTCTCAATCTACCTCGCGGCCAAGTTGCACGTGTTGGACTCAAAGGGCGAGGTGTGGAAGTCGTTTATCGTGCTCGTTCCCACTCTTGCGGCCGCGCTCGTTGCAGGGTCGAGGATCATGGATGCGAGACATCATCCATTCGATGTGATCACCGGGAGCATGTTGGGAACGTTGACCGCCTGGGGTAGTTACCGCCAGTATTTCCCACCGGTGAGCGAAACCTGGAGGAAGGGCCGGGCGTATCCTATCCGATCGTGGGGAAAACAACCGAAAGCGCCGGAATATGCCCTCCGGGACGAGGAACGAGACTCGAACGATTCTACTACGGCGTTGGACGGCGCCGCGCATCTCGACACGCACGGAGGCAACGTGTTCCGAGCACAGATCGACACCTCGCAGAGCGAAAGGAATCGACGGAACGGTCTTCAGCAACGGAAGGGTTCACAGGAAGAGCCCGGCCTTCCATACTACAACAGTCCATCCATCGACGTCACCCCGGCTTCTCCCAAATCCGACGACCCAAACCGACAGCGATCATATCGTTCCACCCAGCAAGAACTCTGGACCAGCGACGATGAAACGGCGGAAGGGTACGAATTGCGCGAGCAAGGACACCCCCCTGGACATCAGCGTGCCCGTGGAGGTGAGACCAACGAAGAAGAAGGCCGGCAGGCAAGCACCGTGGATCATACTAAGGACAAACAGGAGTCTATTGAGTCGCCGCAGAGGCGATTTTCATTCGAGCCAGCTCGGTAGTTCAAGGCGATAATTACATACAATCGTACACATAAAAACTTTTCCTCCTCCTGCCCCCCTTCCGCGTCCGTCATGTTACATGAGGCCAACGCCGTGGTATTTTAAAGAATTGGGGCCAAGCTCCGGAACGAGATCGCACGATAAGCGTCACGTCGACCCATTCCATCCGCTTGCCAACCGTGCATTAGTCATGGGAGAAAACGAAAATTATGAAACACAGGTAGTAAAGCATGAACGTCACCGGTGACCATAAGGCTCGATAGGGACTGCGTCGCGGTACCTCGCGGGCCTCTTGGCTAGGATATGCGATGTGCGTGGTTGGATCTCGGGCAAGGAAGTGTTTTAATGGAGGTTGCGGTTTGGCCGACAGCGCGTGCACAATTGGGACAAAGGCGTCTCGTACACAGTGGACCCAGATGAGGGCAAAAGGGGGCGCTCCGGTGCTGAGAGCGAGCTTGGAAAGGCTGCCTGACGTCCCATGGTATGCTAGGTAAAGCGATAGGGAGACGATCGTGATGTATTGGATGTGAATTCCACCCCAGCAATCCCATAGAAAGGCTTTGATCTTGGAAAACGCGTTCATTTGACCTGGGTCGGGCGTTTCGCGGACCTGTGCCCCCGTGGCCTGAAATCGGGGAAGTGACCGAGGCCCAAATAGTTTGCCCCTGAGTAGACGCATGACTCCGGCGGCCTCGTACGGCAGTACCCATAGCCTCTTGTCCTCCATAATCGGGACCGCCTCGTCGGATGCTGTGTACTGAAAGTAACCTTCCACGAACTGACTGAGATAAAACACAAAGCCCAGGGCCAGCGCCACGGTGCTCGGCGGCATGACGGGCAGACCGGACGCCAGGAGTACGGGGATGAGCCCCACAGATATCATGAGCGGGATGCGGAAAACGGCCTGATGCAGAATCAGAAACCCCGCTTGGATTTTCTTCGTGGCGGGCATCGAGGTCGCCGCGGGGTGGCGGAACACCGCCGCCGCGCACAGGATCTGCATCATCCACTTCTTGCTCTGCTTCGCGATATCCGCTAGCGTGACGACCTGCTCCCCGAACTGCATGTCTTCGGCCAATTGGGCGGTTTTCCACCCTTTCGCCGCGAGCAAAAAGGCGGGAACCAGCGCGTCGTCCTGCAGCGGTTCGACGTTGAGCCCGCCCATCTCATCAAACGCCTGACGCCTAGCGACAAAGCCGGAGCCGTTGCAAATCCCGCAGCCTAGGTTGTCCAGCATAACTCCCCACACCTTTTGCTCCAGTGTATATCGCGCGGCAATGATCGACGAATGCGGGATATTATAGAACCGTTGCGGCGCGCTTGCCATCGCGAGTCGCGGGTCTTCCAACAGGACGGCCAGCGCGCTCCGTAGCCAGGCGGCCTCGGGGATCATGTCGATGTCGAGGGACGCGATGTAAGGGGCCGGCCCTTCAGGGGATCTGGACACGAAATTCAAGCCAAAGTTGAGGTTGGCGGCCTTGGAATGGATCTCCACAACCTTCCCACGAGCTACATAGCGTATCATGGGCAGAGCGCTCATGGAAGCCAGACCTTCGACCGCTTGCTTCAAGCTGAGCGAGTTTCCATCGTCGAGCACTATTATGCGGAATTTGTCCTTCGGGTAGTCCAGGCCGCCGGCAGCCCTGAGCGTGTTCAGGATAATATCTTCCGCTTCGTTGCAGCACGGCAAGAAGATGTCCACCCGTGGAAGGTCATCTCCAAGAAGTCTCAGAGGCGGTCGCGGTCGGGACTTGGAGCGTGCGAGAAAGTAGATGATGTCCGCGAGCAACTGCGACGCTTTCACAGGGTAAGCTCCATGGCCTCTCCGCACCAGGGGGTGCAGTACTAACCTACGAAGCTCATCTCGATGAAAAGAAAGATTCCGTAGAGCACCGTCTGGAACGAAACATCGTATGACGCCGACACGATTATGCTCTGGATCCGGACAGCAAAATAGAGCAGAAACAGACACAGCCTTGGTGAGGCCAGTGAGGAAAGCTTTTCAAACGCATCCCAACGCCGTATATCTCCCGGAGAGAGCATATCATCGCTTGGCGGCTCCAGGAAGGGGTGAAGAGGCGGTATTGAATCCGTTTTAGACGCCATCGTGAAAATATGAAAACCAACGGACACTTAAGGTAAAGGTAAAATCGAAGAAGAAAGGACCAGAACGAGTGACGGGTGCGGTCGAAGAGGAAAACACGAAAAACATTCGCTGCGATGATCACAGAAACTCCTCACGTATTAATGGAAGCAGAAACGGGAATTGGTCTACAAATAAAGCCGAACAAGGGAAGGAAGGGCAGGGCCGGTCCGTAGGCCACTTGGATCAATCAAAGCCATAACGTCCTACCGCGCTTGTGTAGCTGTACTAAAGACATGAAAAGATATTGTCTTTGATCTAAATGTCATAAGCAATATGATGAACGAGCCGAGTCCGTGAGTGCGAGAGGTAGTCTACGGTAGAAGATTAATCGGCAAGATTTGGGGAGGTTATAACAGACCCTCTCTGATCACAATATTGCAAGGCCAGAGTTGGAAGGCCGCTAGGATTGCAAGCGCAAGCATCATCCTAAAAGATTCATTCGGGAACGCTTCGGGAAAGTCGACCGACCTGTTTCAGACAAGAGCAAGCTGGAGATTACCTGGATAATCTGATAGATGTAGAATGCTGGAGTTCCTCGTTGCATTACCAACATCCATAGCGCCGGGTCATAAAATGCAACGAGATTTATCCCGTCTGGCCCAATGGAATGGCGTCGCATGGCACAAATTGTCGAATAAGCGATGAATAACGCCCTTCCCCTGTCGTCTCCAGGCCAAACGCTAGTCGTGCGGGCAATATCTCGGCTCTTCATCGATGGCGCTGATGTTAATTGCCACGATCTTTTCCCGAGCTAACGTGGCACAGTTAGCGACCACGGCATATGTGGTGGAGAAACGTTATATGAACGGAGGATATATGAACGGAAGATATCAAAGGGAAGGAAATTTTGTTGGGACGGTCAACAATATCGCCTGCAAGACGGCCACCTCGTCACACTTTCGACAAGGTTGCAGAGCAAGATCATCCAAAGTGATAAAACCCAGGAATGTGGCATCTGAGATCGGAATACCGAAGACTGTGGACGGAAAATTGAGGAGCTTAGAAGAAGTCAACCCGGTGAAACTAGGGCTCAGGGGGGTGATACTGTGCAACGGTGCAACGATAGATGAAGATTGAAATGCACGTCATCAAGTTAACTCAGAAAACTCGGGCCATGGCTCTCAAGGATAGGGTTCTAGAAGATTGCTTGAATCTGATCCTCATGGCATGGCGGTCAAATGAACTATGAGGTGGAGGTCAAGACCCAGGTTTGCCGTGGCATTGGAGGTTAGAGATTTAGAGTGACCACGCGAAGTATGCAACCTGTGACAGGAGGGCCGAAAATTTTCGACCTCGGGAGGGTTGGTTTCGCGCACATCGTTTGATCGGTCTTACTCTTCACTCAAAACATGCCGCGGCATAACGGAATGCGCGACCAGAAAAACAGAGTCGCTTGCGATATTGAGGTCTGTGCCAATAAATCTGGAGAGATCAGAGATGTAGGATGGAATAGGAGGCTAATCTATGCCTTGTGGCCTTATTTACGTGTCCCTCCGTCCTCATGTGCACTGCCATTACGACCACCGGCGACAACGTAAGCCGCAAGACGATCGTCGGTTCATCATGTTCCTATTTCCACTGCCAACAATGGCTTGTGAGACATGACACAACCCGCTAGATTTAGAGCACTGGCATACTTGATGGAGCCGTCGGACCACGGAGGATACGATCCATTGCAATGAATCCCCGACAACCCAGGGCCTTGGAAATGTATTCTGAGCTGAAACGGAACAGCTAAATGTGCCACGAGTAGAAGCCTTTTAGGACATAGTCTTGCGGCGCTGTGGCATAATTCTGCTATATCTACTGTACTTGTAGATAATGCCCCTAAATCTCCGACATCGACAATAGGTATTCATCTCTCGCGTCCCCGTACTCCGGTTCACATACCTAAGTAGCGACCGTCTTTCAGTCAAAGGTGTCGTCACAGTTTCGTAGCCACGAGGGATCCCAGACCAAATCCTTCCGCGGCAAAGTTTCAGTCAAAGCGGATGTGGGATAGACTTGTGTCAACACAGCACCGACTTCTCAGTGGAGGGATAATAGGCGACCGGGAGTCGCATTTTAGATCCGACGCTTCAGGAGAGCGTAAAGAGAAGAACCACCAATGCGAGCGTCCAGGGATATGGAAGCTATCAATGATAGAAGCATTTGCCCCATGCTGCAGTTGTCAGTGCGAGTGCCCATTGCCATTGAGGCGGAATCACTTACCTGGAAGGCCACATCCAAACCCGACGAATAGGTAGATCAAAAAGATGACTACCACAGTCAACAACGCCATCAAGCGAACGTTCTTCCACCACATCCTCCTGCTCAGGCCCGTACTCCGCACCCGGAAGTCGCGCGCACTTCCGCCTAGTCGATCAGTCTTATCGACCAGCAGGTCCATCCTTTCCCCTCGTTCTAGCACCCGTTCAATATTCTCCGTCATGATCTCTCTCACGCCTTCGATCTCGCGTTGAGCGGTTCGGATGGCATCGTTCTGGCCGTCCTCCGAGCCCATCCGACTCATCAGGCCTTTCAGCTCGGAGTTGAACGCAGCGCAGCCATATGCGGGAAGCGTCGAGAAGTCGGTGGAGGCGGCAGGGTACTGTTGGAGAAACCGTTGCTGGAGGGCGACGAGGAAGCCGAAGGGGATGCGACGGCCAAAATCGGCGGGGGCGATGGTGAGGTAGGTCAACTGCCCGGCAGACCGGCTTCCGGACAAGTGTTCCGAGGGAGCGGAAGCGATGTAGTGGATTTGGTGGGGTCCATGGGTATACGTAAGCTTCTGCGGGGAAGAATGGGAGATCTTGGGAAGGAGGAGACTGGCGATATCGGATGTTGTGGAGGGGGCGGACGGCGAAGTGTGCTCGGTGAGGATGGTGGAATCATAGGCGATGCATGAGCTGGAGAGCGATTAGAACGGGTCTAGGAAAACCTAGGCAGCCTGCAGGAGGGATCGGTTTAATCGGACTTACTAAAGGAGAGGGGGTGGTGGTGTGGAGGAGGAGGCCATGTTGAAAGGGGGTGATCAGGTCAACTTTGCTGGTGATGCGACTGAAAGGGAAAAGGAAAGGCCATATGCTACGGTGTTTGGCAATACACAGTCTCCAACGGTAAACCGAAGTCGCAAAGAGAAATCGTAAAGCGAAGTCGTAAAGCGAATCGTGAAGCGAAGTCCTAAATCGATGAAGTAGAGTCTGAAGGTAGGTAGATGTTGACAGTTGCAGTTCATTTGACATGACGTCGGACGAGGGCTGGGCAACGATAGATATTGACGCCTTCTCGCCTAAGGCACCAAGTTTTGGTTTGGTCAGTGCATGTGATTGGACCAAAGTGCGTTTATTGTTGGTTGTTGTTGGTTGTCACGTGATAATGCATTAGATATCCATGTTGGATTGACACAATAGCTATTCCGTATCCCTATTCCGTATGGAATTAACCCATCTTATTTTAATCAGTCCTGGATTTTGCTGCCTTCACGCATGCCAGTAGCTATAATGCAGGTGTCTGCTAATACCAGACAATAGAATTCACACAGGGCTGACCCAACGGGGTCTCCGCCTCTGATTGGGCGAAATGGTCACCTCCTGCAAGGAACATCGTCAACCCTCTATGTACCTTGATACATAATTGAAGAATCCGATACCTACCAAGTCCATGGACTTGTAAGCCGCAATCCACTACCATCAGCTCGGTGATGTCCCTCATCTATCTTGGTTGTCGTGGTCGCCAGACAATTGGTAGTACACAATAAGTCTGCGTGCTTCAAAATCTAGTTGAATCTCTGGCGAAGCTTTGGTTTTACGGATACCTTGTGTCGATCTCGCTGTTGAGCGTCATCTCCACTCTTCGGGAATTCGCAACGGCTTGCACGAGCCTAGTATTCATCCCTCTCTTACGACCAGAAGGTAAACAGTTGAAACATTTTCCATTCAGGTTCCTGGCAATCTCCCGGCGGCGACATCCTTCCAACCCTTCCCGCCCTCGATGCTCTCTTCGATCCTGGGCTCCAGGCAGCGACGGCCAAGCTCAGGTCATTCAACCTCGATATCTCCACATGCACGAACGCGTCTCGAACGTGATGGTCCGTACAGGGATGCACCCGAGGACAGACAGGAATATTTCCCAATCGGCGAGGAAGATGGGAACGGAGGCGGCGATGACTACGAGGAGGACGATGAGGAAATTCAGAATGAGGATGAAGAGAACCGACCCCTCCTTCCCATCTTCGACGCGACTCAATTAGGTGAGTGACCTCTATCGATGTATCCCGCAATCTGACGCTGGAGGCAATCAATGCACTTGAGACTATCCAGATGCTAACCCCGAAGTAGATCGAATCCCGATATATAGTACAACCCATGCCGTCCGACTGCTTATTGTCCATCGCGTCGAAACCACCCTTAGTTGGGACCAGCTTCGCTCCCCGCAAGTCTCTCAATTCTTGGTCAAGCCCATCCAGAAACAGATCCTCGACTCTCACTTCTCACGCGCCACGCTATATATTCTCATGGCCAATTGCCTCCAATTCAAGAAGGAAATGCAACAGAATCCAGGTCTGATCGGTGTGAATCGGACCAGAGCCATGATCTGTGAGCTGCTTGCAATGAGGCTGCTCAAGGAATATTCCGTCCGAGAATTGATCGATGCGCTCTCCTACGACTTTGACCCGCTGCAGGATGGAAGCACGCCTCAACCAACCGGAGTCTCCACGCCGCACGGGAATCGCCCCGCGCATGCGCGTCCCGCGAGGATATCGACCATTGAAGTTGCCATCCGCGCTCAGGCAAAGCGGCTGCTGGCACATCCGCTCGTGGTCCAGCAGCTCGAAGCCATCTGGGCCGGCACCATCGTATTTCACTCGGCTGCTGACAGTCTGCATAGGGCTCCAGCAGAACGCGAACAGGAGCGTCGTGAACGGACTTCGAGTCATATAACCCCTCAATTCTCTTTTGGAACCTTCCGTGGCGAGTTACGGCTCACCAAACCTCCCCATGATGATCCGATTTCGATGGCGAAACGAGCCGTGACCATTTATAGCTTCCGCAATGCTTCCTTATTCAAGCTATCCCGTCTCCGTGTCGGCCGTTACCGCCAGTTCTTCACCACCTGTTCGTTCGGTGCCATGCTCGGCTTGCTTGTGGCCATCCTTGTGCGCCGCTCCCAGTACATCACCGCGATGGAGATTGTTTTCTGGTTCTTCAGTGCCGGTTTCATGCTTGCCGAAGTGGCCGAGTTCACGGAGCAAGGCTCCGGCTTGTTCTTCATGAGTTTCTGGAACGTGTTCGACATTATCTCCGCCCTCCTGTTCGTCGTCTACTATGCGTTACGGCTTTACGGAATCTTCCTTCCCACCGATCAGCGTCGCCATAATGCGTATATGGCACACGACATCCTTGCTTCAACCGCAGTGCTGCTCTTTCCCCGCCTCTTTTCCGTGTTGGATCATTATTACTATTTCTCCCAACTTCTAATCGCGCTGCGCGCAATGGCTTGGGATTTGGTAGCGGTTATGATCTTGATCATTATTAGCTGTAGTGGCTTCTTCGTCGCTTTCACCTTTTCTTTTTCTGAAGTCGATTTCCACGCTCGCGACGCCATTTATGCCCTCTTCCAAATCCTCATGGGTTTTACTCCTGCTGCATGGAACCTTTGGCCAAACCTGAACCTACTCGGAAAGGCGATCATGGCCCTCTTTTTGGTCATCTGTCATTTCCTCGTCGTCACAGTTCTCATCACTGTCCTAACGAACTCCTTCATGGCCGTTGTTCAGAACGCCCAAGAAGAACATCAGTTCCTTTTTGCTATCAACACGATGTCCATGGTTAAGTCGGATGCCCTCTTCTCGTATATCCCGCCAATGAACTTGGTGGGTTGGCTTCTGGCCCCGATGCGGTATCTCATGCCATTCCGCCGCTTCGTGAAGATCAATCGTACTGCCATAAAAATCACCCATTTTCCTATCCTCTTCTCCGTTTTCATGTATGAGCGCCTGTTTTTGGCTCGCCTTGCTGTTGAATCAATGGATCTCGTCGAACAGCAGGGTCGTGCGACGACCCGCCTTCCTGCATTCAGTATACGTGGTCCAACCGATATTTTGAGCCCAGGACATCGGGTTCGGGAGCCATCCGTGACCACGTTTCGGAAAGATCAAGCCCTCGCGGCCGTGTTTCATCATCCGTACGCGGGGACAAGTAGGAGCAGAGTCCATCACGAGGAAGAAAGGTCAGCCGCATTGCAAGTAAAGTCCCAGACGGTCGTCCAAGACTGGATGCAAACTGTCGGGCAAACCGGTGCCTCGCCCCCCCAAGAAGAAGCTCGGTCCCTGTTGGAGAGGCTGGAGACCAGACGCCCACCCTTTAGAAGGACGAAGACTGCCTATGGTCGCCTCCGGACCTCCGCGAAGGGTTCTGGGGCCGCGCAATCGTTCGCATCGGATCCGGAGGATGCGTTGTCCAGAATGTCGGCAGTTCATCCAATCGAAGAGGAAGAGGAACCTGAATTAGACACGACAATTGAAGAAATTGCGCAACATACGGACCATGATGGCGAAGGAGATGACGAGAGGGGAAGCAATGATGATGACGATGCGGACGAAGGCACGGAAGGTCTCACACCTGAACCTTCTAAGACTCGAATCCCTGGCATCGGATGGATCCAACGGGCGTCTCCCGACAATCTCAAAAGTTCTACTGCACGGACACGGGCTCCGTTAGAGTCTGAAAAAGCCTTGCAGATACCGGGAATGCGTGCGCTTGACGCAACTGAGGACCAGGAACCTTCGCTTGGTCAGGACCAGCGTCCGCGGCGTCACCACAACCGCAATCTTTCTACCAACACCATCCTATACAATCCAACGCACCCCCGCGAGACAAAAACTGCCCCGATCTCTCGATCGACATCCCCATACAAGAGGCAACTCGGCTCGGCCACGCCAGGAGCAGCCGCGAAACCCAGACCCCGAACGCCGCGGAGGCCGCCAGGAGGATCATCATCCAATGTACCAGCTATATCTGGTGGAGCGAGCCGACCACGACCCGTCATGCCTCCTAGCGGACTTCGTCAAAGTTCCTCGAACATTGCCGGCTTTCTCGCGTTGGAACGACGACGGCCGAGCTTCAGCGCAATGGCGTTAGATTTGGCCTCGGACCTAGGCGACAACCGCTATGGCCCCGACGCCAATGTCATGGCTGCCATGCCCGCCTCCTTTTCGACAAACATGGAGGCGCTAGCGGCAGCGCAGCGTCGGCCCAGGGCGAATCCACCGGCGTGGGACTTCCGGGCCGGCGATGGAGTTGGCCCCAGCGGTGCAAGCAACATTCGGGCACGAGAATGGGACCGGGAACGAGAAAAGGATCGAAAAGAGCGTCGGCGAGATGAAGGGAGAATGAGCCGGATCATGTTGGCCCGGATGACCACTCTTGAAGAGGGGTTCCGCGAAGTTCTGAGAGAGGTCAAAGGTTGGAGGAGAGAGGGGGAAGCAAGGTCGGGAGCGACTAGTCTGGGGAGTGCGGAGGATGTTGGACGCCGGGATTTTGCCCAGGAGAGCACCGCCCGAAGTGGTCTCGTTGATCGGGCTGAAAGTGAGACGTTTGCAGAGCGAGAAGACTGGGAGTCGGGGGCGAATGTTCACGTCGATCGATCCAGCGTGTGATAGTGATTTTAGAATTCCTGTTTGGCAATTGGTGCACTCGGGTCTGGCACCTAGATTATAGACTATTTGGCGGACATCTCTAAGTTTTAGCAAGGGGTTTGGGGGAATATAGTCTCCGGCATTTCACATATCGTTCAATGTGCAATTATCTCTATCGATCATATCGTGAGCTCCGTGAACATCTGGCGACGCCCAGTCTCGCCAGTCTGCTGGCCTGGTGGTGACGGATTGACACCTGAGGCTGCCAGGCACCATTGCCACTACACCCGTCATATTTTTGCAGCTGAGTCCTTCGTCGACTTTGTTATCCAAAGTCAGTATCGGGAAAACGTAGTTTACATTACAGACGGTCTGTGGTTAGACATCAATAGTTCAGCCATCCTGGGTTTTAAAGAAGCCGGAACACGGTTAAAGGATGCCGCTGGATGCACTGAATGGGGCGAAGCTGCCTGCTTCTGCCGATTTTCACGGTACGGTCCCTTTGCCCGCGAATGGTCTGTAAAATCACTTATCAATATTCCATCCAGTTCACCTGAGAGATGGCAAAATGATGGAGCTAGTAGTGCCCACCATTCGGAAGGGAGGAGTGAACACGGTCTTCGTGATGGTATGGACTACAAGCTCTCCACCTCTCCCTCCAACGCTAAGTTCCATAGCCCAATCTCGTCCCACCGGTCACTACGGTTAAGCATGCGCTCGAATACAAGGCGAAACTCGAATCCCTGGAGCCTAACGTTACCTTCCTTATGTCCTTGTATCTGCATCCATCTATTACTCCGGAGACCGTGGCAGAAGCCGCTAAAGCCGGCATCGCTGGCATCAAATCCTATCCGGCAGGTGTCACCACCAACTCTTCTTCCGGCGTTCTCTCCTATGAATCATTCTACCCTGTTTTCGCCGAGATGGAGAGTCAGAATGTGGTGCTCAACCTTCACGGCGAGTGCCCATCGGACCATGACGCTGGCATCACGGTGCTCACCGCCGAAGAGCGCTTCCTGCCCACCCTGTTAGACTTGCATCGTCGATTTCCGAAACTTCGGATCGTCCTCGAGCATTGCACCACGGCCGCAGCAATCGATGCCGTCAAAAGCTGCGGGCCGAACGTCGTGGGTACCATCACCGCCCACCATTTGAGGATCGTGGTGGACGACTGGGCCGGGGATCCGTTCTGCTTCTGTAAGCCCGTGGCCAAGACCCCGGCTGATAGAGACGCGTTACTGCGAGCGGTGGTGAGCAGCGACCCCAAGTTCTTCTTCGGAAGCGACTCCGCACCACATCCTGCGACCGCAAAGCGTGGCGGTGACAAGGTCGCTGCGGGGGTGTTCACCCAGCCCTACGCCACGCAATTGGTGTTGGACGCTCTGGAGGCGGCGGTCGGCAGAGGATTATTACGAGCAGATGAGGTGTCCAACGAACGATTGCAGGGCTTCCTTGGTGACAATGGGAGACGTTTCTATGGCCTCGACGCGGAGCGGAATGAGTTCATCGTGTTGAAGAAGGCTGGAGAGATCGTCCAATCCTCACTGCAAACACCGGATGGCGAACTAGAAGTTACTCCGTTCCGCAAAGGAGAAAAGACCTGGAGCTTAGCCTTCGTATGAAGCATAGTTGATGCGCCGGATTTCCTCTGCTCCGCGTCTTCTCGGATTACTTAGTGACGAGGATGCGCACTGATGACAGCAAATCCTGCTGCTTGTGCAGACCGCGATTGTATCGCAGCATCGAACATGAAGCAGACTTTCCCGACAGGAGTGGATATGGCCAAAGGTGTATATGTACGCGACAGGCATTATATTAGCCAGTGCCGGCAGAATCCCACCACCGTCATGCAGTCACAAGCCTTGATGCGAGAAAGGATGCGACGGAAGAGTGAGATGTAATTTCCGCCATCTCAAAAACTCACAAACGCCATCGCTATGCTGGGAAATCGGATGTTTGCCAGCTGCATCTCCATAGCCCTGAAAATATGACCGACTAAGAACCAGACCGAAGCCCCTTTAATCTAGACTCGGTTCCCGACTGAAAAGTCCGACTTTCAAGTCGTACTACCGGTGGTCATCCCCACATGACATAGATGACATAGCGTCATACCGCGTCCCCAGCGATGCACTGAACGAAACCAAATCCCCAAATCCCACTAGACGGTATACGCGTCACAAAAAGAGGTATCGCTTTCGTGCATGCCGCGTCCTGACATGCCGATATAATAGAGGAACCACCGGGAGCCACAGCAATGGTTCATACCATAGGCATGGGGTACCTCCCCATGGGGAGGCCCTCCATTGGTTGCCCGTGCATTCGCACACGATACATGCACGTCCATTTCTGGCCCCAGTTACTCGTTGCGCGTATCACGACTTTGCTCGTTTCGATTTTAAGCCGTCGGATCTCCTCCGCGAGCGGCAACTGGAAATGCTGGACGTACTGCTCCGCCATCACATTGTACCTGGCACGGCCCACGCAAACGAATTCCGAATCCTTCGCGTCGTTTCCCTCTGGGGCGACGCTCGAACATTTGTGATCGATAGGAGCGGAGGCGACGAGAGCAGCGTGTGCACGTGTCAACTCGGACCACTTGTGCTGGTCAGGGACGCGGATCCAGAACTCGAGATCTTTGGGCGCGGAGGTGGGGTCCAAGGAACCAGAGCGAGGCACATGCTCGATGGTCACGGAGGAAGCGTAGAAGGGAACGATAGGGGAAATTGCCAGTTGTGCCATTGGTTCGGGATGCATGTCCAGGCTGGAACACCAGCAGTCGCCCTGCTCGAACCAGTAGAACAGAGCCGAGGCGGGAGCATTGGCTCGTATGTGGGGAGGACCGAAGAGGAGGGTGCGGAAGGAGGGCCTGATCGGCGGGCCCGGCCGCGCTTGTGTTTGCGACGAGAGTTCATCGTCGACGCGGGCCCCTAGATTCAAGGAAAGAAAATCCACTTTTTTGCTAGCAACGTCGAGATGCCCGTTATGTTGCTCGATGTTGTCGACCCGAGCTTGGAGTTCATCGAGGCGCCTCCGCGTAGGATCGGGGAGGCCGTTTTGGCGATTGCGGTCTTGCGATGGCGAGCCGCCGAGTTTGAAGGGTACCCATAAGGAGAAGGAGAAGAGGCCAGAGGGTAGAGAAGGGGACGGAAGAGAGGAGGCTATCGAGGACGGGGGAGGGAGGGAGTGTACGAAAACGAGGAACACGAGCATGCTGATTATAACGGGCACTACAGCGTAGAGTCTGGATATCCAGCGTTGACGACTAGCACGACGCTCGATGGCGTCGACAGCCGCCCAAAGGTTTCGTCCCAGCGGCTGCTCGACGGTCTGAAAGGACCGCCACAAGAAACTGCTCGACGGTTCCTCAACGGCCGGGTCGAGTGGGGTCTCCATTCGTGGGGTCTCCATTCGTGGGGTTTCATCCTGACTAGGACGCGCTTGAGCCCTATCGCGCAAGCTGTTCATTCCCTGTTCGAAATCGATGTGAGCATTGGAGTGTATAAGAACCCCTCGACCAGCCGACCCATAAGATCCCTGCTCGTGTCGGAAGGCTGGAGGGACACTCATGCCACCAACCTGGGAGCCGAGGAGCCCGTCTCGGAGCTCGTCTTGGAGCTGATCCTCCGGAGTCCTCTCCCGTCTGATAGATGCGCGAGCGGCGCTGCGGGTAACTGGGCGCGCGGACATGCCAGTGGTGAAGGTAGCGGATAGTGAGACGCGGAATAGTATTAGGCGAAGGTGAAAATGCAGAGGTGTTTCGAGTGGAAGTATGGTGATGACTGCTAGATTCGCGGATGTAGGTATGTTCAGAGTTATTTGTCGCTAACAGCAAAGTTAGATCCGTCCAGTTTCACGAATGTTGGTGAAAGATGAAAGACAGAGAGTTGAGAAGCAGAGCTGATGAAGAGAACTTATATAAGCCCTATGGTCTTAGCAGACAGTAATTCTATTGCTGCTCTTTCCAACGGCAGTGAAATAAATACCATTCACTTAGAGACACCTTGCTACTATTGTCAAGTGATTGATTTGAGAGCTGATGATTCAATAGCATGACCATAGTGCTATTGTCAACAAATGGACAGCTCTATAGAAAATTGGACAGGACAATAAGAATCAACATGAAAATAGTGACAAATTGGGGGATTCAGAAAGATAACGATTGGCAGTGTAGAAAAGGGGAAACTTACACATCCCAATGCTATGTCGCCACTCCTTCGTACACGATTTCCAGACAAATGATCCGCAACAGACGCTGTAAAAGGAACAGTGTAGCAATCGGCAATGCTCCCTCAGGTCCTATTGCCGAAGGTACCGATGCCGGATGTCTCTGTCACTCTGTATCCTGGGATGCCCAGGTTGGCAGAGCAAGGGCGGCACGAGATGGACCAAATCTCCGCCGGATGTCGGCAAATGTTCTATCTGCGATCGTATGCTTCGTATAATGCGCTCTCGAGGTATATTCAGTATAGTTGCGGTTATCTGCTCGCCGCCTTGGTGCAGTATTCGGATCTGGCTGGCCACAGTGTTTCCACTATCGCGACACTCCTACTCCTCTCTGTTTCTCTTCATCCCCACAATCTTCCCAACCGGTGTCGAAACGAGGAGCTTCCAGATGTATCCGGAGCCGTGCTGCGCAATATCCACACTTCTTGAGGCTGCCGCACTGGTTTCGCAATGGATGCTAGGGCCGCGAGGACCGTTCTTGGAGAGAACTTCAGGGAAACTAAGGTATAAACTGTTGAACTTCTTGACGTTGAGGAAGCCGTGGCTACGAATGTATCAGGAGCCATTTTCACCATCCGAACAAGAGGCGTTGAGAAGGATACGGCGCATCATTGCGAGTTGCGACGCAGCATTCCAGACAGGATTGTTGACAAAGTTGGACGAAAGCAGCGCGTTGAACGAAATGCGGTTCCCTGACGCGACCAGGCCACTCACCACTGTCATGGATCGGCATGCGACTCTCGGGCTTGGCAGCCGCATTCGGGCCGAGAGGCAGATTGGTATGGAAAAATACGACATGGAAGTATTATTGACAGTACGTATTGATACGTAATACCCGTGGTACCGTTTTAGAATTTTGGTAACCGGATTGGAGATAACTTACAGCACGCCAAACCTGATTGTGAATATATTACCACCCCTCACTCCGTAGACAATGCAAGGAGGCGCCAAATCTGTCTGTGGTGTCCCGCAATATGAAATAGAAGCAGGACGGTCAATGGGATCAGGTCCTCGATTCCCCGTACTCAGACAGGATGTAGCAACAGAAGCAAATAGCTACAGAAGCGCGTACAGCATTACTCACGCCACTATGGCCCTACCCGTAATAGTAGTCAATATCCCGTTAATACATGGATCGCTGATCGCATGAGACATGGACGTGCTCTGAATCTGCTGCATGGTGGGGGTTTGGCCCACTTCGATTGAAACAACCAGACCAGACTGAAATTCATCGTGTCCCACCATCCTTCCCTTTGACTGGGAACCCTACCGGCTGAGAGATCAACCATTGTTAACCTGTCCATAACCACCTGGATTCCGCTCGTTATTCTTCTTTTCCTCATCACCCCCTCCCTTTACACTCAGACTCTCTACTGTTGACATAAACATCTCTCCAATATGACCGCCGGCTCAGTGCTAGTTACGGGGTGCGTTCATGCTTCACAATACCCGTTTCAAGACCTTCCTGCTAACTGCTACCTTCACTCAGAGGCTGCGGATACATTGGCTCGTTCACCGCACTTGCCCTTCTCCAAGCCGACTACAAGGTCGTCATCATCGACAACCTTTACAATTCCGCCCCGGAAGCCATCAATCGCATTGAAACCCTGTGCGGCAAACGGCCCGACTTCTACTCTGTTGACATCACCGACGAAGCTGCCATTGACAAGGTCTTCAAGGAGCATCCGGACATTGATAGCGTTATCCACTTCGCGGCGTTGAAGGTACCTCGAGTCGCATGTCCTGTCGACCCTGATGTTAATATTACCTAGGCGGTGGGCGAATCTGGTGAAATCCCCCTCGACTACTACCGAGTCAATGTTTACGGTTCCCTGTGCCTACTGCGATCCATGCAGCGGAATAATGTCACCAACATTGTCTTCAGCTCTAGCGCCACAGTCTATGGCGATGCCACTCGATTCCCCGACATGATTCCGATCCCAGAGCACTGCCCCCTAGGCGCCACGAACACGTACGGGAGGACCAAAGTGGGCGTGGAGGACATGATTCGGGATCATATCAAAGCGGAACGCAACCGGGCCAAGAAAGAAGGAAAAGACGAAAGCCTCTACAACGGTGCCCTGCTGAGATACTTCAACCCGGCTGGCGCACATCCATCCGGTATTATGGGTGAGGACCCTGCCGGTGTGCCCTACAATCTGCTACCGTTGCTTGCACAAGTTGCCGTTGGCAAACGGGAGAAGCTGTTGGTCTTTGGCGATGGTCTGTTCTTTCTTCCCTAGACCTCCGACATGTCACGCTGACGTTGTGATAATGTAGATTACGACTCGAAAGACGGCACCGCCATCCGAGACTACATCCATATCCTTGACCTTGCAGCTGGCCATCTCCTTGCTTTGAATCATCTTCGCGCGCACAAGCCCGGATGCAAGGCATGGAATCTGGGCACCGGCAAGGGATCGACCGTGTTCGAAATGATCAAGGCCTTCTCCCACGCGGTGGGTCGGGATTTACCGTACGAGGTCGCCGGTCGCCGTGATGGGGACGTGTTGAACCTGACCGCGAACCCGACCTTGGCCAACGAGGAACTGGGCTGGAAGGCTCAGCGGACGCTGGAGGACGCGTGCGAAGACCTCTGGAGATGGACGGAGAACAATCCCCAGGGCTATCGGCAGCAGCCGCCGGGAGATTTGGTGAAGCGGGCGTTGGAGATGCGCGATTCAAAATAATGACGGACGTCTTGGTGTACAATTCTAGAAATCGGATAAACGGGTCTCTGGTACGATGATATTGCAGGGGATGGCAGGGATCGATAGACATAAATACGCTATGATCGTTGTGCTGAAGCCGACTCTCGACCCATTGACACCGTACATAAAAGCGCAGAACCAACCAAATATGCCGCATACTATCGATATGATAGAAACACAAACAAATCGAATCACAGTTGATACTTGCATCCGGATATCACAAGCGCCTAACAAGCAGACTGGGAGTTCCGTAAAAGTAGTATTAATGCCTCAGGCAGTAAGGCATCCAGCCCACGCAGATCTCAACTCACTTGACTTCGTGTGTGACTGATTTTATATCCAACCTGACTCGCTCACTTCAACAAAGTGGGCAATAATACTCATATTTCCACCTGGAACCTTTTCCTTGCCATCGTGCATCCTCTCGCCTCAAACCTCAACCCTAACCTTGGCTGTCACGCCCGAATTGCATGTCAATCGTCAACATGGACAATGTTGTGAGCCTTCTCAAAGCGACGAAGCCGAGCCTGGACTTGTCATCCACCGACCCGATTCAGCTGTCCTCGACGTACTTTGGCACGGAATATTCCTCCGAGGAAGGAAGTACGATTAAGGAGCACTTGGCCCCAGACATGGCCGCTCGGCTTCCTGCCTTGAATGCTTTCCTCTCCGTGCGCACCACCATCCTAGGCTCCAAGCCCTCGATCGCAGACGTTTTTGCATTCAAGCTCCTGGCACCCGTCGTTTCCAAATGGTCGCCAGACGAAAGGACGGGCGAGCAAGGCAATCACCACATTGTGCGGTTCGTGGACTTCGTGCAAAACGCGCCGGTCTACGGTCCGCTGGCTGTGTCCGCCGGTGACAAGGTCGAGATTGATCCGAGCGATGTCAAGGTTGCGGTCAAGCCCGTCGACATGAAAGCGGAGCGGGAGAAGAAGAAGCGGGAGAAGGAGGCCGCTGCGGCCGGAGCGCAGGGGAAGCCGGACTTGAAAGAGAAGGCCAAGGACAAGGTTGCTGCCGTTGGCGACAAGCTTGCTGCGACGACGCTCGGGCCCGGAGCCCAGGGCGAAGGAAAGCCTAAGAAGGAGAAAAAGGAGAAAGTGAAGAAGCCTCAGCCACCTCCACCGGTAGAAAAGCCGCTTTCCCCAGCTCTGATCGATCTCCGAGTTGGGCACATTCTCCGTGCCATCAACCACCCGAATGCCGACACTCTCTACGTATCTACCATCGCCTGCGGGGACCCAGAAGACACGCCGAACACTACCAAAGATGAGGAGACAGGGAAAATCGTCCGGACCGTCTGCTCTGGACTAAATGGATTGATCCCTCTGGCCGAAATGCAGGGCCGCAAAGTCGTGGTGGTCTGCAATCTCAAGCCGGTGACCATGCGTGGGATCAAGTCATGTGCCATGGTTCTTGCTGCATCACCCAAAGTCGCTGAAGGAGGCGATGCTCATGCTGGTCCGGTCGAGCTTGTGGCTCCGCCCGCGGACGCGGAGGCCGGGGAGAGATGCTCCTTCGAGGGGTGGGAGGGCGCACCGGAGCCAGTGTTGAATCCGAAGAAGAAGATGTGGGAAGCCGTCCAGCCGGGGTTCACCACGACCGACGCCTTGGAGGTCGGATTCGATGTGGCGGCCACGGATTCGGAGGCAATGAAGGGGCAGGGGAAGTCGGGCGTTGCAAAACTGACATGCGGAAAAGGGGTGTGCAAAGTTACTACCTTGAAAGGAGCTGTTGTGCGGTGATGGATAGGATTCATGACACCGTGTCGATATAGAATTACGAAGGCATACAAGGGGACTCGAGGGAAGCACCGGAGAGTCCTGATATAAATTCTTCAAACGAATGTTCTTAGGAACTGAAATTGGAGAGCCTGTCCCGGTACAAGGTCACCATCGCAAACACAAAATTATGTTCACTGCATGTCGAAGATTTAGATTGGATCATGCCTGATGAATTGATCGTCAGAATATCAAACTAGAATATCTTACTCAAAACCCTCGTGACCTCAGGTTGACTGCCGGATGCCGCGTCCGCATTCCCTTTTATCTTAGACCTGTTTTGCTTGAACTCTCGCACAAGCGATCCCCTTTTCGACGCCTTTGGAGGTTCTATAGCCTCGGTTGCCCCATCCTCAACAAGAGTCTTTGATTTGCCCTTTGATTTCGCCTCCTTCCCCTTGGACTTCGCCGCCATGCCCTCCAGCATCTTCGCCGTCTCGATATTCTGCAAAAACAGCTTATTCTCCTTCGTCGTTCTCGCAATCTCCGCCCGCATTCTCGCTGCTCGTTCCGCATTTTCGTTCGCGATCTGCTCGGTGAGATGATGCCATTTGAATCCCTTCAGGTATTTGATGTTCCACACGTCGTCGTGGTAGAACCCTCGCTTCTTCCCGCCCATGATCTTGGTGTTGAGCAGTTCCGCGACTAGCTTGGCGTCCGATTTCTTGAGGAATTCCACCCAGCCGTCGGAGAACGATTGTCGACCACTCCCACCGGCTTTCTTCTTCCGCGCGCGAACATCGGTTGACTCGGGAGTCAGGAAAATGCGACCAAGAGTACCATGTACGCTGAGACGCTGACGCAGCATTTGAGGGGTCATGAAAGGAGGTATTCTTGAGACATAGACGACACCGGTCTTTGAAGCAGCTTGCTGGGAGGCGGCAATGCTCGTCTCAGAAAGTTGTTTCGACTTCCGCCGTCGTTCTTTCGTCTTCGAGGACGAGTCTTGAAGGGATGCAGGCAGCTCCTCTTCAGCGGGGTAATGTATTATATCGTCGCTCGTGGCCGTAACTTGGACATCTTCCTCCTCGACTTCATCTTCGCTTTCGTCTTCGCTTCCAGAGTGGTCCCAGGTATCGGCAACCTTCCGTCGCTTCGTTTGTCTTACGAAGTCCGATCTTCCGCGGCTGTCGTCCTTCTCTCCCGTGCTATCACCTCCATCGCTCTCCTCTAGGTCAAAGTAATCGTCACGCTTTCTGGTAGACATGATCGTTTCTGGGGTTCGGTGTTCGAAGCAGTGGGAGTTTAGACGGATGTTTGTTGGAAGTGCGGATTGGAAAGTTTCAACGGCATGACTCAGAACTTCAAAAATGTATGATGCGCATGACTCGGCTCTCATTACCCCATCGTCCAGGCGAAGAGCGCAGCGTCATTGAACTCATATATTATTATATCACTGCTTAATTCACAATTCACACTGTTACCTTCTAAGATTGCAATAATATGGCGGGTTTCAAGGCATCTGATAGGAGAATATAATGCATACAAAAGAGCAAGGCTATTGGTCTCACCAAGATAATAAGGGCCTAGGATAAAATATTTATCAGCCGTTTTCCACATAAACCATCGCCCATCAACACCACAAGAGATCGTGTTCGGTGAGAAGATGACATTTCGCAAAAGAGTTATTCCATCGACTGGAGATCAGCACCATGTGCCATCCATACAACCCGGCATCCGCTCATCTCCCCTCGATGGACGGCCAACGACATCCACCGGTGTCCAGTCGCTCGACGATGCATTATCTGGCCACTCCGGATTACCGTTGGGGAACTCCATCTTGATCGAAGAATCAGGGGTGACGGACTACGGTAGTACGCTGCTTCGTCTTTTCGCCGCCGAGGGGGCAGTTCAGGGACAGACGGTCCATGTCATCGGTACCAGCGAGGAGTGGCTTCGTGACTTGCCTGGAGTCGTGGAGGCGAAGCGAGCGACGGCTCAGCCAGAGACCCGTAAACCCACGGAGCAAAATGAGAGGATGAAAATTGCATGGAGATATGAGCGACATGGTGAGTCTGGAGTCCCCCTTTCCACGGATGGAAAGATACGTGGAATGGTACGTGCTCGGATATGGCTAATCTCGACCACTTAGCCCCTACGGATCGAGAAGGTCTTAAAACAAAAGGAGAACCTCCGAAAGAAGGGATCTCGACATTCTGTCATAGTTTCGATCTTGCTAAACGACTAGACGTTGGGCTGCGATCTCGATTTCAGTTCATCCCCCTTCGAGGCGTTGGCGACACTCAGTCTTCGCCTTTCCTCTCCGCCTTTCTAACACTCGAGAAATACCTTTTGAGCTCGGCTCCAACCTCGGTTCATCGCGTGGTCATCCCTAGTCTACTCTCACCAGCCCTGTATCCTCCTCACGCGTGCGCTCCTCACCACGTTCTCCAGTTCCTCATGAATATTCGACGGCTTCTCCGCTCAATTCCATCCCGACTTGCCGTCATGACCACTTTTCCTCTCTCACTGTTTCCTCGCAATCAAGGAGTTGTCCGCTGGATGGAAATTCTCAGTGATTGCGTGCTTGAGCTGGCACCATTTCCACACCAATCCCTCGCGTCCTCAGGCGCTACAACCAAGGATGAAGAAGCTCCGCAAGGGTTGATGCGGATCCATAAACTCCCCACACTACACGAGCGAGGAGGAGCCAGTGCGGCACAACTACTTGCGGAAGATCTAGCTTTTGTCGTCAGTCGAAGGAAGGTGGTGATCAAACCATTCAGTCTTCCACCGATTGAGGGGGACCAAGAGGCGCAGAGCGAGCGAGAAGGAGGCCATACTCAAGGTGGAGGTCTTTCTTTCTGAGGGAATATTTGGCTCGGAATGTAATTCCGTCATTGGTTGCGGTCAATAGAATTGTAGAGCATGCTTGGCGTTGCTGCATCCGGAGACCGGGACTCCACGTTCATTCAGGGACGAGGAATCAAGCATAAGTCGGGAGTTAATTGGTACAGATGATATTTGCCGAAAAGTCTAAAATGATCGTCCTCATATTAAGCTATTCAGTGGGTTACAAATGACATCCATATGCAGTGTGTGGTTTTGGAATGGCGAGGCGCACTCAAGGCAGACAATATCGCATCAGTCCGTGATCAGGCGTAAATTTGGACCCTCGCCATCTCAATGCATATTGCGCGGCTCGCGATCAATTTTCTTTGGTTCAAGAGCCAAGTCACGCCGTGATCCTATGCACTCCCCGTTGTTCGGATATAGCTGCCAATAGCAGCTATTGCATTGGTAGCTAATGCAAGTTGGTATGCAATCAGTTCGCGCTCTACTGGATGGGGTTCAAATCATTCGATACTACAAGTCTACTATAGTATACGCCTGGATTCGGTACCAGGCGAGACATACTCCATCGTCTACGGCTCTAGTAGCAACTGCCTTACCCATCAATCCCCTTGATGGCCGTAGTGCTCAAAGACCGGGGTGTCTCGACAATAATTTTAACCAGTGGGCAAATCATTCGATTTTAGTGTTATTATATTCTCGTTTTATCAGGAAGTTGAGCATTGCAGTGATAGCCATCAAGGGGTAGTAACAGCGGTTTATCAGGTCTCTGTGAAAGCTGTCACCCAAGGAAGGTGTTGCGTTTTGGAAATATCAAATATGGAAATCCCCGAGTACACCGACAAGGCAGTTGGGGCAGTCTGCACTGTACCATCACCGCCCTAGCGCCCACGCAGCCGTCCGCGATCGTATTTCTCGGTATATTTGAAATAATGAACAAATGGGATCTGCTTCCTGAGGGATATTGATAGCTTGGCTTACTTACCTTCGTGGCTATGGTGAACAAACTGGTTAGCTGGAGACATACTTCTGAATGCCCAGATGGCACATTGTAGTACTGGTTGGTGGAGGATAGACACGGCCCGCGGAAACCTGGAAGAGAGATGCCTCGAGTTGAACGGTTACGATTTATGAGAAGGCGCAGGACTTCGTCATGCTATTATCGTGAGACATCAAGATGACGAGTCCCATATATCTGACATACAGTGAGGCTGGGTCGAGACAGTCGCACAGCACGGTCAACTAGACAATAGACGCCCTGCTTGAGGATCGCCATTAGCCAAGTTCTAGGCCCATTTGTATCATGGGAATCTCCTCTGCGTAGAGCAGTCTTGGAGGTTTAATGTTGACCTCTGGGGACCCAGTGGCAGTCCGCAGCGGTTCTGGCCTCCAAAAGAACAGGAAACGATCCCGACCGCCGAGATTCAATTCGGCTGCGAGCATAGGTGATTGGACCTGCAGTTGCGGAACTACGTATCTCTCGTATGTACGTACCTATTGCGTTGACCTCAGCCACACAACTCAGCCGATACGCATCGGATGGATACGTCCAGTTCAGTCTGGTCTAGTCAGAACATGAGATTTGCACCGCCACTCGATGACAATCTCCGATAATAGGGTGAGGGAAGCCCTTGTTCGCTGAGAGCACTATGTAGAAAGTGAGAACCGGTAGGGAAATGTTCATAATGTGACATACCGAGCTTCTTGATAGGGTGTGGCGATCATACTGTGGCCTTTATCGACTGTTGATAGATTGCGCCAGGGAGGCAAATCCACGGTCCAGGAGGCACGCACTTTCGTACTATGACATCAGCCGTTCACCACAATCAGGATTTGAACTTCATGATTGCTCTATTCCTGTTCTGTGTAGTACAGGAAGTACCGTGCATCCGAGGGATATGCTTCAGCGTCTTTCTCCAAATTGATCCGTAGTGACTGAAGCCAAGAGGATGGACGACCGGGAGCGGAACGGAGAGCCAAGACGTGCCAATGTGGAGCGGAAATGAGATCTTGTCGGCGGATCTCCAATTCTGCATGGGACGAAAATTTGAATATTCGGTTGATGCCCCATTTGAGTATTTGACAGGCAGTTCGAGTGGACAGTTGACTGGGGGACAGATGCAGGATACACCCGCTACACTACAGGATTGAAACATGCTAGGAACCGGACAGTATTACCCTAACCCCCCCTGTCATATAATACCAGTGATCGGTGATATGTACACTTCCATCAGGATTCGGGAAATTTGGAATGAACGCCTTGTAGCCGCCTGTGGGTGAGGAAGAATGAGGGACTCCTCTCCAAGAAACCCAAGAATGTTGGCTATTGACTATCAAAGTTGCCAAGGACTCCAGGGAGGCAGTGCAGACCGAAGGCGGCAAAGTAGTACCCGATGGTTGGCCATGATTTATCGGGGTTCCGGCGTTTGCCAGACATCCGTTTACCATACCCAAATGCCGTGGCCAGAAGACCATGCCAATGGTGAGTGAATTGATTTGAAGCACTTGAATCATCACAGCATGACGAGTTGATGAGCATGTGTGTTCGACCACCACTGGTGGACGGCTCACTAGCCTCTGCTGGATGTACACTATGAACGGGATGGAGGTAAACAGGATTAGGAGGATTGCCGTATTATTGTACTCCATATTTTACTTACTGTACGTGGGATTCAGGATTCAGGAATTAAGATCTAGGAATCAAGATCAGGATAATAATACTATGTATACTGCCAGCTGCTGTGGACAGAGTTGTGTCACGGTTGGGAATTGGGATCAGGTTTCCATTGGCAGTCTAAAACAGATGGAGCATCTTCCAAACACAGGTAGGTAATAAACATGCCGTAATAAATATCACAGGGTCATAGAATCGACGAATCCGATGTCCCCAACACGATGACCAATCCCAATAATACGGAGTATTAGTTGATTGTTTCTCGTAATATATAAGGTACCTGTTTACGACACGGTCTCCTGCCCCTACAAGGCTACAACCCAAGTGCCCGTCGATGATGATGATGATCATCATCCTCTTCATCAAGCTCTTATCCGCATCAAAGTTATCATCTATTATCCATCATGCCAATTCAGTTTCCCCATTTACATCCACCTCTTCTCACCCTCCACCAGACTCGTCCATCTGGCTCCTTTCACTCCCCCATCATTATACCGGCCCCCGGCGTCCACTCCAAATCACCCAACCCCATACAAATTTCCCAACGGAGCTAGCTCCCTGGCGCTTTGTTGCACTGCCACTCCTAGCTTCTGTCCGACATCCTCCCTTGGGATCGTGAACAACAATCTCAATTCGAATTCTGGAATACTCTCCGAGTCCCACTGCTCATTCTCTGCCCACCTTTTTGCCACTCCCTCCTTACGGGTTGGAATTTCTCCTATTGACTATTGGGGTTCCATTTGTTGCCATCAGTAAGCCCATTTCTCTCTCTTTCGCGCTTGCCCGTTCCCCCTTGGCGCGTCTTTTTCTCCCGTGCCTAGACTGGGTCCGGTCAGATTAGAAGGCCTAATTGAACGGCAAGCTGTACACAGCCTCTCTTCTGCCAAATCGTCAGTGGAAAGCTACGGGGTTCGTTTTTCATATCGCCTCTTTTCCTGCTCAATCAACTGTGTCCATAGTACCTCCAACGTTCCCTACTGGCCCGCATTCCAGACCTGTCGTTTATATCCTAACATGTGCTCTGTCCATAGCGCGCGTTACTTTCCATCACCTTGCCACGGTACATCATCTTGACGCCCGATCAGCTACCTCGAGCAAGTCTCGGCCAGCCTCGTCATCGTCTCCGCCTTCGCCTTCGCCCTTCTATATTGTACACCGCCATGTCGGCGAACAGGCTGAACTGAAAGCCACACATCTCCTCGCACCGTCTAAGCAACGCTCCCTAAAATACTTTTTCCCCTGGTCGAAGAAGGCAGGGCCGGGTCATCAAGGGTTGGGATTACGTTGCGTCGAACCCACCCTTGACTGCGTCTACTCCCTGAGGCGGCAGAACACATGAGCGACACACCGGAGGAGGGTAGAAATACCCCTTCGCCCGGCCCTGGCGGCGCGGGAAAACGTCCAAGAGCACCGACCATCACCATTGATACCAGCGCCGTGAACCCTGGCGACGAGATGAGCGACACGGTTCCACTGAATCAAGTAGCGACAGCCTCATCAACCGCTCTATCAGATGATCCGAGCACGGGAAATAGTGTAACCCCAGAGATAATCGAATTCGGCCCCGGGAGACCGAGCGACCCCCGACGAACTTCGGACGACAGTAAAGAGTCGCGACCAACATCACCGCACAATATCTCATCACCCACCGATCGATATGGGAACGGGAATCAGTTCCTCGATGTCCCCGGAAGGAGAAGAGGGGAATCTTTCGATTCCAGCAACTCCCAGACCTCGCAAGACTCGTATGGCACAACGGCGGTGGCGAGCCCGACGACGCAAACAGCGCGGGCAGATAGCACTGCGACGACCGGGGGTTCGCAAAACGTGGAATTGGTTAGCGATAAGGAAGCATTGCAGCCCGACCCAGGCACGGAGGCCGAATTCGACGTAGACAATAACAAATTCGCCTTCTCGCCGGGTCAAATGTCGAAGCTATTGAACCCGAAGTCGCTGAGTGCATTCCGCGCGTTAGGGGGTGTCATTGGGCTAGAGAAAGGTCTTCGAACCGATCGAAGAACAGGTCTTAGCATGGACGAAGAGGATCTGGACGGAGCTGTCTCGTTCGAGGAAGCCACCACGGCATGGGAAGTATCGCCGAGCACCACAAGCTCCGATGTCCCGGACAAGTTGGCTCGAGCAGATACGACGGCCGGTCGAAAATTCAGCGAGCACAGTTTCATCGACCGAAAACGAGTCTTCAGCGACAACCGCCTCCCGGAGAGGAAAACGAAGAACATTTTCCAGCTCGCTTGGATGGCGTACAACGATAAGGTGCTAATTCTGCTAACCGGGGCTGCTGTCATCTCGCTCGCGTTGGGTCTGTATCAAACTTTCGGCCAAGCGCACGGCGAGGGAGAAGCTAGGGTGGAGTGGATCGAGGGAGTGGCCATCATGGTCGCCATTGTTATTGTCGTGGTGGTTGGTGCCGTCAACGACTGGAAGAAAGAACGACAATTCGTCAAACTTAATAAGAAAAAGGAGGACCGCTTTGTGAAGGTCATCCGAAACGGTAAAACTCGGGAGATCAGCGTCTTTGATATCCTGGCCGGCGAAGTGATGCTTCTCGAACCTGGAGATCTGGTCCCCGTCGACGGCATCTTCCTCGAAGGTCATAACGTAAAATGCGACGAGTCTAGTGCCACCGGCGAATCGGATCTTTTGAAGAAGACGGGAGGCGAGGAGGTTCACAAGGCCATTCTCGAGGGCCGGCCGCTGAAGAAGCTCGACCCTTTCATCATCTCTGGCGCCAAAGTCTCCGAAGGCGTTGGAAGCTTCCTGGTCACGAGTACGGGTGTCCATTCGTCTTACGGGAAAACCATGATGTCTCTGCGTGAGGACTCCGAAGTCACTCCGTTGCAGTTAAAACTTAACGTTCTTGCCGAGTACATCGCCAAGCTCGGTGGCGCTGCTGCTCTGCTCCTCTTCGTGGTCCTTCTGATCGAATTCCTTGCCCACCTTAAAAACGACGACCGACTCCCGGCCGAGAAAGGACAGAACTTCTTGAACATCCTGATTGTCTCCATCACCGTCGTGGTTGTCGCGGTTCCCGAGGGATTGCCTCTCGCCGTTACCCTCGCTTTGGCTTTCGCTACAACCCGCATGCTCAAGGACAACAACTTGGTGCGACTTCTGCGCAGCTGCGAGACCATGGGCAATGCTACGACGGTTTGTAGTGACAAAACGGGCACCCTGACACAGAATAGGATGACGATTGTGGCCGGTACCATCGGTTCGTGGAACCGGTTCGGGGATAAGACAAAATTCACTCTTAGGGCGAACACTATAGGACCGGAGTCCGAGTCCATCCCCGAATTCATGGGTGCTTTGGGGGATGAGGTCAAGACCCTGATCGTCCAGTCGATTGCGATCAACAGCACCGCCTTCGAGGGCGAAGAGGATGGCAAGCCCGCATTCATCGGATCCAAGACGGAAATGGCCATGCTGAACCTGGCGCGCGATTATTTGGGCATGGGCTCGGTCAGCATCGAGCGCTCCAATGCCACCATTGCTCAAATGGTCCCGTTCGACTCCGCACGAAAATGCATGGCCGCCGTAGTCAAATTGGACGACGGGCGCTACCGCATGTACGTTAAAGGGGCCAGTGAGATCTTGCTCTCCAAAGCCACTCGGATCCTCGATAATGCCACCAAAGACCTTTCGGATCGACCTCTCGATGCCGAGATCCGCGAGGAACTGAACTACGTTATCAGTTCCTACGCTAGGCGCAGCCTGCGCACTATCGCGCTCCTCTTCCGCGACTTTGACTCATGGCCCCCGAAAGGTGCTCGCACTATGCAGGACGATAAGACCAGTGTGGAGTTTGACGATGTCTTCCGCGACATGACTTGGCTTGGCGTGGTAGGTATCCAAGACCCCTTGCGTGACGGAGTCCGGGAAGCCGTCCAAGACTGCCAACGAGCGGGGGTTTTCGTGCGCATGGTCACGGGCGACAACGTCGAGACGGCTAGAGCTATCGCCGAAGACTGCGGGATTCTGGTTCCCGGAGGCCTTGTGATGGAGGGACCGAAATTCCGCAAGCTAAGCCGCGGCAAGATGGCCGAAATCATCCCGAAGCTGTGCGTGTTGGCCCGAAGCTCGCCCGCCGACAAGGAGAAGCTGGTCAAACGGCTCAAGGAGATGGGGGAAACGGTCGCGGTTACAGGAGACGGGACCAACGATGCGCCGGCCCTGAAAGCGGCCGACGTGGGCTTTTCCATGGGCATCGCTGGAACGGAGGTGGCGAAGGAGGCGTCTGCAATCATTCTTATGGACGACAACTTCGCCTCGATCGTGAAGGCCTTGCTTTGGGGCCGTGCCGTGAACGATGCGGTCAAAAAGTTCTTGCAGTTCCAGATCACGGTCAATATCACGGCCGTGGCCCTCACGTTCATCTCCGCGGTCGCGTCCGCTGATCAGAGCTCGGTCCTAACGGCGGTCCAGCTACTCTGGGTCAATCTGATCATGGACACATTCGCTGCGCTTGCTCTGGCCACCGATCCACCGACGCCGAGCCTATTGAACCGGAAGCCGGATCCCAAGTCCGCGCCGTTGATCACGCTCACTATGTGGAAGATGATAATCGGTCAGAGCATTTTCCAGCTTGCCGTCACGTTCGCGCTGCATTTCGGGGGTGCGAAGATCCTATCGTATGACACTCCCGAGGAACGGGATCTTCTTCCGACCTTAGTCTTCAACACCTTCGTCTGGATGCAGATCTTCAACATGTTCAACAACCGCCGGTTGGACAACAAGTTCAATATTTTCGAGGGAATTCAGCACAATTACTTCTTCATCCTGATCGCTACTATCATGATCGGCGGTCAAGTCTTGATCATTTTCGTTGGGGGCCGGGCTTTCCACGTGCAGCGCTTGGAACCCGCTCAATGGGGCTTGTCGGTCATTCTCGGCCTAATTTCGATCCCAGCTGGTGTCATTATTCGATTGATCCCCGATGAGCTGATCAGAAAGGCGATTCCCGACTCCATCCGACGACGTGCCCAGCCGCAAATCACGGTCGAAGACGAAAACCGCTTCGAGTTCAACCAAGGCTTGCTCGACATTCGGGAGGACCTGTCGTTCATGAAAAGGATCCATGGCGGGCGTCTGTCCAGCTTCAAATACCGCATCAAAAATCCTCGCGAAATCTTCCCCCAGAGATCACGCAGTGCGAGCCATCTCAGCAGCCAAGCCAGCATCCCCAGTACACCGAACATCAATGACCCCAAGAGATCGAGCGAAGGGAAGCGGAAAGACAAAGATCACGACAAGGATCGTACACCGAATGCATCTCCCGATAAGCGACGTCGTGCCACCCGATCTCGCAGCAACAGTGCATTTGGCGCTGCGGCTGCCATGGCAGGCGTGGTAGCGGGCTCCATCGGTGGATGGTCCCCCATCGATCGGGATGCCGGCGATGGCGACAGCGAATCGATATTCAATGCAGGGGTTTCACGGTCGCCGAAATTGAACGAGCGCCAGGATCTCGAAGCTGCGGAGGGCATCGAGCTGGCCAGCGGCACGAGAAGCGAAGATCCGGTGCTGGTGCCTCAAGATGTGGTATTGGCGGGCAAGCTACCGCCCAGCCAGAGAGAGGAGACCACACCGGAGTTTAGAGTTGGGCCGTTGGCCGGGAAGGGCGATGATAAGCTTGTACAAGCCGAGAAGGAGATCGAGAGCTCGAAAGAAGATGGGGAAAAGAAGGAGGCCACGGTTGACACCAAGGCTAAGGACAGCGATGACAGCAGTGAGGACGAGGTCGATGGAAAGAAGGACAAGAAATCGGGCGGGTGAGCACGACGGTTGCAGATCGGGTTGCAGATCCGATGCCGAACCATGTGCCGCAGCATTCCCGCCGTCCCGAACCAGGAGGCGATGGTACTGCCCATCATGGATTGCGACGATTCCTGATCGCAACACCATGGTTCGTAGCCACGGCACCATTCATCGCCGCCAAACGGGCTGGCATTTTCTTGTGTCCACGGAGTTAGATCGAAGCAAAATCATTCTAGGCCGCAGAGTAGGGGCGACAGGCGTTTTCCGCATTTTCAGGTTAGTTTCATGTCCTGACAGCAAAGGCACGGCGTTGGCGATGCACACCAGACTATTGTTTTCTTTTGTGGGTGGGGAATTGGGATCTCGTAGACTGTGGGGACAAACACTTTGCTTCTTATTCTTGTGTTGATAGGTTACTTAAATAGGTATTGGTTTATACAAAATCCGGGGCTGTGGAGGAGAAAAAGTCTCGCTAGGAATGATATTACAAGTGTTCGAGGATATTCTGCCCTTCTGTGAGTGTCAAGAGTGAAATGTTTGAACATGACATCCCTTCCCTACGGCACTTCAGTAGCGACGGCATACTACTTCTATGCAGAGAGTCTCAGCATGTCCCCTATCTTACCAGGTCGTTATCAAAATATGTGAATCCAACCCGACATTGCCATGGCGAATATGGCCACCGTGTGGGTGTGGATCAGCTTCCGATCTCCTTCCTGACCTTGGTCGTTGAAACTCGGCTGGGGAACGTCGAAATCCACACTGCAGGCTGGACTAAATATTATATGAGTATTATACGAAGTACCGGTGAGAATGTACAAGTAATTTGTTAAGTATCCAGACTCTTTAGACCAACTGAATCCATTGATTTCAGGGTGTCCCACCCATTTTGTTGTACGGAATATGGGTACTGGTCCCTGGAATTGATTGCTTAGGAGCATTACGTCAGACGCCAGCGTCGAGTTTTGGCTGGAGGATTCTGTTATTTTTGTTAGGTACTTCCTTAAGGTACCTTACCTATCAATACTATTCATATTTCCTGTTTATGTCCTGTCGATTGTTTAAGAATCTACCTACCTCTGGCAATTGAGGGGCGACTGTTCATGCCATCTCGTTGAAAATGTCAGAATCCGACGTAAAGGAGGGGAAGTCCAACATCAATTTGATTGAAGAATGTGACAAGTATGATGATCCAACGCGTTCCAAGAAGGAATACATGTTAATATTCGAAGTTTCCCATACTGCCAAAGAGATTTGGATACTTATATGCAGTATGTCTCGACATATTACCACTTCCGGGTGCCTTCCTGCCCTCGAACATTGGGATACGTTTTGCCCTCAGTTGCGGAAGTATTTCGAAATCTGCCCGACTGGGAAGTGGACGACTTCTCAACTCCCCGCACGCTTACTTTAATATTCGGGGATGATGCCGTATTCCGGTCGGCGGCAGTTGCTCGTACTGTCCAAGCGATGCGGGAGACGGGTCATTTCCAGGTTCTAGAAGGATGGCGAGATGAGCTTTATCCTGTCTACGACTCCGATGGGAGCATTCTGTTTAGCTTGGAGCGGTCGGCATCGCCCTTATTCGGAATAATCACATACGGCGTTCATATGACAGCATTCACCAAGTCGAATTCGTCGTATGGGCTGAAAATTTGGGTCCCGCGACGAGCCAAGAACAAGCAGACATACCCGGGCATGCTGGACAACTCGGTGGCCGGTGGAATCGCGTCCGGCGAGAACATCTTCGAAAGCCTGGTCCGGGAATGCGCGGAAGAAGCGTCGCTCCCAGAATCCGTGGTGCGAGAGAGCGCACGGCCAGGCGGGACAGTCACCTACTTCTACCTGCGCGATGCGAGGGCTGGGGGGGAGACGGGACTCATGCAGCCAGAATGCCAGTATGTGTATGATTTGGAGCTACCTGAAGACGTCACTCCGAAACCAGGCGACGAAGAAGTACAGGAGTTCTATCTTTGGACAGTGGAGGAAGTGCAGGAGGCTTTACGGAAAGGAGAGTTCAAACCCAACTGCGCTCTGGTCATTTTGGACTTCTTCGTGAGGCATGGGATTATAACCAGCGCGAACGAGAAGCATTATATCCAACTCGTATCGAGGCTTCATCGGCATCTCGAATTCCCAACTCCCTAGAGAATTCAAAGGCACCTCCAACCTTGGCTCTGACGCTGCCGTTGCTCGATGGCAAGCAGCACAGTTTGAGCCAGATCTGACGCGGGAGACCCTTGCGAATGGAGGTCCGCGGCACGTTCTTGAAAACCGTCACAACAGACATATAGCCGATAGACAGAACCTCATTCTCATTTCTTCAAGAGCAAATAGATGTAGTCGATGCGCAGGGACGTCAATCGCTTATACGGTCCTTCAAGATAGAGGAGGAGGCCGCCGAACGAGACATAGACCTTGCTGAGTGCCATGAGTTAGCTCAAGTCAATTGCGAGAATCAAGTAACGAACATATTCTCTCCATCACCCTCTTCGAACCTGTAGACCTTGCCATGACAGACATAGTCCCACAGATCCGCTAATGAAGCCTGGCCGTCGGTGGCTTCCCTCCAGCCTTTCTCATCCTTGGAGCCGTCGAGGTTCAATGTGCTTGCCAACATGAGTTGGATATTCTCGCCGACGGATAACTGGAATAGGTCGGTGTTGATATCGAGGGTCATGGTCATCGTGCTATCGGTCGACGTGCCGGAAATGCGGGAGACGCGGTCATATTTTTGCGAGTTTATGGAGGTGATTGCGAAAGTCTCGTCAAGGAGCTGTGAGTCGGCCATGATGTATTGCTTGTGACTGAACTGTACTGAGAGGTTTAAAGTGCACGTAAAAATCCCAAGGACTTTAAGATGGAGTATCCGAATGGTTGACGAAGTGGGTGGTGAAGTTGCGATGCCTTGACAATTTTTGGAATTTTGCAGGCGTCTGCGCAGGCCGCAGGGTCCAAAAGAACGTCCACTCCACTCGAGTCTCAACCCAGATGATGTCAACCACTACCGGAATTTTCATACGGAGTCTTTCCTCGACCGGACTATACCTTTCGCCATCCTAAAGTTCGAGAGTTATTATCTTGTTACCCTTCAACCTTGTGCTTGCGATCTTCAGTAGCGTCACCTTGGAGAACGGGATCGACTGAGATGAGAGCGGCAGCAAGTCATTGGCGACAGGAGCATGGCCGGGCCAGTTGCTGATATATTTACGATCTGGCATCTCTGGCATCAATTATCCCGTCGCGATCTAATCGATATACAGGATGCTGCTCAGCAGGTCTTTCACGGGAGGGGTCCGATCTATCAATCGTCGAGTCCCTTCGCCACCATGGCCTCGACGGCAGCGGGGACTGCATCTGGCACCGCCATTTTTGCTGGATGACTACATCCCTCAATATCAATTAATATCCTCCAGAGATGCCGCGAAGAAACGTTCCCAGGCATATGCACACCTGCGCAATTGTAATCTATGCCCGCGATTGTGTGGAGTCAACCGGTATGAAAAGACGGGGGTATGCCTCATTGGGGCCGAGAGTGTCAAAGTGAATGTCATCGCACCTCACTTTGGAGAAGAACCGTGTATCCAAGGGCATAATGGGTCAGGATCTGTTTTCTTCTCCGGCTGCAACCTCCGTTGCGTTTTCTGCCAAAACCACGATATTGCCCATCAGCGAAACGGGTTTGATCTGACCCCGGAGGAGTTGGCTGAGTGGTACATGAAGCTGCAGGAAGTCGGCAAAGTTCACAATATCAATCTGGTGACAGCCGAGCACGTTGTACCCCAGGTGGTGCTATCCATACTTCACGCGAAAGAGCTAGGACTGAATCTGCCTATCATCTACAATACGTCCTCGTTCGATTCATTGGATTCCATCAAATTGCTGCACGGCTTGGTCGATATATATCTTCCGGATTTCAAAGTCTGGAGCAACAATACGTCCAAGCGATTGCTCAAAGCGGACAACTACACGGAGACGGCAATGGAAAGCATCAAGGCTATGCACGAGTCCGTCGGGGATCTCTGTTTTACCGCTGATGGAATCGCGAAGAAGGGCGTTCTGCTTCGGCACCTCGTCATGCCGGGACTTGAAAGTGAAGGCGAAGAGATTGTGAGATGGCTGGCCGAGAACATTTCGAAGGATATGTACATTCATATCATGGAACAGTATCACCCTCGAGCCCACGTTGGGAAGCCAAAACGTCGCACGAAGTCGGACGTGGTCGCACCGGGAGGATTTCCATCCCCGGATGACCCTGACGTTCAAAGAGTTCGTTATGAGGATATCAATCGCCCGGCCAACGAAGACGAGGTCTCTTCCGTCCAAAAAGCTGCTCAAGCGGCAGGGCTGTGTAGATTCGTCGAGCCTGCAGCACATGGTGGCTTCAACATTTAACATGGAGTTACCGCATAGAATGTGGACTGTGGACATACGGTACAGTACTGTTGACTACCTAACTGACTTGTTTATTGTCTCTTTGTCTCTCTGGTTCTTGGTGGCATATCTATCCGCCCTCGTCCGATTCCGGTTATCCAGACCTGAACAAAGAAAGAGCACTGCCGAAATCAAGGAATATTGACCCAATCGCTTAAACCTTTCACACTGTGAATGACTTTAGCGCGCGCTCGGAAGGAGGCTCATTGAAGATCGATGAGTCAGTGCACCTTATCAGGAACTACACCGTCTGACTCTGGTTGCAGATAGCTACTAGACCATAGTCGATCCAACCTGATAGCCTGGTGGTTGCATGTATCTAGACTGCGTTTCGACTTGGTCGCGTATCTTAGCCGTGCTTTTGCCTTCCATCTTAGGCATGCGATGATGCTGATGGACGCGAGGATCAGGTTTCTCGAGGACCAAATGTGGTATTGTGCCGACATCCTTCATAAAATGCGCACCGACGTAGCGTATTACGCGAGCAAGATCCAAGACATTCAATGGGAGATTGAAGTCGGCAGTCCATCATCTCGCCGTCGGAAACGGCTGGCGAAATTGAAAGCCCGGTGTATGAGACAGTTTGAATTCCGGGCACAGCAAGAGAAGCATGTCCTGGAGAACTTCACCGCTACCCAACGAAGGCTTCAAGACCTTCGATGTCATGCCGCCTCTATGAGGCAGCTTCTGGACCTATACGGAGGCACTCTACCGTATGAGAGTTTATATCCCCCTAGTCCCTCCCTCGAAGCCAAACACCACGGACCTAGCTCCTCAGCGATCCCTAATTTCCAACCAGTAGACGATCTAGCCTCCCCGCTGGAATCCACCCGAGAAGAGCGCAGCGGAAGAAGAAAAGGAACTGGTGACGGCAGCGGGAGAGGTGTCTTGGAGAGACATCCATCGAGATCTTTTCTCAACTGTGCTGCTCCTGAGCTTCACTCTCCATCACACGGGTCATTGAGCAGTGAGCCAGTCACGATGCCGCTAAATTACACCTATGCGCCGAATAGCACCGCGATCTGGGCGAGAGGCACGGTTTCTGTCCCATTACCACGACGATTTTCGGCCCCAGTGCTAGATGTGGCGGGCGTATCCAGCCATTCGAACTCATCTTGCGCTCCGCAGCGTAGTTTTCACGCAGAACCGATGGCCACACAGCTCCGAGCAAGTTATTAGAGTTATGTCGGAACGAACCATCGCCGTCGATATTAATTACCCCTCATTTTTGGGGGTACATCAGACAACTCAAAGTTGATTGGAAAGGCCAAAGAGGCAACACATTCACCAACGTCACTTGCTCCACAACCCGCAACCGTGCGAGTGCAGTTCTGTTGCTTTGTACCGGCCAATGGCCCTTTTGGAAATGCTCTTGTGCATATTAAACACCTGAATAGCAAGCTCAGAGATGCTCTAATTGCTCTTGTCCGAAAATTCGAAAATCCAATTGCCATCAATAGATTTGAGCGGGGAGTCGACGGAATAGCCCCCGAGTCGCTCCGCATCTTGCAGCCATACTCTAAAACTATAACATCTGCAGTCAATCAATCCCTTGTCCCGTTGATCTGTTGTTGAACCAGTGAACCATTAACTTAATAATATTCTTCCCAGCCACCGGGAGTGGTGCTGGGTACAGGGGAAGGTAATAGGCTAGAGTCGGGCACCATCCCACGCTGCAGCGAAATCCGATGCACGTCATATCCACAGCCCACCAAACATGTGTCAAGACCCAAGACGTTCAGACTCTTGATGCGAGAATGGGGGTGTCAGATGCACAAGAGGAAAAAAGCAAAGAAAGGAGTGCAATCTGTAAGAGCCTGCACAACGTATAACACAAGGACTGGAGAACCTACCGGAGCGTCCAATTGGCTTTTTCCTGTTTTCGGGAAGTCATGAAGTATTATCTGTCTTATTCCTCCACTGCTGTGCCATAGTAATGGCGATTACGGATTAGAGAAATCGCGATTAGAGAGGACTCCGTAATTAGTTGAGGGCCACTTCCGGTAAGGTCCCCCTCTCACTAACTACTCCCTCACTAAAATATTCCAATATCCCCTTCGATTTCCACAAGTGCGAAAATCCACCGTCTTGTCCATGATTCCCATGCTAACAGTAACCGCAACTGCAAGGTGTCCCCTTCGAAAGGCAATTGCCTAAGCACTGCACTGCTTCCAAATCGCCAATGGCTGTAGCGTCGTCCAGAATTTCCCATCCCTCATCACCTGTCGCGTCCAATTCCTGGACGGTACCGGTCCCGGACACAACCAGACGCCATTGCCAGTGCGTGGCTATTCGCTGAGCCAGAAGCTAGAGTTCGAGACCGGCAAGCCATACAAACACTCCCCCGTTGCTGCATGTGCCCATCGATACAAAGAAAGATTAGGAATCCCATCTGCCACGCTATCGTGGGCAACGAAGGACAGGAGGATTGATAAACTCGCGTTCCGATCTCGCAACAGCTTCATCCTCAACATGGCACAATCACCAGGAGATACTGTCGATTCGGAAGGCCTCCGTGCCCGTCTGACCAACAATCCGGCCAAACCTCAGCTTGAAGCTTCTTCAAAATCCGCTAAGGATACGGTACAGAGCTTGAACCATGCCGAAGAAGAGAAGCCGGAGTCAGGACAACGGACATATGGGAGAACACCGAACGGAAAAGGCATGGGAACTGAGCACCGCATATATGCCTACGTATTAACCTCTCGCAGTATTCACCGTACCGCACACTCACGACATGGTCTCCCAACTCCTCTCTCCCACCCAACCGAAGAATCTTTCTGATGTCATCGTCCTCCTCATCCTAGCGATCCACATCTCGGGCTTATACTTCCTTCCGCCAAGTCTCCAGGTCTTCGCATTCGGGACCCTTTTCGCATTCTGGAGACTCTCATACAATGCCGGTATCGGGTATTTACTGCACATTCAGTCCAACTACAAAGGTCTGGTGACATGGGCAAGACGGAGTGGCATCTTCGAGAACCCGTCCACGGGCAAAAACAAGCTCCCTTGGGCCTACGGCGTGTTGAAACGAGAATTCGAGACGAAGATCCCAAAGGATTACTCGTTCGAGGACGCTCCGATCGAGTACAACACGTGGCTGTTCTTCCGCAGGGTCGTCGATCTCATACTCATGTGTGACTTCGTGTCTTATTGTTTATTTGCGATGGCATGTGCCCACCTTCCAGACGAGTCCGTCCTCATGACCATCGGCCGCTGGACCGCGGGCGCCGCCCTGTTCCTCTTTAACCTTTGGGTCAAGCTGGATGCTCATCGTGTGGTCAAGGACTTTGCCTGGTACTGGGGGGACTTCTTCTTCCTGATCGACCAGGAGTTAACGTTCGATGGTGTCTTCGAAATCGCACCCCACCCAATGTACTCCATCGGCTACGCGGGATATTACGGCATCTCCCTGATGGCTGCGAGTTATAAAGTCCTTTTCATCTCCATCGCTGCTCATTCAGCACAGCTCGCATTCCTCGAATTCGTGGAAAATCCACATATTGAGAAGACCTATAACCCGGTGGTTCCATCCATCGGCCGAGGTCTCGAAAAAGCGGCGGGCGGCGACGACATCGATAAATTGGACTCGGAGAGCGGAACCGGGACTGGCACGCCTGTACCGTCCGGCGGCTACCCTTCGTCGATTCACGGCTTGTTGGGCCTGAATAACGTGGATCTCCACCGAACAACGGATCTATCGGTTGGTTTGCTTCAGGTCTACCTGTTCCTATTTACCGTCCTCACGCCGTCGACACCCATATATCAAGCCGTGTTCGTCGTGAATGCGCTGATATGGCGGATTTGGTACAGCTTCGGGATAGGGTACATCCTCAATCGCCAATCTCACAAAAAGAAGTGGACCCGGCATTTCATCAAATACGGGGACGGTATCGAGGAAGGCTGGCGACAATGGAAGGGATTGTATCATATCAGCATGACCATGTTCTACGGCAGTTTCGTGGCGGCGGCATACAAGATGTACTCGCTTCCGCCGGATTGGACCTATGGACTGGCTCTTCTTCGCCATGTCGTTGGTATTGCGCTCATCTCCCTCCAGTTCTGGACGGTCCACAGCATCTACGCATCCCTGGGCGAGTTTGGATGGTTCTTCGGGGACTTCTTTTTTGACCATGCGCCGAAGCTCACCTACAACGGCATATATCGCTATCTTAACAACCCCGAGCGAATCTTAGGGCTCGCCGGCATCTGGGGCCTTGCCCTCATCACCTGGAGTCGCGCGATTTTCCTTCTTGCGTTACTGTCGCACCTACTTGCAGTGGCATTCCTCGAGCTGGTCGAACGGCCTCATATGCAAAAGCTGTACGGAGAAAGCATTCGAGAAGACTCCGGTATTTCTCGCAACATCAAGCGATCCTTGCCGAAGCAACTCCGCGACTGGCAGGGGAGCATCGACCGTGCTTTGGGGGAGACATTCGAGATCGTCGAACACTTCCTCGAATCAACAAGTCCCCGCCTTGCGTCTGGCGTCGATGCTCTAGTCAAGGAATCGACTACCAAATTAAAATCATATCCAGCAAAGATTCGCATTACCATGCAATCAATCGATCAATCACCTGACCAGCAGTACTATTCTTTATCCATTATAGATACCCCTTCTAAATCGTCTGGCGAATTCGATCGTGGCAGTGGCCGCGAAGGTGAGCATGGGCGACGTCCGCAAGAGCATCGATCCAAATTCCGGCCGTTGATATTTGAATACGGTGCCCCGATTAAAGTTCGATGGCAGGCGCCTAAATCACACCACAGAAAAGATTGGGTGGGACTCTACATGGTCAGCGACAACAGCTCCCGTGAGGTGACCCAAGTCAGCAGTCAGGGACGATGGGTGTCCGCGTGTCCTGGAGCATACGACGATAGTCGATCAGAGGATGGCATTCTAGTCAGCGATGGTCCGATCGAGACCGAGGACATGATTGATCCCGACCTCATCTACGGCGAGATGGAATTCTCTGGCGACAAACTATGGTGGACGCCCGGCGTGTTCGAATTTCGATTCCATCATGCTGGAAAGCACAATGTCATGGCCATCTCCTTTCCATTTGAAATCAAGGTCAGCAAGTTCGACGACGATAATGCCGAAGTCGATAGCAACGGCCAGATCCGCGGTTCCATTGAAGAAGCGTTGCTTTCCGTGGTACGGAATTGCTTCAACCGTGACCCTGATATTGCACCGAGAACGGTCGACGAAAGCTTTGGGAGTCTGATTGAGAGAGATGGCAAATATGCGAAACGAATCGTGTTCGCGGTGCAACGGATGTATGTCATTTCACAGAACTTGATCCGAATTCAGCCTTGGATTACTGACTTCATCACAGGTTCGGGATTGAATTTGCTCCCGAGGTGGTTAAAGCGGACGGTAATGTCAAGAACCTTGCGTGGAGGATATGTAATGCTAAAAACGTTCTGGTACGCAATATTCGTCCATGATCTGACTTGTCACTCACGCTCTACAGGCTCCGTACAGCATGTCCACATCACAGGGTCAGAGTACACCTAATGAGATAAAGTACTAGTCGGTTGGGCGGAATCCGGTGTGGAGTAGTTATTCAAGCACCTCTCCAGAGTACATGAGACACAGCAGTCTTTTTTGCATTCTATTGTACCCGCACACAGGTCCATGTGCTTCGACAATGTGGACCACGCTTTGATGTATCTTGTCATTGATAGTTGAGTCACGGATATACCTCATCCAGACTTCGCACTCGTTTGTCTGGTCTTCTCGGGGCCATTATTCTTCAGCCACTTTCTTGCCAGAACACCTTCTGGGAACCACTGTTCCGCCTTAGCTGCATGCTTCATGCTTTGGTATGCAACGCATTTCGCGCCAGCTTTGGCAGCTATCCTCCCAATATAGTAATGGCATTTCTGTTCATATTGGGGGAATCCGAGTCTGTTCGCTTGTTTGAGGGCTTCCCCCGCGTGAGTTACTGCGTCGTCATCATCGTTCAAGATGATACACATGTTGGTGAGGTTGTTCAGACTCCAGATCGTGGCTTCGATCTGCACTTCGGGGAATGCTGGAAGAGCAGTTCGTTAGCTGACGATTTCGTGAACTAGGGGAGGCGACGCCGTACTGCTGAAAACAAAATAATTACTCCCTTCTCCGCTATAGACCGGTTTCTTCGGCTCTGTCTTCACCCACCCGTACAATCGCATTCTTAACTCATGCTTTTCCCGTAGCTCCTTCTTGTGCGCTTCTTCATTGTAGTCTAATATTCCCTCCGAGTTATCCGGTTCGAGATCGAAGTCTGCTTCACCGGGACGTTCTTCTCTCGCTAGGAGGGGAAGTCTCATCAATATCGCCTTTATAGTCCCAAGCTCTCTATGACCGTGTGTGTTCTCCTTGGCTTTCGGTATAATCTCATCTTCGGAACTGGAGCTGCCGCTTCCACCTCCAACCCGAATAAAGGTATCTTTTGTCTCTTGGATGATCTTGTCGGTCTTCATCAATGGTTTATCATCGATTCCCCGCCTTTTATCTCCAGCGGTTGAGCTTTTTGTCCTAACCCTTTTAGACTCCTGACCTTTTATTTCGTATCGCGGTGGCTCAAGAACCACACCGCTTTGAGGTCCAACGTTCGTGTCGAGTGTCAGTCTGGGCTTGCTATCCATAGTTCTCGAACCCACGGGAACGATTCGCTTTGAGGCCTCCCCTGAATCCAAAGACCTAATGCCTGTACGGCTTGCTTTCACATTTAGTCTCTGTGTCACCCCCATTTCCCTGCTGGACTTTGCCTTGTCAAGACGCGTCGCAAACTCGCTAATACTCATGGCTTCTTGCACTGGGCCTATAGTAGATTTCTCATTCGCTCTGGGGTTCTTTGCAAGCGTGGAGATTCTTGGATCTGTTCCTTCTGCTCGAATGGGTCGGGGTAGGCCTGTTGCTCTCTGGTTTGATTCGGGTTTTGTTTCGGCACTAGCACTTCCTGGACCTGATTCTTCTGCTCGAATACGTTGGGTTACGCCTGTTGCTCGTTGTTTTGATTTGGACTTCGTTTCGGTGTTGAAACTTCCTTTGCTGTTCCTGATGCCACTCTGTTGGTGTTTCTCGGGTCCCTTGGTCAACGTAGATTTGAGTTTCGTTTCGGTACTGGCACTTCCTTTGCCATTCTCTATGCCAGTGTACCGTTGTTTCTCAGGTCTCCTGATCAACCTCGCGTCGCTTTTTTGGTTCTCTCTGTCACCGCGCTCGCCAAGATCCTCTTTCATAGCCCTGTTAACGCCACTCCCCGTGCCATCATCGGCCTGGGATCTTCCGATCCCCCCCGAGGAGCGTTTCGACGTATTATGCTTATCCGCGTCGGTAGATGGTTCCCCAAGGCGGCAAAGAACCCCAACGCTTGGGAGTTGTTTCGACGGGTCAGTGGCAGCAAGATTCTCGTCGTCCATCCGTGCGCCTTCCATCGCTGTGTCCATCGCTGTGTTAAAAGGAATCCGAGGTCGGCCTGGAAAGAAGAACCATATTCTGAAACGGGTTCGGCATGTGCGCGCGAAAAGCTATATACTTCTAAAACCAATGCTGGCGGATACTGTTCAAACATATCCAGTGGCTGTTGTGAGCATGATGAAAGAAGATTTCTTCTAGGTTCAAATAGAAGGGCATCCTTGTCCGGTCACAATAGGACAACGCACATTCCAGGACACAAAGGATTCAACGGATACACGTGAATAGCATTCAAGACGTGAGGTTACTTGGATGAACTCTATTCTATGCCTCTTCAAAGGATTTGATTGCAAGCCAGAAAATTATCTGACCGAGAACCGGACCTGTTCCGGATAAAAGTCCATCCCTAACAGATTTCCGTACCTGTCTATTCATGAAAAATTTCCTGCGCCAGATGTAATAAGTCAGTCCCGCATGAAAAGTCTGTATATCTCATCATCGGTGACCTCCACAAATGGATATCGAATTTCCTTCAGGAACTTTTGCAAACCGTCGTCTTCCGGAGACGGACATTGCACGCCTGCAAGGATCTGAGCCACATCACCACCTTGGTTTCGATAATGGAAAAGGCTGATATTGAAGCCTGGCTGGAGCGTTTGAAGGAATTTATGCAGCGCTCCGCGACGCTCGGGGAATTGGAACATGTATAACCTCTCATCCACGACTCCTGAACGACCGCCAACCAAGTAGCGAATGTGTGATTTGGCCAGCTCGTTTGTAGAACAGTCCCGAGCGGTCATGTCGGCAGCGGCTATGCGTTGAAGCAGGGCTCCCAGGTCTGATTCTCGAGCTTCAGCGGAAGAGCCAAACTCAACCCCCATGAGAACGTGAGCTTCGGCTGGGGTGGAGAATCGGTAGCGAAACTCGGAGATAATCGTCTCAGGGCCAACGCAGTCCACAAGCTTTGCAAACGATCCGGGCCGTTCTGGAATGGTGACTGCAAGGAGCGCCTCCTTCTTTTCGCCCAACTTGGCGCGCTCGGCGACGAATCTCAACCGGTCGAAATCCATGTTGGCACCCGACGCGATCGCCACCAATGATCTACTAGTGTCCGGCGAAGGATTGTTCGCCACATACTTCTTGAGCCCGGCTATCGCCAGTGCACCGGCCGGTTCTAGGATGCTGCGAGTATCCTCGAATACGTCCTTGATCGCAGCACAGGTTTGGTCGGTATCGACCAGGATGATGTCGTCGACCACTTCGGACGCAATGCGAAACGTCTCTTCCCCAACGGTTTTGACAGCAGCTCCATCGGCAAACATACCGACCTCTTCTAGTACTACCCGTTCGCCTTTTTGAAGTGATGATACCATGGCATTGGCATCATAGGTCTCGACGCCAATGATCTTCACCTGCGGTGCGATGCGCTTCACGTAGGCCCCTATGCCCGAAATGAGACCGCCACCACCAATGCAGCAGAATATTGCCTCCAGTTTCGTCAGGTCTGTTTGCCGTAACAGCTCCATGCCTATTGTGCCTTGTCCGGCTATCACGTACGGATCGTCGAATGGTGGGATGTTCAAGAGACCGTGTGTACGTTCGAGACGCGCTGCCTCTTCTTTTGCTGCGTCAAAGTCTGCCCCGTGAAGGACTACACACCCTCCAAGTCGAGCGACATTCAGATGTTTAATGGTAGGGGTCCCCGCGGGCATCACGATAGTCGCTGGGATCTTCAGGTGGCGGGCAGACATGGCAACACCTTGCGCATGATTTCCTACAATACAGTCAGCAAATTGGATGTATTTCTCCGACTACGGATTGGCGTCTTACCGGCTGAGCATGCCACGACGCCTTTCCACCGTTCGCGTGGCGGTAAGTGAGCCATCTTGTTGTACGCACCGCGCAGCTTGAAGCTGAACACGGGCTGCAAGTCTTCACGCTTGAGCAGTACATTGCATTGAAGTCTGTTGCTCAAATTCAATGCTGTTGTAAGAGGGGTTTCGGTCTTCACAATCTCATAGACTTTCGAGGTGAGGATGAGACGAAGGTACTACGTCACTGTCAGCCGTCAGTCGGAATTTAAAAGCAAACCGAGTGGGTAAAGGGGATATAATTTACATCGGGATGCCCGTTCGGTAGTATGAAGGCGTCTGGAATGCTCTTTTGAGCCTTTGTCTTCGGAGACTCAGAGGGGGGGGAGGGGTTGGCGGTATACTCGGTCAGAGCCAGGCCGGAGAACTTAGGAGTGGCAGGCGTTGAGGTGCCATTGACCTGGGTATCGGGCGTTACTGGCCTATCCATCCCGCAGTGATAGTTATCCCATGTGTATGCTGGTACTATCTACCGCAACGGAAGGAATATATTTATTTGTGCGGTGAGTCAGTCCGACATCGCGCATTGGATGACGAGTGACATGGACTGAGAACCAAATTATATTGCAGCCTGAGGCACACACCCTCTTTCACTACCTTGAGAATATAGACAGAAAAGAGAACGGAGACATGATTCACCATTGATTGTCATCACTTTTTGTTCCCCAAGGTATTAAACAATCGTCTTATCCGGCCGAACATTGCAGACATCTCCCTTGTCTGGGTCAAAATAAACCACATCTGCTCACCATGCATGACCTCCCCGCGTCACCAACAAGCCGATCATCAACCCGACAGGATGTAAAACCCTCTCAATCACCGACCGAACGATGACAGACATAAGTGAAGGCACTGGCAGAGACGGCCACAGAGGACCTGGAATTCCCAGATCGATTTTTAATGGCGGGATCGTGGAGAAGATTGAGGCTCCGTCGCCAACAAACACTGCGAGCACATCCTTTTCCTCAGTCGAACCACGGGTAGACGCAAATGGCAGCGACGTATCCGATCTTGAGGACGAAGAGCTCGATGGTGAATCATATCGCGAGCTCTATGATGAGCGACCAAATAAATTCGTGGGACACCCAAACACATACAGACGGTGGATTGCGCCAGAGCGAGCGGTCGTAGATGCCCTGGGTGTACAACAGGCCAACAATCTGGGTCTTCACCTTTATTGTGTCGAGAAGCTTAGGAAGTTCATACTATATAGAGCACGCAGTGCCCTGGACAGTGGAAGGATAAAGAAGAGACGGAGAAATAAACGCGGTAGTGCCGATGGTCGCCAACTCGATCCTGTCCTTGAAGAACTCTCGCTCTCGGACTTCAAACCAACGTATCCGCACTCCGAATCTGCTGGGGATGCCCAAATCTCAACACATCTTGGCCCTGACGCCAAAGACCTTCCAGAAGTCTGGCTACCACCAGATTCTTGGACCACTTGGCCACTAAAGGTCGGTCAAGTGCCGAACGAGAATGATACATTCGAGGCACATCGGCACACAGAACAGGATGGGCTGCTCGCGACTCCCAATAATACGGGCCATGCGGTGCCGAGCATGTGGATGCATGAGCTTCTTACCAGCTTGATTTTAAGGAATGCAAGATGCCTTGCGAACGAACGGCCTCGTCATCGCCGGCATCAATCGATGCAGCCACGGAAGCGCAAGCCGAGAAAGCCTAAAATCAATGACAAGGGGTCCGAGGAGGATGCCGCTTCAGAGACCGATGTCAGCTCCAAGTCTGAAATCTCCAGACCGCGGCTAAAGGTCAAATTTCAGTATAAACCTGGGGACGTGAAGGAGAAGAGATATTTTCCGGTTCTTCTCGAAGATGAAGACGCCATCCAGAAAGTTGTTACACCGACTATTAGGTCGATTCTATCCGGACTTGATCGCTTACTCGTCTGTTCTGTCGATAGTGAGCACCGGGGACAGTTGCTCAAGAGGCTCGAACACCCGGTGTATTCATCTTCTTCGGAGGATGAACATGAATTGAGAAGCCAGACAAATCAGAAACAGGGCACTACCAGCGGAGCTATTACAGAGGTTCGGGAATCGTCCTCACAACTTGGCATTGACCCTTCGGCTTCTGACAATCAAGAACCGGCGAAGAGGAAGAGGGGTAGGCCGCCATCGAGCGTCCCCTCAGCCAACGAAGATTCTCCGGAGAGCGAATCCGCAGCTTCAACGAAGACACGACGAGGACGACCGCGAAGTGTGACCCGTATCAACGGCGAGAGTTACTACATGGCTCGTAAAAGGCGACAGTCACAGGAACCTTATGCAGAACGAGAAGAATCAAGAGCACCTTCTCGGGGCGCCCCATACCCCTCTAAAAGAATGCGTACGGAAACGACGGGAGGCGTTACTATGGGCCTGGATCCGGTATCCACGGCTTCCATCAATCAATCAAGTTTTCGATTCGGTCCCAGCGTAGACTCTTCCGGGTTCAAAGTGCAGAAGCTGCAATCCAAGCCCATGGATTGGAGGGCTATCCTTGGACGCGCAGCGCTCCTTGGTTGGAATAGCACTGTTCTGGATCGAGCAACTCAAAGATGCGTGGATTTGTTCAACGAGCCGATGGCGTTTGACGTTACGCTGTCCGGATCTGCAACAGAACAGCCCGTCAATGTCGTCTTTCCCACTTCGCGAAAAACCCCAAAGTCCCCATCGATCGCCAATGCATCCGCTTCCCGTCGACCCAAACCGACTTTCAAGCCGTATTGGGACGGTGACCAGTTGTTTTGTCCAATGCCCACCTGTTCTCGCCATTGGGAGAAGTTCGAGACCACCCGTCAGTTGACTCATCACTGCCGCAAGGTTCACAGGTTTGAGCCACAACCAGAAGCGGTGGCTAGGAAGGCAGAATCAAAAAGAAGCTGCAGGAGAAAGAAAGCCGAAAGCTCTGAAGGCCGTCGGTCTCGATCCAGGTCGCAGTCTCGGGCATCTCTCGCTAGCGACTCCCCACATTTTGACATGTTCATCGGTGGTGTCAGAAGTGATGGTTTTCTAGGAACAATAGACCGCGAAAGAGGATGGCATACCCAGGAGATTTGGGATGACATGGGCCATGACGATTCTAACGATAATCCTCCTACAGGGGGTCGGGATGAGGACGAAACGGAAGATGATGGTGACAACGATATTTGTAGCGAAAGGAGTACAGTTGCTGGAGCTTTACCGCCGGATGACTCGAGCAGCAGTAACCCATTGGAATTTTCTAGCATTCCCCCTGGATCCGGCCGACCATCATCAGGTTACAGGCCGGTGCAGGATTCCAACAACGCCGGTTTATCCGCTACCACAGGCTATTCCGATGACGATGAAGACGAACTGTAACTCCATGGCGTAAGGAAGGCACCCCGTTTTAGTTGTAAGAAGTCATGTTGCCGAAGCAATTAGCATTATACCCTCTTCTATATCCTTAACTAATTTCGGCTTCGACCTTAATCTCGCGCCGTTCAGTCTTCACACTGCCGCCACATGTCAATGATGATCTGAATTTCTTGCTCCGAAGCATTGGCCCGCGTTTTGTGATGCATTTTCCAAAGAGGCTTGGCTCCTGTCTGTTGTCAAGTCAACGACAGCAAATAAACCACCTGATCTCCTAACACTGGCGTCAAATCAGGGGTTCTCCTTCGATGCCCTGTCTCTGTTATCAAGTACAGGAGGCTCTGTACTTTCGTCATACGCATTCTTTCTCCGTTGTAGAGTTGGCATAAGATTGCAAGTGGATATCTGATTGTACTTCGACTCCATCCATGAAATGATCCCCATTCAAGGCTCATGCGGTCGCGTTGGCGAGAGTCTACCCCTCAACACGGTCTCCATTTCAGCTCACCCGGTGATGATCTTCCTCATCAGACTGTGTATCATCGCGGTATGGTTGCAGTGTTTCTTCCATACGGTCGTTTTCTTCGTCTCCGGCCTTTTTTGGCTCCGCAGCACGCCATCCAGTTGCTGCCTGAGCCAATACCATCAAAGCCGTAAGGCCTGCGGCGGCGGCAAACAACCCCCGCGTCGCGTCCACATATGCGCCGATCGCAATCGATTTTTCTGGCTCTCCCAGTGTTCCAACAAGGGCTGGACTGCCCAGCAACTTTCTAACCAGTCCGGTTTTGTGTCCCAGCCCATGCCCCACGAATCCATTGGTGAGTGAGCGTTGAAGGGTTCGTGTAAAAACACCTCCTCCGATCGCCGATCCAAAGGAGCCAGCGAAGCCTCGGAAAGTGGCAAGTAACGAACTTGCGATGAAATGTGTGTGGGTTGGCGTCAGATGAAGAAGATGGGACAGCGTGTAGTTGAGTGAGGAGCCCGTGATCATGCCGTTCACAAAAGTCAAGGAAACAAAGAGCGCAGTTGATGATGTCGCCGTAGACGCGTAGGACATCGATAAGAGGCTAAGCGGGAATAGGATATTGGCTACGATGCTGGGACTAATCCAAATGATCAGTTGCATTCGATTCTGAGCATGTGCTGAACTCACATGTAGAAGCTGCCTGACCGCTTGATGTGCAGCCACCCGACTAAGATGCCACCCAGAGCGAATCCCGCATTTGTCGGAATCAATATCGATCCCGCTTTGGCGGAATGCCACTGTCGAACGGAGATGGCGTACACGGGGGTGTAAAACAGGATCGTCCATCGTGACATCATGAAACCAAGCGTGGCGATGCATGAGAAGAGCATGCCCCGAGACTTGAGAATCACCACTGGAATCACGGGATCTGAGGCCAGGTATGCTTCATTGAAAACGAAGATGGGCAGAATAATCAATGACAGAACGATTGGCAATATCTGGATGGTTGGTGAAGACAAGCCAAGAAGCATGAGAAAAATGGTCGCAGTCTAGAATCGTTAGCATGCTGCCTCGGTTCAATAGAAGGAAGAACAGTACCAATGTGACGGCCCCTAAGTAGTCCAGACGCGCCAGCTTCTGTCGGAGAGAAACATCAGTCCGACTGTTATATTTCGAGGTTGAGAAATCCGGAAGTTTTATAAGTAGAACCAGCCCTGCTATGATAACAAACGGGGATTGTCCCCAGAAAAGGGCTCTCTAGAATAGCGTCAACTCCTGAACTCTGTATCAGCTGCAGGATCCAACGTACCCAACCGATGACAGGTTCCAGTGCACCAGATAAGACAGCGCCGACGGAGACGCCGACAGTGTATCCCGTGTTTAACAGGCCGATAAATAACCCCCGCCGCTCGTCAGTAGCTAACTGTAGCACGACGATCAAGGAGACTGTAAAGATGCCGGATGCTCCAACCCCCGTCACGACTCGCCCTACCAGGAAGAGGTCCAGATGTGGCGCGAGGCCGGTGATGAGGGATCCTATTGCGAAGATGACGGAGGCGGTGAACATGCACTGTTTTGGAGGAAATACGGTACAGAGCCGGCCTACTAATGGAGCAATGGATGACATTGCAACCAAATATGCGCTCGTGAACCTGGTGATCGGTCAGTACTGGCTCAGGGGTATGCATTCGGGTTCGGAAGATACATTACCAGGTTACATTCTCAAAAGCATCCAGTTCCGCAGCAATTGCGGATTGTGCGGTAGTCAAGAGCGAGATATTGGTAGCTTGAAGGAAAATAAGGATACTCATAGCGAAGACGATCAAGGTTCCCCGAAGCCGCATGCTCTGTCGCTTTGGCCACGGGGGAAATTCGGTGAGGTCGCCATCAACTATCGGGACCTGGTTGGCATCAGGTTGATCTGTTGCAGTTATTCCATTTCCGACACCGGGGAAGGTAGATTTCGACGACGCAAGCGATGCAGGCGAAGAAGGCGTATCTTGAAGAAGCGGAGTCTGCGCAGTGGTGATGGTGGTGGCGGTGGTGGTGGTGGAGGGGGTGGTGGAGGGAGACGACGGTGCGTCATCATCAGGACCAGCCATGATGATGCTCTAATAGTTCTGGTTATCAACCTGGTTTAATTCCCTCCTATGTTCGTAGGGATGGTTAAAGAGATGGATGCCATCAAGGTGAATCCGTTCTCGAGCTTAGTGGGGTTATTGGATTATTTCATGTATTGGGAGGAATTCCAGCCCCGTGAAATTCTGGTTCTGTGGATGATGTAGTGGCTTCAACCTGATTGCTAAATATATCCAGTAAAGTTTGCAATACATAGGTCCTCAGTACCTATGCGTACTCAGTGCCGATTATGAATCCAAGCCAATACCTGTTATTAGGCAGTTTTCTGGTGGCATAAGGCATTAACAGATAACGGGGATGACCGCAATCATGCATGCTGATATCATTGCTGGAGCACCCGGACATCGGATCGGATCTGAGTTATCAAAGCTGCAATACTGAATACGCCATATGGATAGTCGGATACTCTCGCATTCAGCCGGGTCCCGCCCCAGCCAACGCTGGGGACCCACTAACCAGCAATATGCTATTGGAAATTGCTAATAATATCCCGTCTCGAACTCTCGGTCGTGTGTGTGGTTAGGTAGATGCTCGATAAGACGATGCAATATACGAGATCACGGTGTAGTGAGTGAGTGCACACATCTCAGCCAAACGACACTGTGAGAACCCAGGGCGGAGGCAAGACCTTGCTTCGACATGCTTGAATTTTTGAACCCAGGTGCTCCGGATATTTCTTTTAATGATATGGATCAATTAACCCTCACCATTCCTTGCCCAATCGACCAAGGCTTCGATTCTGGCCCGAAAAGCAAATGAGGCTTCCGTTCCGCCAGATCCAATACTGTCTGCGCGAACACGCTATTCGCCCACGCGAACCAGCTCCGAGTGTACTGTCGCTTGTTCTCCACGTTCACACTCTCGTGAATCAACCCCAGGAGACTGGCATTCTTCACCAAGCCCACGGCTCCCATGATCTCCTCATCGTCGTCGCTCGTCATGGCTTGAACGAGCAAACTCATCGGCCATGCGTTCCGAACCCCGATATGGGGACCTCCTATGCCATGGAACTCCTCGCCGATCAAGTAATACGGATTCCCTTGTGCGGAGAGGATCATCTTCCGGGTGTTCCGGTACGTCTCATCATCTCGGCTCACAAAGCCGAGGAGTGGAAGAGCGAGGAGGGAGGGCAAATTCGCATCGTCCATGAGCAAATGCGACCCGTACCCGTCCACTTCGAAGGCGAACACCTTCCCCCACTTCTCGTGTTGCACCGTTCCATGCTCCCAGACGCTGCGCTCGATGCTTTCCCCCTTGCCTCTCACCGTCGATGCGAGCGTGGACTTGCCCGCAGCGGCGAGCAAGTCGGCAGTCCTCTTCAGTTCCACCGCCATCATCGCATTGCCGGGAATGAAGAACCCGAATATCGTGGCATCGTCGCTGGGTCGGAATGCGCTGCGGACCAGTCCGGTGTCTGCACCCAGTGGATTCCCGATCCCGGCCAGATTCAGGGTCTCGGTCCCGGTGTTAGCCATTCTCTGGAACCGATATTCATTTTGTACGTACGCGCCCGTGACAGGGTGGAACGTGCTACGGCTCTGTTCGTCAATTACACGCATCACCGTATTGAGCGCGGTGTACCAGCGCGGAGTAAGGAATGCCGTGCTACCGGTGGTCGCGTGGAATTGGTTCGCGAGCGATAAGAATGCCGCGAGGCTGTCGAGCTCATACTTGCATTCGAAGACGAAGGAAGGCTCATACATGGGATGAACCGTGTCGGCTTGTCCGCTCCCGGTTGGGGGAAGCCGTGACGGCGGCGGGGGCTGGAAGGCATTGCAATACGGCGACTTGATCACGTACTCCGCTTGAGTATTGATGGCGCCAAGGATCAGCGATTCGAGCGCTTTGTCGAGCTTCGCGAGGCGCTGGTACTGTGAGAGCTGATTGGTAGAGTCGCGCAACCATTCCGCGTTGATATCTCCAGTGACCACGAAGCTCTGAGGACCCTCCCACTCATGTTCCTGCCGGGTTGACCGTTCCTTCGGCCTCGGCTGCGCGCCATTGTCATGCCATCGGATCGTCGTGTCTAAGGTGTTGGGAAAGGCGTTCTCGAAGATCCGCGCAAGGTCCTTATCAACCATCTTCTCGACCATTGATCCGATGACCTCGTCCACCGCTGTGGACTGGAAAGTTCGACATCGTGTGGAAGGGCGTTGGAATGGTAGCTGCAAGGGGCCGGTGCTGAATGGCGGGCTGTTTTATGTAAGATACGGCCCATACCCTAAAGATTCCGTGCTCAGCCTTACTGCGGGTTTGCGGAGTATTGTTTGTAGTCTGGACATGCCAGCGTAAAACCTAGATCGAATCCCCCGGAGGATGTTTGATCTTCGAGGCTTTGCGCAGTTGACAGGCAGGTCGACGCGGATGCTAGCAGGAGCAATGAAGCGGATATGGGCCTCATCCTTGGAGTGTGAAAGTGTCCAGGCTATTCTAGGAGGCTATTCTAGTAGCCCACCGAGTGTCACGATACGCTATCATGTCGTTCAGGGCTCATTCGATGTTGAGGCGGCTGAATGGCTCGTTCCCATCAATCCTAATCCATTTGAGCTATGTCAAGCTGGAGACACACCGATCCCGTATATATAACCAGTCCTGAGGAAAAGCAGGGAGGGTTAAGTGGATTGGCAGGAGCAAACACAGCTATCACGCAGTAGTACTGGGTACATGAGCTAAGATGGAGTTGATGGTTGTGAGAGGTGTTCTGTGTGCGAACAGGGTCCTGTTACCAAAGTCGGATGCACGGTGCAACCGTTCTACTTATGGGGATTGTGATCATCAACATCAAACATGTAGAATGGCGGCACGGAGGTACACGTACGGAAGTCCCAAGACATAAGTACGTACTAGAGTAGTCCATAATCATTCGAAGTACAAATACGAACTTCGTTACAGGTCGGATTAGTTGTAGAGTGCAGAGGTATCCTCGTAATTGTACCAGGGAACAATGGGAGAGATGTTATTATTACGGTTACAGTTATCATATATCAGGCAATAAGGCCGTAAGGCCATAAACCAAATTTTATGTCGCGGTTCGAATGATGTCATCACACCGATGTAGCAGCACTGAGGCCTGAGAGTGAGGACCTGCTCTGTACGCTAGCTACATACTTCATACTCATCGTACAGCTTAACTAGTGAACAGTACATAGGGCGGAAGTACCGTAATGTCAGAGTACAATCACATAGTACGTTCGCATTACGCCGTGTCCTTGCTCGTCGTCTGTTCTGTTAAGCTGTTGCCCCGCTCCCCCCCTCACTACTTCCACCCATGATACCTGGCTCCTCGCTCACCGGTCACAAATGTTAGGCCTAGAACGGTTATGTTGCTTCTAAAGCCATGTGCAATTCGAAACCCTGGATTAGAGGTACCCCAAATAAATCATATCATACAGGTATAGAACGATAATAGACTTGATAACCGAATAGAGCGTAACATCGTCAATGCATGAGTGCCACCTTATGGCCCACTGGGGTCGGTTGCCAGACACGATCACAGTCGCCATTTCACATCCCAGACTGCCTGTCCATACTTAAGCCAGTTCATGACTTGGTCTTCTTGAGAATGCCCCATCCCTAGATCCCGACTGCGTTAGCCTTGGTCCTTCCAACCGGACCATCCAAAGCACCACTTGCCTTTTCCTTGAGCTTATCAAAGTACGCCTTATCCCGCTCCGAGCCCTTGACATGGCCATCACGAGATCCCGGCGTCGCGTAGATGCTGCCCTTGCGACGCTGAAACTGCGAAGGAGGGACCTTGGACGTGTCTGCGAAAATGTTCATGGTTCGTCAGCCTGGTGGTCGCACAATGTTCGTCATGCTCCAGCCACTCACCCCACTCCTTGCTCATCCTGCGATCCTTCCCGGGAGACGTCGACCCTTCTTTCATGTCCTCGGAGCCTGCAACATCTGCAAGGTTTTCTTCCTTGAAAGGGTCCTCGTTGCCCTCGCTCTGGCCTGAAATCGGGCCTTGCGACTCGACAGCGGGTGGGGTGCTAGGCCTAGCATCGCTGCCTACGCATTTGCCAATGTTAGAAACTTTTGTTTCGGGATCAATTCATAAGTAAAGAAATCGATTGACATAAACAAAGGCCGCATAATACACAGGAATCCGGACAGGGAGGGGATATCGTTACCTGATGTCATAGTTGTGGACTCGGTCGCTGCAGCCATGATGCTATAACCTTGGCAGTTCCTTTCACAAAAGCTTGAGATTAGAAACAACCAATTCTTGAGGACTCGACGCAAATAGCAGAAGAAATTTCTTAATAACAAGACAATGGGTTTGTTGATATGAGTGATGTGTCCGAGAGGTTAGGGTGGATGATGAGAAGCGGGGAGAGGCTAGATGGGGAAGGGCGTCACTGAAGGGCTGGATCCCAGGTATTTAAACCCCGCGGGAGCAGCAAGGCAAACCCGATCCAGGATTCCAGGCCATACGGTTTCAATGAGCAACCAAGGGCAGAATGGTGAGAAAGGATTGGCTCACGGATTGACTCAACCTCCGCCGCCTCTGCTGCTGTGATGCTGTGACTGGCTCATCAGTTGATCATCTCATCTATAGATTCCTGGATCGTGGCGGAGCGGGAGGGGCACGCCAGTCATGTGCGTTCAAATAGGCCTGAAAAATTACCTGTAACAGAGGAACTCAGTCAGACCAGTAGGTACTGATACTTCCATGGTAGTCAAGGAACTTGAACTCTAGTCCTGTTCATGTCGTCGACGAAGGCGCATCCTTCATCACGATCACTTCGTTTACCGGTATCCGGGGTCTACAGACTACAGACCACAGACTCACAGGATACAACCCATTGTACAGATATATATTCTTGCGTAAGACTCGATATCATTAACATGCTGATGAGTCTGGTTCATGACATGATGAGAAGGATGTGGTTCCTCTAGCGCGAGGAATCGACGACTAGGATCTAGGATTCTAGGTAACCCCAGACGCTAACGCCTAACGTCTCTTAAGTTGCTCCCAACGGTTGGGGTTCTAACTTCTATGGAGACGTAGACGTGTGGACTGCAGAGTGGAGGTCTTTGACTGGAGGGTCCTGTCTTCGATGTGCTATTGAAATTGAACGAAGGGAAAGGTAAATCACTTCACGTTTACTGCCGATCCCCATCCCAATCAAACCACACCAACGAAAGCATGTCGAGTACCTAGTACCCAACAGAATTGACCACTTCCGTATGATCGCAGCTGACCAGTGACGACATACGTTCATCTCCCGCGTACTGTTAGCTACCGGTAATCCGCAAAGTCCAGAACGACAGCACCAAGCTTATCCCGCCCAATACGTGGGACTGAGGGATTTTCGTGAGGCCAAGACGATTGAGGCTGTGCAAGCAATTAAACAAGCCCAGACAATCGCCCTAGCCGCTGCAGAACTCTTGATCTCACCTTGTTTGGACGTCGAAGGACGACCACCCTCCGGACTCCATTTTCTGGAGCATGTGTTCTTGGATGAGGCGGCTTGGATCGGTGGATAACCACCACTCCGTGCTTTCGAGCGAGCCACGAGCACCAAACAAGACGCCACGTCGGAATAATGAATCGCAAGTAGCATTCCAATACAGGATCTATGTAAGCTCCACCCGTCCCATCGGAAAGGAGCCGTGAATTCCAACCGCCAACCGTGTTACGCCCGCTCTATGCAAGATGAATGTGCGCAGTTGCACCGCAGAGGTCAAGAGAAAAGAAAGAATGAGTATGGTGTGAGTACAAGGAGGATCATCCAGCTGAGAACATGGGGGGTGTTGTTATAAGTCTTCATCCAAATCAATCGCATCGGGATTGGCCTCGACCGGCGCATCTGCGGCCGTAGGTTGATTCCCCCCCTCAGCTCCCGTGCTAGCGGCCACGAATCCAACCGGGGCACGAGCTTGTCGTTCAAGAGCAGCCATGGCGTCGGCAGCTTCGCCATCTTCAGCACCACCAAAGGGGGCTTCTCCGGTTTGGTTTTGCGCTTGACTTCGAGCAATGGCTTGGGAGGCAATAAAGCTGACATCGGTACTGCAGCCTGGTTAGGACGATATGAAAGGAATGGAGATATGGAACGTACTTGTATTGGGCTTGGACACTTCTCTTGATGCGAAGCATCTCTTTGAACGTGTCCTCGTTGCCGTGTCGCACTTCGAATGACTCCCACTTCTGCCAAAAGCCGGGGTTAGTTCGGGGGTCGCAGAACTGGGACCCATGTCCATAGATTGCCCGGGCACGATCGATCTCGCCGAGTTTCCGCTCCATGTCGGCGAATTTCAGACACATCTCCTTCGCTTCTGCGTCCGGAAGTGCTTCGATCGCTCGCTCGTAGATGGGTCGGGTCGAAGCAACCCCGAAATTGGACGCCGATTTGGTGATGTAGAAGTTGAACATCTCCATCCGGTCCTCGTCGGACACTGCGCGAGTTGCCCGGTCATAGATCCGCATCGCATGACGCGTCAAACCACGCTCCTCTTCAAGAGCTCCGTACATGAGGTAAAGAACTTTGGCAAACTTGGGCGGACATCCTTCTACGGCCTGTTCGAACAGGTCTCGAAGTCGCTCGATGCTGATTCTTCGGTCGACAGCCTTAGTGAGGTAGAGGTTCCATATCTCGAAAGCCACGGGATAGCTGAACAAATCCAATCCCCGCTCGTAGATTTTGAACGACTCTTCGTAATACTGGTTTTCCTCCAAAAGGTTGGCATAATTCACCACCGTTTGAGGGGTCGCGATCCGTAGTTCGAAGATTCTTTCGTAGATCTTGCGGGTCTCGTCCAGTGTCCCGACGCTCTCCACCAGGTCGACGTAGAAGCTCCATAACTTCCAACTCTTATGCACCCTTTGTTGCGGTGATAATGTTTCGTCGAAATAGTCCACCTTGGACCGTTTGGGGGCTTGCGTCGCTTTCGCCATAATCTCGACCGCCTTGTCGAAATTCTCGTTACGCAGCTCCATTTCCGCCCATTCGCACCACATGTCTGCCAACTCTGCAACGGATTTGAATGGGACTTTGACCGCCTTCTCCATGATGACCCGAGCGTTCAAAATGTCCGCTCCCGCCTCGTAGAATTTGGCATAATTCGCCCACAGGTCGTGGAACTTCCCGACCGCTTTCTTCGGATGTGTGGTAGCAATGGCATCCGTGTAGGTCTGTACCACCTCTTTCTTGTTGTCGCCCCATAGCGCCACCCGTTTCTGCCACTCGTTAACGTTGTTGGGGTTCTGACGGAGAAGAACGTCGTTGACGAGGAACGGTCTTCGATCCATCAATTGCTCGAACCTCATCATGCGAATATCCAGATCGAGATCCGCTTCAGGGTCCACGCGTCCTTTCTCCGATCGTGCTGCCGCCTCCTCCATCTGAATTCCGATGAGGGTTTCCTCCGCCTCGGTGTAGGACTCAAAAACGATCACGAAATCGCGGACCGTCATGACGGTTGTGATCCCCTCTTCGAAGACGTCTCTTGCCCTTTCGTAATCGCCCTTGTTCATCCAGTACTTGGCCAGGCTCACCCAAAGAATTCCTCTTTGGTCGGAGAACTTGGCGATCCCACTCCGCACGATTCGGTCGACATCGATGCCAGTGTCTTCGCCAGCCTCGACTTCGGTTGCATGGTCGATCAGCAACTCGAGCATCTCGGTCCACATTTCGAAGGGGCCTTTGGCTTCCTTGCTCTTGAAGCGGGGATTATTCAAGATATCCATGTATGTCTTCACGGCCTCAGTATACCGTCTGGCATCGACGAGAAGCTCGATGAAATCCTCCGCCTCTTCGGGATGTATTTGCATATACCGCCTCCATATCCGGATGGCCGTCTCGCCTGACGCGGAGTTTGCAAACGGACGGTATAGCGCCCAAACCCGGGCATGTTGCGTAATAGGAAGCGCACGTAAAGCTCGGTCGAAAGTTCTTCGCGTGGTTGTGACGAGAGGCTGCTTCATTAAAAATGACAGGTACATCTCCCAGATTCTCGGCATTTTATTGAGGAGAATCAATGCCCGTTCGAACAAGGTGTTGACCTTGAGGAAATGCGGAGCATACTTGGCTGGATTTCGTCCATCCAGGTGCTTGACCCTTAAACTTAGGTATAATTTCCATAGTTTATAGGAGCGCGGTAACGTTGTGACGGCTCGTTCGAGGACGAAGGATTGGGCAAGTAGGCTTGCGCCTTGCTGGCGCTTGAAATGGACATAGTCCAGCCAGGGCTTGACGCGTCCGGGGTTCCGGATGAGTTCTTGTTCATACAGGATGTCGCCGTCATTAATGAGATAGAGGTCGGGCCGGAGAGCTTTCGGGTGCTTGTGAGGATTCTTGGTCGCCATCTTGGAGGAGTTTGGGGTTGAAGAGTATAGAAGACTTCCAGGCATCGCGCTGGCCACGCGCAGCAACCGGCGCGGTCGACCGGAGACTCTTAACTCGTGGGCTAGGCGAAGGATTCAGGTAATGAGCGTGCTTCGTATCAATGGATGGGCGGAGAATACTGAAGTAATGAAAGGCTGTCCCAGAACGCGTGTGGAGGCAGTTTGATACGAAGTGTGAGAATCAGGCAGTAAGGCACAAAGTGAGGCAGGGAACCGACTGGAGGACTTCTCTACTCCACTCCTCCACTTATGGTTGATGCCTTGTGACCTTAACTCACTGCAGGGAAGGAGCTTGGGCCACCCCGACTGATTGCGGCGGTACCACCACCGCCGATGCCTTGATCGATGCCAACTGCAGGTGAAGTTTGAAGGGGCCAGGACGGACAAGGTCTCTCGTGAACTGCCATCAACCGCATTTTTGTTTTGTTTTGTGTTCTGCTATTACTCAGAGTCGTACCGGAGACCAAGGTTATAGAGTCCACGGCTCGGAGGACTGGACTTCATCACACCTTCATAAAGCCGACATTCGTATAGAGCAACGATGTCTGGCAGCGGGGTATGGAATCATATCATGGCTTTGGATGAAGTCAAGATACTAACAAAGGCCCAAAGGCTCGAGAAACGGTGTTCCCCACCCGTCAATCCCTAGGGTTGATGAAAAGCAAACTAAAGGGTGCTCAACAAGGCCACGACTTGCTGAAGCGGAAGAGTGAGGCCCTCACCAAGTATGTTTCCCGCTACCTTGCAATTATACCATTGTCTCGAGATCCTGAATACTAACAGTCCTTAGGCGGTTTCGAGGTAGGATACCTCCATGATCAATCCGTGTTGCAGCCAATTAAAGCGCCCCATCAGAGATCACACGCCGCATCGATGAAGCGAAACGGAAAATGGGTCGAGTGATGCAAATCGCCGCCTTCTCCTTGGCCGAAGTCACCTACGCCGTCGGTGGTGATATCGGCTACCAAATCCAAGAATCGGCCAAATCCGCTCGGTTCAGAGTACGGACGAAGCAGGAGAATGTTTCGGGGGTTCTGCTTCCAGCATTCGAAAGCTATACCACCGAAGGGAACAACGATTTCCAACTCACAGGTCTCGGTAAAGGCGGTCAACAGGTCCAACGATGCCGCGAGACGTACGCGCGGGCAGTGGAGACGCTCGTCGAGCTCGCCAGTCTCCAAACAGCGTTCGTCATTTTGGACGAGGTCATCAAGGTGGTCAATCGGAGAGTCAACGCAATGTATGAGCCTGCCCATGCCGGCCGCAACGTAAAGCTCACATATGCACAGCGAACATGTCATCATCCCGAGAACTGAGAACACCATCAAATACATCAACTCCGAGCTGGATGAACTCGACCGAGAGGAGTTTTATCGCCTGAAGAAGGTGTCGGGGAAGAAAGGGCGCGATGCGGCAGCTGCGGAGAAGGAAAGGGAAGCAAACTCCAAAAAGATCGCGGAGAGTGAAGAGGGAACGACGGATTTGCTCGGTGATCAAGAGAACGAAGATGTCATATTCTAACCTGCTTTTCGTTCGGTTCCCTGGCAATGGATGCTTAAATCCACCATGTTCGGCGTTTGAAGGAGTCCGTTTTTGCCTTGAAGGACGCCTGTACGTAGTGTTGTATTGGACTGCCACCCATGCAAATACCGGAATGAGATAATTCCACCAACGCCTTGCTCAACCTTTTGCCATGCGATGAACACCGTTCATTGTCTCTGGAACGTCACTTTGATGGGACGGTCCCCCTCTCCAAGCACCATGCCCGCTGTTCTTTCCTTTGCACTAATTGCTCCCGTCTCTGCCTCATATTCCACGAACGCTATTCCGCTCCGTCCAGGCACTAGGCGAACCTCTTTGAATCCCTCGAAGCGACTGAAAATGGCAGTCAAAGCATCGATATCGTAGCCATCGGGGATATTCTGCACAAACAGGATCTTGTTCGGTGGGAGGTACTCGTCGGGGATGACCGCTCCAGCTCCCGCGGTGGATTTGAGACCAGCGCCTTTGGATGGTTTCGCAGGTCGTGCTGGTGTCGGTTCGGGGGCGACGCCGGCAGGTCGTTTCAGTTTCTTCTGGCTCTCCTGCGCTTCAAGAGCCTGCTTCCGCTCTAGAGAGATCGATCAGCACGTGAATATCAGATGGAGTTCCGCAATGCGTTTCGTACCTTTTTCTGCCAAACGCGCCCGCTTGTGCGCCTCGAACGTAGATTCATCTCCGGACCGTAATATGGTGGCGTCGCTTTTGGTTCGCGCATAGTCCAAAGCCATGGGTTTTTCGAACAGCTCGAACCCTTGCACTTCCTCGATCGCCTTCGTTGCGGATTCCGTGCTATCAAAGACTACGAAGGCTTGGCCTTTCGCTTTGAGATTCCGCTTCGCGACAATCTCGACGACATTTCCGTACTCGCTGAAGATTTCGCTGAGGGCTTCCTTGAGGTCGTCGACCTTGACTCTCTCTTCGAGGTTGCGGACCTAGTCATTATAAGTATCTAGAATTATCGGTAACCCCATGCTTTGCAACACCTACATAGACTCTAGCAGTTGGTCAGTATGGAATCTCTCGAACGGTGACAATGCTTACGTCTCGTTTGGTGCTGACACCGCTGCCATGCTTGCAATTTCAAGGCCGTCTTTCGGTCACCTATATTGTGTCGAGCTTGGAGTCTTCAAACGGGGAAGGCGAAACGTATTGATAGTGGGAATGCCAATGGGGTGACAGGAAGTATTCCACATCTGCTGCTCCAGGTCTGCTATTGCATCGCGAAGTGGCTGGGGTTGCTCCGTATCAATATCAAGACCTGACGCCACAGCACATTCCCCGCCCACCACGCTGTGATCACAACCACATTCACATATTATTAATAACAGTACTAGTAGATAATAATGGTGAATTTAATATGCATCTCGGAATTCGTGTTCATATCTGTACGCTCGTTGGGCTATATAAGAGGTCAGGAGTCATCACTATCCTTTGCGGGCTTGTAATTCGTCCACATTCTCAGCTACTATAGAATCTTCAGACCTAGGATGGCATATCTACGACCGGATATCGTCACGGTGTGACACTGCCTACAAATCCCGATGCCAATAACGCTGGCGGTGCTTCTGGAGTCTTTGACCAAAGTCTGCAGTTTCATTTTTGCATCAACTGTTCCGAGCCATCGCCACCAGATAAAACGCCTTGGTGACGCCCCACTACCACTTTAGTCTAGACAGCGGGTTATAAATTCCTTATTTCATCGCAAACCGTCTTTGTTTCTCATTCGGCCCGCTCATTGAGAGCCCAAGTCATCTTCAATCCTGGATCGCCATGACGTCTAATGGCCTTGATCCCGATACACAACTCGATGCGCCGAGTCCCGACATGGCGCGTCGACCACGAGGTCTATCTTGGAGGTCCAGCACCCAATTCATCGTGTTTACCATCGGGGCTGGGATGTTCTCCGATCTCTTTCTTTACTCCTTGATCGTCCCTGTAGTTCCGTTTCTGCTCGAGGATCGCATCAAAGTCCCTCAGTCCGAAGTTCAACAGCGTGTCTCCGAACTATTGGCGGTGTGTGCTGGGGCGCAGTTCATTTTCTCGCCCTTGGTGGGAATCTTTGCGGACAGAATGCGATCCCGACAGGTTCCTTTTCTTTTCGGCATCCTAGCCTTGGCAGGATCTACCGTTCTGTTTGCAGTTGCGCGGTCAATGCTTCTACTCATGGCGGCCAGAATACTGCAAGGCTTGAGTGGTGCCATTGTATGGTCTATTGGTCTTGCTATGCTCGTCGAGACCGTTGGCCCATCGAAACTTGGGACAGCAATTGGTTGGGTAAGTTTGGCCAATGTCGAATCGAGGGTCATTGCTAACAGTGATTCGGCGCTAGATATTCAGCATTATTACCGCAGGGCCTCTCATTGCTCCGCCACTCGGTGGAATGTTATATAGAGCGGTCGGCTATGACGGAGTCTTTGGAGTCGGAGTCGCGGTCTTGGCGATCGATTTCCTGTTGCGACTGCTAGTCATAGAGCGCAAAGTAGCGATGCAATACGGAATCGTAGATGACGAAGAAAACGAAAGAGTCTGCGAAAGTCTGGACGACACAGATGAGACGCCACTGCTTGAGCGCCAGGTTGAAATCGAGGAGCAAGAGTTCCGGATAGCCCCGATATCGTCGCGAATCGTATCCACGGTACCAATATTGGCTTGCATGAAGAATTCTAGTCTCCTGACTGCCTTCTTCCTTGCCGCTGTCCAAGCTCTCTTTTTAGGCGCTTTCGACGCGACAGTTCCGACCACGGCAGAAAGATATTTTGGCTTTGATTCTCTCAAATCCGGTTTATTGTTCCTTCCTCTGAGCGCCATGGACCTTCTGGTAGGTCCATTTGCTGGAAGACTCGTGGACCGGAAAGGGTCAAAAGTTGTTGCAGTTGTTGGATACAGTGTGCTTGTCCCCGGTCATATCCTCCTGCGTCTAGTGCAACCACAAGCAGATGGTACCGATCAGGTTGCGTTATATTTCTGTCTCTTGGCCTGCATTGGTATCGGCATGGGCATCATCAATGCGCCTGCTGTGACAGAAGCCAGTTCAGTGGTGGAGAAATACTTCAAATTCAACCCAACGGTATTTGGTGGCAAGAGTCCCTATGCTCAGCTTTATAGCATCAACTCCATGCTCTTTAGTCTTGGACTTACGGTTGGCCCTGTCTTGGCAGGATGTCTTACAAAAGCGATCAACTATGGGAACATGAATGCCATTCTGGCGGGTGTAAGTGCTCTCGCAGCGGTTCTCTCATATCGTTATTTGAGAGGTGGGGTGCCGAAACGGAACCATTGTAAGTGACATAGAACGACCAGCATGATCTCTCATCATGCGTACAAGACAAAATAGAAATACTTTGGCTGTCCTCAGCCACGCTGACCGTACTTTCATTCCGGTGTGTTCACATTATATCGTCTTTTGGCAACTGTTACGCGGTGTGCACCTGATAAATACGCCGGCATGCAAGTTGGAAGGACCCCAGACATGCTGCTGGGAGTCATCAGGCTCATAACGGCGTATCAACGCTGCAATCATTTTTGCGCTCATAACATCGTACCGCCGTGCCCGCTTGTTGGCTTTTTCTTATCAAAGATGTAGCCCCAGGATACAGGGTGTGCTGCCGAACCTGCGGGCATGGGGAACGGCGGTCTTCGGAGGTTGTGGGTGAAGAAAACTGGGTGTCTGGTTGCGCTGTCAAAGACTGGAGTGGTGATGGGCATGGTCGGTGGTTTTAATGAGGGCCGAAGTCCCGCATGATTTGGAAATGAGGCCGTATGAGGCACAGTCACCAGGTGACCGGAAGGATATGGAGGCATGGCTTCGATCTGGCTCGAAGGTTGCTTTGTTCCAAGGGCGCTAGAGAACATGTTTGTCCGGCTGCTTGGATTTTGGTGTTGGGAGCCTTGCTGAGGCAAATAATGCTCGTGTGATTGACGAATCTGTTGATAGACTGGAGGTGGAACCGGTTTATCGGACGGAACCTACATCGGGTATTAGATCATGATCAAATGGGGCGATAGCAAGCGTCCGTACCTTCGGTCGACGAGGTTGTAATGATGGAAGCATTATGACGGGTAGCTATGCAGGGTACTTCTGTCGTTATAGTCGCTAAGAACTATGAGAACGATTGCAAGAAATGGCGGACTTCATCAGCATTCTGCCCCTTCGCGAGTTGAACCGAGGTGAAGGGGAGTTGCAGGTGCGCACTGCCGTAGACGTCATTCTCATTGTATGGAGGTAGACGTTTCGGGCGGGCCGTAGTAACCATTCAAGCAGCTCTAATTATCCCAGTTGAGCAACCTCAAAATTCAGATAATAAATCAGTTTCAGAGGAATATCCGTAGGGTACAGTGCCTTCAGTACTGGCATCAGATAACTTTCGGATTCATTTCACATCCAAACCACGGTCAAATCTCCAATGCCTGGCCCTTGGATAAGTCCTGCAACGGTTGATAACATCCGCCCTGAAATATTGCGAATACTGGTAACGTATGGCACGAGTCTGTTGAAGAGCCCCGTTTCCCCAGCTCTCTCCAGTTCTCCTCAACGGGAATAACGCGTATTGGGATCCACATGGCTTCTCGGCATATATGTCTCCACAGAATCTCCTTTTAGGTACCGTCGATACCTCAGAATGCGGGGTTATAATGTGCGGACTGCGGAGGTGGTGAATAATCCAGAAGATCCCAATCAGTGTGGTCTCGGTTTTAAAGAGTCATGGAAGATAATTAGGATCTCATGGTATGCTTCGTAGATTTTGCGACGGCAATTTTCGGCAACCTCATCACATACAAAGGAAGCGTTGTGGGAGTTGTCGTTGGATAGCGCTCAACAGTGACCATTTTTGCATCCCTAGAATCAATATCGCTTCTGTATATTTAATGCCCTTCTTGTACCAGAGATGGCGAATCCCGAAAGCAAGCATTATATCATTCCACGACCAAGGAATTGGTACAACTTCATCGTTGCGCTCTTCGTAGCTTTCGGGAGTCTCAGCTATGGATACGCCAGTTCGATCAGCGCCGCAACGATAGGTTAGTTGTAAATCAAAAGACACGGATTAGACAGGACTAAAAGGGACAAGGACAACCTTCGTGGTATGACTATATGGGGCTAGAGCAAGACAGCTCATATACCAACTCGGTAAGTACCTGACCGTGAAGAAGAATCATACTGAACAGTGATTCTCATCTAGATCATCGGCGTTATTAATTGCATATACGCCGTCGGAGGTATGAAGAAGCGATAGCTGTACCTGATGAGCCGTCCTAAAATCGCCTAGGTGTCTTGGGATGCATCTACAATATGTGGGCTGCAGAATATTTCGGACGCAAGATCTCGATCCAAATGGCCTGTGTCATGGCGATCTTCGGCGCTGCTTTGATGACGGGATCGCAAAACGTTCCCATGTTTGTCGTGAGCCGTGTCATCATGGGCTTTGCCATCGGAATCCTGGTTACGCTTGTTCCACTGTATCAGTCTGAAGTGTCTCCAGCCGAGTCCCGTGGCCTCATGGTTGGCCTTCATGGGGTGCTCATTGGATTCTCGTACGCCCTGACGGGGCTTGTAAGCTACGCTTGCAGCTTTGCCCCCTACGGAGAGTTTCAATGGCGATTCCCACTAGCGGTTCAGATGATCTGGCCTCTGATCCTCTTCATCGGGATGTTCTTTCTGCCGTACTCTCCTCGTTGGCTACTCAGCCAAGGCCGCGAAGAGGAGGCCTGGACTATCACCAAACGACTGCATGCAAGCAGACACGATCCAGAGGATTCGTACGCGCTGGCAGAATTCCGGCAAATGCGTGAGCAAATCGCGTTCGAGAAGACACAAAGCGCTGCCGGGCCATGGGCTCAGGCCAAATATGCTTGGAGTCGACCAAGCTTCCGGAAGCGGCTTGGCCTTGGTATCCTGGTTCAGGCAGGTAACCAAGCCACTGGCGCCCTCGTGATCAACAATTATCAGACGGTGTTTTATAACCGCTTAGGGATTAGCGGAAGATTACCATTGCTTCTGGTGGGCTGCTTCAATTTGATTACGGTACCAGGAAATCTGATAAACGGACTGCTTGTTGATCATGTGGGACGAAGGAAGTTTGTCTGTAGGTGACCACTTACGGCTGACAAAGACATCCACCACATTAAGCAGACATAGCTAACTTTTGAAGTGACTGGGATTGTGGCACTCACCATTATCGTCTCTGTTGAAGCGGCCTTGACGGCCCGGTTTGCAGACACCGGATCGGACAACAAAGTCGGGCTTGGATTTGGAGTAGCCTTCATTTTCATGTTCCCCGTATTCTAGTAAGTCTATGCCTGTCATTGTAGTAGAGGAGAATACTAACCCCTCATAAGCTCCGTCTGCCTCGATGCCACCATGGTACGTAAAACCTTCTGGATGTAACATTTCATGGACTGAGACCCTTGATAGTATTTGATTCCGGCGGAAATATTCCCCATGATTATTCGATCGTTCGGCATATCCTTTAGCATCATGGGCCAATGGATCGCGACTGCTGTACTCCTCGGAGCCGCACCCACGGCATTCGAGAACATTAAATTCGGATTTTGGATCGTTTTGATTGCTGGAAGTGTCGTGTATGGGGTTCTAGTGTACTTTTTCTTGCCCGAGGTAAGTCCATGCTCCCACTTCGGTTCTGAGAAGTCGCTTGATGGGATAAGTACTGAACCTTGGGACAGACGAAAGGAATGACATTGGAGGACATCAGTATTCTCTTCGGTGACCCTGTCGAAGTAACATTCGCGAAAGCAATGGAGAAGTCAGAGAACACAACAGAAGGATATTCGCATGCCGAGGAAGGAGATTCCAAGGACAAACATCAAGCTTTAGGGGAAATATTCTAGGCACCGGGCTAAGAACATCCATATCCAAGAAAGACACCGGAGGATTAATAGAAAGGATAAACGTGTCGTGATTGAATAACAGATCAGGAGCAGCAGGAAAACCACAACCCGGACGTCTAAATTCATGTTTCGATTATCAAGCAACTTCAAACGTCACTTCTCTTCATTAATAGATAACCTCATCCATGGCAATGGCTCAAGTTGCAAGATGTCAAAGACCTGAAATACAAAGAGGTTGAAGAGCTGAAGAGTTGTTTTGAAGAGTTGAAGCATGAAAGAGTTGGAGAGTGGAGGAACTGAGGGGTGGATGTGGATCAGGGGGCAGGAATCATAGCTTTCGCAAGGAATGTGAGCACATGATTAAATGCAGGGTTCTGGTAATGGCTCTAGCTGCCACGTGAAAAAACCCTGTCCAGCCCTGCCACGTACCTATTTCAGTGCCACACCACACAGCCACACCCGTTCTGTCGGCGCCGGGCTGCGGGTCCGCCAGGCTAAGATTTTCACACACTTTGTTCGTTGATGCTTTGGCAGCTGGTGGTTACCTATCGCGATACACCTAGTATTCAGGACTGCGCGGGTGTCTCTGACAGATACCCATTCCTGCGATTGGAAGCCAGAAGCAGTTTTCACAGGTGGCTCGACAGGAGACTGGCCCTGCTGAACCTCTTCGGCCGGAGCCTGGTCGTCCACTCCCAATTGGATATTTCAACGACCACCACCAGGCACCAGCAGAACTACCCCATTCCCTTTTTTCCTCTTCCTTTCGGTCGTTGCGGTTCTTCCCTTGCGCTTGTTGAGCAATGCAGATCAGCCGGTTAAGACGAAAATGAGGTTTCGGCAGCAAAGCACTGGCATCGAACAGCACAGCAGTCAATGAGTTGCAACAAAAAGAAAAATCCTTGGGCAGTGCCACATACGTTTGTCGACTACATCACAATCGCGAAACGAAATCTTTGTTGTCGGTCACCACTCATGACTCAGGAGCCAGAGCGTGGAAATGATCATATCATCATGGGATCAACGCCTCCACGGAGCTTCCTGCGGACTCTTCCCTTTCCAGCCTAGCCAGGGGCAGGAGTGGCAAATTCGACGTCACCCGGCCGTTGAACCGGAGTTTAGTCCTGAGTACGGGTATTCCGCACTGAAACAGAGTTTCATGAGAACATGACTTACATAGTACTCCAGGTCTCCATCGTGTCCTTGATTTACTCCAGTGGTTCTCAAGGCTTAGTTCGTTGCGTTCTTTTGGAAAGTAGCTTCAACATCGGATGGAGGAGATGAGGAATAAGAAGAGGAAGGAATTAAAACTGACGTACCGATGTAGAATTGGGTTTTTCGAACCTTGTATTCTCAATATTGAGGTCGATTGTAGCCGGTTGAACAGCAATCGTTTGGCTGCAAAGCATATTGAAAGACTCTTACTACGGACAGGCCAATCCGTTTAAATTGTGATCGAGGGATCGTTTATTCACCTCTTAGAAATCTCTTCCTTATTTCAGTGTGCGATGCTGCGGTTTCGTTCTTCGCCGTGGACTAGGGATCGACGACAGTGTTCATAATCGCGGTGCGACTATTTCCTAGATCTGCCTGTCCTAAGTCCTGACCCTTGATACCTGGGAGCAAGATTGGTAATTGCCGATAGATAAATGGTATGCGATGCGCAAATGAGGGGAGCGGGAGAAGGTCCACGGAAGTCGGAATCTATCAAAGCGCCACCTGCATGACCACCCTAGATAGAAAAGGGGATAGAGTATAGGGTAAGTGGGTATCACAGGATTCCGTAATACTCCGTTATTGAGTCTTTCAGTAATAACTACTTACCGTGTGGCGTGTGCGGTGAAAAACATATTGGATGTTTCGGCCCGGGTCATCATGAAATTTCGCGATGAGATTGCTGTGTCCGTGTCTCCCTGATAGGCTGTCCCCCTGTGACCCCGTCGAGCTGTTCGAGGCTCTGCGGCCTATATTCTAGCCGGTGTTCGTACTTTCCAGGTTTCAACCATCGCCGATTCCCGTGTTACGGGTTGACATTGCGCGAAATTCAACAGACAGATTGACGTTGTGCCCCTAATTTCCCTTTCTCATGTACATGTAGCTGTTTTCTCCCCTGAGCTTACACGGTACGGTTGAACTGCCGACTGAAACCGATCATCAGGAGGACAAATTACTGAACCAGTCCCTCGACAGCAAGAGAAGAAGTTTGAGATTTTCATGGCTATCCGCTACACAGACACGGCAACCAGGCGTGTGATCAGCAATGGTGAGACAAGGGATCGCCGAAACATGGCGTCATGTCAGGTCCCGATAGCTGGTGTTGTTTGTTGGTGCATCTACTATAAGGATTTATTCTGAGAATCTCAATTCTTAATAGAAATACCACTAACTAGACCAAAAGAGATCATACTTGGGTGTAATCGGCATTCTTTTGGTTCTCTGACAAATGACAAATCTTAAGTCTCAATCCCCCTTAACTCATTCGACTACCCGCCCTTCTGGAGCCGCGTTTGACCATGACCATATTTGGCCATGGTATCCTCCGTAATTAGGTATCTCCTTGGTTATAGCAACTGGCCAAACGCGGCGTTGATACTTCTATTAGACTTGGACAGGAGGAATAATGCAAACTCTTTCATGTCGGATCAGTGATTTTCCTTTGGAGTTTGGACTGATGGAATGATGGCTGAAATTGCTGCTCAGCTTCAATTCCCCTTGATTCCCGTCGCCGTCAAAACCTCCAGTATCGGCCAATCCGGAGCGCCACATCGGCGGAACGGCGCTCGGTTAAGGAAATTCGGGCACCAGGGTAGGAGGCGTTCGGCTACGTACCCTGGGTGGTCGTTTACAGTGTAAGGCACGCTAGCAAAACGCGATATTACACTTTTCTTCGCACAATTCAGTCAGGTGGACAGGCCGGGGATGAATCATGAAAGAAGCCATTTGCGAATCCCCATCGCGTATTCCGGACACCCGTACACATCTACAAGCCGGATGAACACGGGTAGGGATGTTTTTTTCTTATTCTTGAACTATTTTGTACTACGTAAAGCTGACAGACCCTCTCCTACCAGCCAAGGCAGCACGATTTCCCCTGAAGCAGGGATGTAACACAGCCTCCCCTGCTGCACACCTGATGAATACCTTGATTTGTTTCCCGCTTCCGGTCTATTCTTCATAGTATCCTTCTTGACTGTTGACGATGGAGAATGTCAAATGTAACACGGGTGTCAACGCTTCTATTGACGTCGGGTATCGTACTCAAACGAACAAGAAATTTCATCGGTGCTATGCTTCTTGTCTACTCTTTCTGTGCCCATCCCAGTTGGAATCGGATCGACCGGAGTGACGATGGCTATGAAGCGATCGACCATCGATGATGAAATCGATGCGCACAACCCAGTCAGTCTCGGAGAGGTTCACCGCCATCTTGACGGAAGCTGCCCGTCCTGGAGAACGGATAATTTCTTGCAACAGGGAGTATTACTGTTCTGTATTCCGTACTATGTACACTTGGACATGCCGGCCACACTGCCTTTCTGTTCCGCCAGTGTTCCGTACAGTCCTCTATATCACGATTAACCACTGTTCGACGGGGCGCAACTATGATCCCCAGTTTGTGTGCAAGGTTGATATCGACAGATATTACTATGTATTTTCATGCATTGGTGATATTGGTGGCATGGGCGCCCACAAGCCGAGCCAAGAGCAACATATTACCCCAAACCCCTCCAAATGCCAGCCCCGCATAAAGGGGGTTTCGCTGGAACCCACGCTGACCAACTAACGACGGTGGCTTACGGCACGCATCAGCTTCGAATCTTCCATGCATTTTGCATGGCGCTTCCCTCCCATGCAGTTCCCAAGGAAATTGCTAGCAGGGGGATCCGGTGCTCAAGTGCCCATGAAAAACGACGGCTGAATCCACTCATCCACGAGGTGGTGAAATGACACTAAGACCTCCTTCTAAGGACTAAGAGTGACACTGCCTGCCAAGTGTCAAAGTACACAATTCGACTGCGTGGGAAGTGGAGCCTTTGGTAAACATGTTGCATGCAAATCTGCAACATCCGTCGCGGTGTGGCCTGTTCATCCTCCTGAGTCCTGAATCATCACCGAAAGTCCCGATCCCGACTCTGGTCATTACCGGTATTTTGCTTGGATCTTGGGGCCTTGGATAGGTAGGTTTAATGTCGTTGGATCGACCTGATCCTGTCGCTCCTTGTCACTCATTGTCGTAAACTCGTAATGGAGCCTTGTCACGGCCATAAATAATCCCATCACCCTCCCGTTCTTTCATCCATGTTCAACCTCACTTCGTTTCATTTACATCGCCAAGTCTAGTCGTCGGTCTCCGGCTATAGCTTTAATTGCCCTACAGTTATTTAATAGCGCTCTGCATTATTGCATATATATACTGCCACTCCTCAATCTTATCTCCTGGTCATCAGGTGTCACCATTAAACCACAGTCCGATCCGAGTCTTCGCCTTTTCCTCACCACCATCCCCCACCTCCCATAGAGTAGAATATTTCTACTCCCACGACTCATCACAATGCCTTCTGTCTCACATCTCCCTCCATCCCCGGGTCCGCCACCTAATCGACCCCTTCCTCCGGTCCCAGCCAAATAGACCGAGAGGATTCAGGCAGACACTCCATGTCTCTTCCCTGAAGTCGAGACATTCAGATACCCACATGGCCCGACAGCACTCCATACATCTCTGACATCACGACCTTCTCGGGTATTGCGAATCCCCTTGAGTTCGCCGTGAGGTTAGAATCTTGGCTGTCGCAACCTATGGGACCTGGATCGTATCGGCCCCTCCTTCACACATCCGTCACGACGATCCATCCCACGTCTTCTCCATCTTCGTTTTCGCACCGAATCTTTGATTTATCGACGATGAAGCCACGAAGCAGCGCGATTAGATCGACGAATCCTGTTGGGTTGGGTGATAGGTCGCAATTCTACGGACGGCAGCCTGTTGTCGATTTGGTTGGGCCAGTGAAAGGTCCTCGTGCTCTACGATTCCACCTATCAACATTTCCCTCGCCCTGTTCATCTACGGCGGTTCACGTACTGGAGCCTTAATCGGTTCCTGCCATCAACATGCTCACCTACATATCCTACCTACCTCATTCATTTCGAGGCATCGGCATTCACGGCTGAAAAGTGTATGCCGCTTGTTGCTTATTTATCTTGCCTTGGTTTTTTTGCAGTGGACAAGGAGCGGAGTGGATCGGTTCTGATTGTAGCATGGGGAATAGATCAGGCTTTTTTCCTTTGGATTTTTGATACCACTACCCATGGAAAGGGTTGATTTCGGTTGGATGGGATCTGGTTTCGCTGGTACGAAACAAATGGAAATATACTGGTAATTATGGGTTTTTTTGGTGGAAGGGCTTTTGTCGTTCAGAAGGGAACTTTGCTCTCCTTGACATCCTGTCTAGGGAGACGTTGAAGTGAATGTAATACTCTTATAACTCTCATGGTCTCGTATTCACTGTTTGATGACTGGCCCAACATGCTCGATCCTCTGTAAGCAGTTGCATTACGTATGTAACCAAATAGTCTACCTGATCAGTGAAGGCGATCCACCTTATCGCATTATATTTGACAAACGCCAATTTTCCATAGTACGGTTGGCTCCCTGGCAGTATCACTGCACGTATGCTTCCGGTATGCTTTCGGTACTTGCAAGTTCGATAGCAATATACCCACATCTCGACTCTCAACCAGCTTCAACGAACCATGTTTCCTAGCGAATCGGGCCATACTGTCATATGGATATCACAGCAGTAGTGAGTAATCAGAACCGAACAGCACCCATGGAGCACCCATGGAACACCCATGGAGGCGTTAGCTCAGGCGAAGGAAGCCGAGCTCACAGGCTACTGTTACAGGGTACGATCAACGCCTCCATCATGCCGCTATTTATTCCGAGGCAGTATTTGGTGTCCAACTATCCACGGCAGCTGGCCCGAGGACGACCATGTTAACTAAGTAGTTAGCTATCCGCGACATCCGCCGGGCGGTGGTGATGCTCAGAATGGAAGCACACAATTTCCTCACCATCGTCTCGGATCAACCCGAGACGTTTCGCACAGTTACTCAATAGTCCTGTGTAAATAATATAAGATATTTGTATCGGAGAAATGCAAACATCCTATACCCTGACACCTCGCACCGACCGCCATGACGCCCTCGCGGAGACGAATGGCCTTGGAATCCTAGGAGATATGGATTGATGTCGAATTCATGATGTTTGATAGGATCGAACATCAACAATCACTCGAGAGGATTGTTCACGATAATGGAGATTGCTGGTTTCAATTAGAACTTAGAAGCGACGCCTAATCCGAACGGATATGCTGCTCGGTCGCTCCGTTGCCAGGACTAGACTTGTGACAGCCAACAGAAGCCCGCAGTTCCGCACCCTTCCCTCTCCATTGGATCGTAACTCCTAAGGCGATCACTTACCTGACAGATGTAGCAACTAGCAAGTGTATGCAGTATGCACCATGCAGGTGTCGGAAATCGGAATCAGTTGACCGGTAGCCGCTCGACCGCTCGGGCGCTCACACTCCTGGTAAGGGTCATCCCACGTCGCTTGGATGATTGAGAGTTGTCCTCTGTACCCCCACACGAAGCCGAGGTTGATTTGAGTGCCACGGACAAGGTCATGCCTTCGCCTTCTTGCCGTTTTCTCTCAAGCGTTATTCAAGAAAAAGGCTATTAGCTGCCCAATCCAGGACGAGAATATGCCATACCGAAGTGCGGGCTCCGTGTCACTTAACGAACATTCTTCATGTAACCAAGGAAAATGATGGACTTGGTGTACGGATCGCTCTTCTCCTTTTACTCGATATCTGCCATTGATATGAGAGCACATGATTGCAATATGCATTTCCCCTTTCAATGGCCGACCACTGGCTTGGGAATATAAATGGCAAAGCTCGCCTAGAAACCTATATGGTAGCAGACCAACTGCAGGGCACCAAACAGAGCCTCTGGAATCTGGATAAACTGAATTCCCTAGTCCTTGCAAGAGCCTGGGTGTCTGCCATGCTCTTACTGTCCAGAAATCTCCCGAAGACACCACAAAAGCCGCCGCACACTTGTCTTAATTCTGTGAAGGCAACGAGTGTGGTTTGCCGGAGATAGCTTCCAAATGGTTGGTCGACGCAAGGCACCGGGTAATATACGCGATGAAGAAGAGGATTATTTGCATCTGATCCCCGACACTACACAGCATTTAGGATGGATTCATGTTCGAGATGAATTTCTAACAGTCAGGTTTCAGGTGATGCCATGATGAAGAGGAAATGGGTCTGAGGCATCCGATATGGACATATGGATTATGGACTCTGTCAGTATGCCAGTATGCCACTATGGACTATGGTAGTAGCAGCTGAGTCAGCTACGGACGCCACACATGGTGTTTATACTTCAGGCTTCCAGGCTACAACAAACGTGTGTGGCTGTGCTGAGACTCCTGAGAGGGCCCAGCTTCCGCATGGACCAGCCGCCACATGCCGCTTCCTGGCTCCATCTCTTTCTGATCGGTTTCTCACCTCTCCTTTCTCACCTGCAATTCTCCTTTCTCATCTCTATCGACACTCCGACCTTCTAACCATTGGTCCGGAACCGAACACAATCACTCAATCTCATGTAGCTCTTCATGAAACCCCAGCTTCTCACAGTCTAATTTTCCTAACCGTACTGAATCCCTACCCCGCTGCTAAAACCAACCTCCACCGCCTACGTATTGACATTTCCCTCCCTGGGGATATCAACCGTTCCGATGCCCAAACTAAGCACCATCATCTATTACCTTTTCCATATCCCGGAATTGAGAGCAATAATTCAATGGTACGTTGACTGGAAAGAATCGCGCCGAAAGCCTCGTCTCTAACCTAGTTCCACTCGCAGGAAAATATGGCACGATGCACCTCATGAGCGCGATCCTGACAAGGAATCGGAATCACTTCGCCAATGCTTCTACTACCTCGACAAGACGAGCCGCAGTTTCGCAGCTGTCATCAAAGAGCTCAATCCCGAGCTGCTCTCCCCGATTTGTCTCTTCTACTTGATCTTGCGTGGGCTGGACACGATTGAGGATGATATGACCATTGCGCTCTCGGAGAAAGAGCCCTTGTTACGCGACTTCGATAGCATTCTAGAGAAGGATGGTTGGTCGTATGACGGAAACCATGCGAAGGAGAAGGATAGAGAACTACTGGTTAACTTCCACGTGGTCATCACTGAGTTCAAGAACATCAAACCCACATACCGATCCATCATCAAGGACATCACCAAAAAGATGGGCAATGGTATGGCCGACTATGCCAACAACGCCGAACACAACATCAATGGGGTGAATACGGTCAAAGAATACGAGCTCTACTGCCATTACGTCGCCGGCTTGGTTGGTGAAGGGCTGACGAGGCTCTTCGTGGAAAGCAAACTCGCCAATCCCGCCCTGTTAGAGCGAGCACCATTGCAAGAGTCGATGGGCCAGTTTCTGCAGCAGACCAACATTATCCGAGACATCCGGGAGGACTGGGATGATAAACGCCGCTTTTGGCCGAAGGAGATCTGGTCCAAGCACGTTGCCAACTTCGAGGACCTTTTCAAACCCGAGCATCAGGTGGCGGCTTTGAATTGTAGCTCGGAGATGATTCTCCTTGCACTGGAGCGGGCGGACGAATGCCTTTTGTACCTTGCCGGTCTTCGTGAACAGAGCGTGTTTAACTTCGCTGCCATCCCCCAGGCAATGGCCATTGCCACGCTGGAACTTTGCTTCCGGAACCCCGACATGTTCAAGCGTAACATCAAGATCACCAAGGGACAGGCATGCCAATTGATGATGGAATCGACCCAGAACCTCCAAATCCTCTATGGGGCATTTCGGGCGCATGTCAGGAAAATTCACACGAGGAATGATCCGAAAGATCCCAACTTCTTGAAGATCAGTGTTGCTTGCGGCAAGGTACGTCAGAATGCCGCGATAATTGACTGGAAGGCTAACCATCGTTCAGATTGAGCAATTCATCGAGAACGTTTTCCCGTCACAAGTCCCCCAAGCCAAGGTTGGCGCTCTGGGAGGCAAGACGATTACTGCCGAGGACGCAGCCAAGGCGAAAGCCGATGCGGCCGAGGCGAGATGGGACAGCATCTACATGCTCAGCGCTGTCTGCCTGACGTTATTCCTGGTGACGGTTTTCATGGTAGGTGTCCGGATGAGGATTCTCATGATTTTGGAGCTAACCTGTCTACTAGGTTGGTACTGCATGGCTTTCGGGAGCGCGTTTCGACATTGTCTTCAACGATCTTTGGAACGGAAAGTTTTTCCCAAAATCCTCGACTACCGTTTCGGCAAAACAGGAGTTATAGATTCTATTCAACTGAACGAAGTATATGTCTATGCGAATTCCGTTGAGGTGCTGAACTAGCGTGGCACACATGCATTGAGTTGATGACGTATTTTCAGCGAGCCAATCCCCCCTGGGGTATAGAACAAGCACGGATGTCAAATTGCAATCCAGCCCATCAATGGCTGTGGTTGTGCCGTAGAAGTGCTGAGATGGAATTGCAATTACCTGGAGACGGGGCGGCTTGTCAATTCTTCCTCACCGGTGGAAGGGTTGGTGAAGCGGCATTGCATACATATCATACCGATGGATCGGTTCAGGTCGTAGACGTGATGTTGCATGGTCGAAGTATACTTTGCTTCCGGTTGTGGTGGTACAGCTGATGAGTTGATGCTCTATCGGTTGCAATGAAATACGATTTTGATTGACATAGTTTTTAGACAACCAACTGTATTAGATATCAACCAGTCTAGGGCTGGACACGAATAAGGATTTTGGCTATTCGTATTCGACTTTTCCCTGGGAACGATTATTCGTATTCGACTAAATTTCGAGACGTTTTATTCGTATTATTCGCGAATATTCGTAAATAATGCCAAGACTTATTCGGCAAAAGCCGAGCCAATGAATGAATGCCCAGCAGTCGCGACTTTTGTTTACCCAACATGCTCCAACTAGAGGATTTGAGCTCTAAGAGATACAAAGCATATCAATATGTTGCAACTTCTTTCTTAATATGGATGACTTATCCATGTCTCTTGGGAAGCGCCGTCTTCGCTCCGAGAGAGTTGATTATCATCTTCTTAATGATGGCAGTGACGAGGAAGCCTCCCTAGAGAATAGCACCAGCAAAAGGCGTTGTTCAAGTGGAGCCCGCAATAGTCTCGAATTGATCTCTCCTGACGATTCAGCAAGCCAAGTAACCCCAGCTCAAGGCTCTCTATCGACCGTCTCTCCAGAGCAGGAGTTAAATGGAGACGAATTGCCGCCGTCCTCTACCGTCTCATATGAATCCGGACATCGGCGAATACGAGCACAGAATCAATCTCTATGGGAGCAATTCAAGGTTACCGTACTTCGAGACAAGCTATGGTGGCCAAAGAGGGGGACTGGGCCAGTACAAGATCGAGAGATTCGATGTATTCGGTGCGAGTGGAAGACAACGGATTCCGCGAGAGCTACCTCGACGTCGAACATGACCCTCCACCTCTCTAAGCATAGGAAG